ATTTGGTATGGGACAATTCTCAAAGCATGCTTGCAGAGATGTCTTCATCATGTCAGTCTCTTAGGCAACGTACTGTACCTCACAGTTAATAACATGATGTTCTAGAGGATTCCCATCCCTACTAAAGACAGCACGGTAAACGTACAAATAGCAGCATTACAGCACTGACTATTTCTAGCGAGATGATGACAGTGGCTGCCAGTCTAGCCCCACTAAGTTGCTGTTGGTCGTCATCATCTCCACTGTGTGTATGTGTGTGTGCGAGTTAAGAGTGAGAAAGAGACGCATAACATTCATGTCCTGCACTGCACACAACAATTACCATTAACCTGGCCTCGCCGTCTACAAATGTGTGTGTGCACTGAAGTGTCAAGTGAGTAAACATGAAATATATAAATCCACGATGAATCACACTACGTCCTGTTGAATACAAATTTACAAATGAAGCATTTAAGACGTGTTCCCCTGTGTGTTTGCGAGAGTGTGTGTTAGTGCGTGCATATCACTCTCAGCAGGACTTGGTGTCATGTTGCCAACAGACCAGCAATTCTGGAAACACTGCTCCAGTTTGGCGCTGAGAGAGGAAGATGAGGCATGTCAGTGGGTGAGTGTGTGTGTTGGGAGGGGGGATTTGACCAGTGAGAGTGAGGAGAGAGTTTCCCCAGCTGTGTGTCTGTGCGTTAGTGTGTTTGAGCGAGGGCTGCAGCACGCTCCAACTTTCAGGAATGACTCAAGTGTGTTAGTGTGCAGCGCGTGCTCCCGTGGGTATTTATACGTGGTGAGGTGTGGAGGAACTCCTCTGGCTCCCACTCACTGCTCAGGGGCAAACCCACAACCCCCTCCACATCCAAAATATATATAACACTTCCTAGCTGAAAGCGGCTGATTATGTAGGCCTGTCAAATAGGCAACATATCCAGATTATGCCACTACAGTTTGTCTTCAGGTAATACAGAAAAATACATTTGAAAGCACCTGCTCTCCAGCTATACTAATTTATTTTCCAACAGCAATTTTCCAGTGACCTCGGGTTACCCCACTGATGATGTGTCCCAGTGCACCACAAGATGTATTGGGTCATATTTGATGTTATCTTTATTAAATATAATTTGTCCTCTTTTGTCTTTTTAATGATACCAGTAGAGCTGAAATGATTAGCTGATTAATCAATTAGTCAATCCACAGAAAAGAAATTGGCAACTACCTTGATAATAACAATAACAATACATTTTATTTCAGGGATGCCTTTCAGGACACTCAAGGACATCCAAGGTAATAAAAAAGTGCAATTAAATGAGTTGCATAATTCAAACAGTGCAAGTTTACCAGAAGTCTAGAAGTTGATAATTTATCATACTTCAAGCAAAAAATGCTAAATGTTGACTGGTTCTGGCCTCACAAATGTGTATTTTTTAGTATTTACGTAGCATCAATGACGACCACTAATGGTCATTTCTGTGAGAAGAGGTTAATACTAGACATAGGCTGGCATCCTTAATGCCTCAGAGCACGTTTAACAAAACCATAACAAACCACCATGGTGTGCGTGCAGCGTTAAATAACCGTCACTGTAACTTCCCTTACCTTCTTTGCTGAGCTTCAGGGCTTCGCCGAGGCAGTAAAGCTCTTCGTCTCTCGAGTCTGCGTCTGAATAAACACAACAGCCACTTACAACCACGCAGGGGCATTCACAAACAAACTTTGGGGCCATGCGTGGAGCCATGCTGGTCCGAGGCTGGCTATTTGGTTAGCATTAGCTTGCTAGCCCCTGAGCTGGCTTCATAAAGCAAGTGAAGCTGTCAAAGCTAACAAACTTACAGCTGGACAGCTGACTGCACGCGCCAAATGGTACAACTCTGAAATGCAACGGTTAGCTTTGCTCACTCGCCTGTGCACGACTGCCCGTGCAACCAATTAATATTGCATTTTCTAGTAATATTTTTGACAGTTACTTTGCTGCGCTTTGACAGACCCTGCATGGTGGTGGGGCTTACTCAACTCAATCACAGACAGTTGGACCACGCACTTCCCGACACTTTGTCCGCAAAAACAACAACGCTATCGACGTGCGAACTTACTGTCAACAAAACGTAATTTAGCCGCACTGACGAAGGAAGACCAAGGCTCGCAAAGGAAGGTATCCAGACTTGGTATTTGGCGATCCAGTGTCGCCATTGCTCTTCCTTCTTGTTGCTTTGCTGAGAGCCGTTTTTTCCTCTCTCTCCTTCGCACGCAGCAGGCGAAAAACGAAAGAACGAGATATGCTGACGTCGTGGTCGGTAAGCTTCGGCGGGGTTCGGCACCTGTCGGAGGTTTGCGAGGTTGAGCGACAGACAGAGAGAACTATTCACGAGTTCAAAAGTTCAGCTTGTGAACGTACAGCCCAAAGCCTATTACAGTGTGGGACGGTTACATGCATTACAAAACATTACAAATATATATTTTTTTTATTTAGCATTGGCAAATCTAACGGAAGAAAGAGAAACAGTCCAAGTTGTGTCATGTAACATCCATCCATCCATCCTTCGTCAACCGCTTATCCTGCATACAGGGTCGCGGGGGGCTGGAGCCAATCCTATCTGACATCGGATGAAAGGCGGGGTACACCCTGGACAGCTCGCCAATTGTGTCATGTAACAGTGTCAGTTATTTAATGTGAATTGACAGGCTTATCAGCTACTAATACAGAATATGAATTATGTATATGTGTAATATTATAATGAATATGACTATTAATATCTGCCTGGCGTTTAAATTATATCAAAAAGAGGGCACCACCTATGTTATAGGAGATTTCCATGCTGCTTTTTCATTCAATATAATTTTTTTCATTTTAATGTTATTATTATTTACCAGACATTTAAAACAATTTAGTGAAAATAACCTTATCCACCACCCAATATTGCTGAGTGTGAACAGTTTCAGATACATTTATAAAGTAAATGTTGAGATCTTATTAATTATCTACTGTCTGTTCTGATAGGATTGGTCTGTCAGGCCAACCTACTTAATATACAAGTGATCTGTGCCATCTACACTATACTGATGGTGGCGATTGTGAGTTTTTTAAATATCAAAATAAGTCTATAATATTAGACCTTAGACTCCTTTTTCTAGGGTGAGGCTGGAAATGTTAGGCCCTTGTCTGAACCTAAAAATGTACCAATGCTAGATTCAAATCTTCTCTCTGCTTCATTAAAAGAAATTTGACTACTTTGAGGGCTTGCCAGGAAGTTGCAAAACAATGGGTTTAATGGATTTTGGAAAGAGGTCAGAACTATGAATAAGGCACAAACCTCTTTACTATCTAAAATTATGGTGTTAGTAGCTCATACTATATTGTGAGTTTACAGCTTTACTGTGGCTTTATAAACATTTTGTGCACACAAAACTTGTATGCTGACACTGTTTGTCCTTGGCTAAGTCTCATTAAACTTTGCTGTGTAAAACTTAATCGGTCTCCGAAAACCTTCTTCCTTGCACCTGACAACTGGCTCACAATAATTCTTCAACATTAGACACCGCTGCAATAAAACACCTACATAACATGATTTCCCAAAGTGGGAAGCGGGGGACAACCAAGGGCCTTCAAAGAGGTACAAGGCTTCCCCAGCAGAATCTATAGTTTGATTTTAATTGTAGCCTATTGCAATCAGTTATGTCATTTCTCTTTAACTTGGGTGAGGCAGAGACTGGTTAAAAGCAGAGATTTTTCAAAGTTAAAGTCCAGAGGGAGTTTCATTGGCATTATGCATTTATAAAAAATGTAACAGAGGCCATCGTTGATTAAATAGGTCTGAAGTTTCTGATCAATGAAACAAATTGCCCTTGGATGTTTGTTTCTCAAAGTGGCTCAGTAGGTCAAGCTCATGGCACTACATTGACCTCTTGTGGCTGAAAACAGAAAGTGCACTTCAGGGCTAGATGGAGGTGATGGACGCATGGACTGTCTCATTTTCAAGTAACAATCTGGTTGCTTAAATCCAACTTTTATTCAACTGCAGTTCCAGGGGACAGTTTCATGGTGCTTAGATATTTATCACAGCTTCTAAAATGTACTGCACCACATGGAAATCTTACCTACAAGCAAAGCTGAAAAGTTATGCCTTAAGAAATCTTTTGGAAATGTTCACATAAGTGTCCCTGGATGCAGATGATGACCACAAGTCAAGTCATGACATGTTGTGGTCAAAGAATATCCAAAACAAATCCACACAACTTCTCACAGTTTATAAGTGTGCTCCCTGTCTCAATGAGGGGGTTTCCGATAAAGGGTTCAGTAGGATTAAGTTAGTTAGTTCTCTCTCTCTCTCTCTCGTCAGGCTTGGCTAGAAGCCTGTGATCACATGCGCGGCATGAAGTCGTCTTTTTTAGCTGAATCAGAGGGAGAGTGAGAAAGAGGGTGGAGATACAGAGGAAATGGCAGCCTTAAATGAGGGCAGGGAAATATTCTGATTAGTTTATGATGTCAAATCAGGTCAAATCCACACACACAGTCCATACACACTAAATATGTTAATCTGAGGTTGCGATCCTTCCTGTCTTTCTGACACACCAGCACACTTCTCTATTCTTTTTTGGTTCTCCCACCTCTTTCTCTCTCTCTTTAACTCACACTCACACACCCAAAGGATGACTCAACCACAATGTTGTGTTTGTTTCCCGACACAATGACCACTGAGTTCACGGGACAAATCAGGAGGTCACAGGACAAATCAGGAAACACAAGGTACTATTTTTCTGTCCCTCCAAGGGTCATAATAATGGTTTTGGGTCACAAACTCTTCAACTTCTTCAAATGCTTTCACTCTTTTATTTAACCTTCTATGTCCGTAAGGTCTTTATCTCACCTGAGCTGAATCCAAAGTTCCTTCCACATGGGGGCATGACAAAAAAAGTGACACTCATAGGCACAGTCACAGCCAAGTGCTTGCATCTGCACTGCGCACAGACACATACACATACACATTTGCAGATGGACAGGACCTTCACTAAAGAGATTATTGAAAAAATCCTCAATTTTTATTTAAAAAAACAAACAATGGTATATTGAAATTGTGCATGTCACACAGTGAATGAATGTCTCTTGAATAAGACAGTTTGGCAGGTTAAATGCATAGGAATCATTGACAAAGCTATAGTCAGTTAGATGATGATTACAAGAGTGCAGAGGCATAACCAGTATACCACACACATTTGTTGTTTCATTTAACTTTGTGCTTCGGCAAAGTTAAATGAATTCACATCATTCCACTTACAATTTTACTATATCAAGAGGCAACATAACAAAAAAAGAAAATCAGAAATACCTTCAAATAATCATCAATGTAATGAAAAATAAAATGAAAAATAAGACAAAAAGTGACAAATTTATAAAAATAACACCAGCTCACTTGGTTTGGTGTCTCATGGAGGATAAAAAAACCCCCTAGACAATCAAAAAACAAGAAAACAACAAAATAACTGATTTAACATCACAGGGAGATATGAAATAAGCTTCAACAGGGAAGAAAAAAGTGATGCAAAGAAAGTGAGGAATGACAATTCAAATACTAACAACTACATTCAAAATCATAACAGCAACAAAAAATGACACAATTAATGAAGCGTTTAACCTTCAGCTGGTACCTTAATAAAGATTAAAGACTTCAGACAGTATTTATTTTGGCTGCACTCATAAGGCAGGATTTTCTAATTAAGTTATCAACTCTCAATCAATATTATTTATGGATTTACACCCTCACAGTGCTTTAAAGGACATCATGAAAGCATTTCAAGCACCATATGAGCGCACTGTGCATGTTTGGTGCACTAATATTTTGGCTGGAGGCCATTTTACACGGTTCATGTCGGAAGTGTGTTTAATAAATCTAACCTGTCAACCTGTATATAGAACAGGAAAAAGACTTTTAAATGGTCTGACCTCATCAACCTACTAGGAATAACCCTTGTTTGGTTTTTGTCTAGACATTGCTACACCTGCTAGCCACCACTAGAGGGCAAATGTGCTAACTGTGAGAAAGTCAATGAATGAAAGAATTAATTAATATTTGAGTGAGTCACTTTTTTTTTTAGATACCCAAGGTGCTCTAAATCTAAAAACATATAAAATATGCATGGCTCAATTTCAAAGCCAGTATCAAATGTATGCAATAAATTGTATGTCAAGAAATTACAATGAATGTAATATGCTAATATTATGGTATTAAGCTTCATATTGCTCCACAGACAACCACCTTACCCCTTTCTGTTACCCTGACAACCACAATCACATTATCCTTATTACTGCAGATGTTAAAAAAATCTAATCTTGCCCCTTGCGGTTGCTTTTATGTCATAGGCAAACTGATGTGTTCAAAGTACTTTAAGTTCATCAGTATGTAATTAAACATAATAAATCCAACCAGTATCCTAAAATGGGACCAAAGAAGTAAGGAAAGCTCATAAGCCATAATGCTGCTATAAAACTTAAGTTTAAAAAATAAAATAGTAACACATTTGGTCATTGCTTGTGCATGTATGTGCTTATGAAAGCATAAGAAACCTTCTAGGAAGTTTTGTAAGAAGGCACGTTGAAAATGATTTGACTTACTAATTGCATTGGTGTTGCTATAGAATATGAAACAGGTGAAAGTGAAAAATAAAATGAAAGATAAGGCTAAAATACACATGAAACCTTAGTTATGGCACTTTTTCTTCCCCCTGCCTTCTACTGCTGCAGGGTTACTTAGACCTTCAGAGCAAATCTTTTGGGAAATTTACATTGCTGTTAGAACTGTTCTCAGTTCAAGTATGCCATTAATGTGCACAGCTGCTCCTGTATTGATAAGCACAAACTCCAATACATCCCAACCATCAGCTTTTAAACTGACCATCTGTAAATTTAGCCTTCATTTTGTCTTCACAGAGCATCTGTTTGTGTGTGTATGTATAGTAATGGCTTCATGCACATGTGCTCAAATTGTGTCTGTTTGAGTCTTATCTAGGTGTGGTGTGTACATGTTGATTTCTGTGTCTGTGAGTATTTGTATGTGACTGCGGGTTTGTGTTGCCTTATATTGTACTGAAGGTTAGATGGGTGCGGGGACCTGCTGCCTTCCTGGTCTGGGTTGAGAAGAGAATTTCTGGGAGTGCCAACTGGTCTCCTTGTACACAAACCATGCGTTGCCCGCCCACACAAACATGTTGAGGTAGCCAAACACCTGGAAGAATGAAGACAGAATACAAAAATTACAAATTCATTCTACTAGAAAACACTTAATATAGGAGGACTTCCTCACATCCTCGTTTGTATATTTGCGAGTTTTATGAATCACAAACTCCCACATTCTAGGACAGTTTGAGGACACTTCTGCGTCTCAAGTGCAAAGCTAATTTGATGGAAATTAGCTTTGCACTTGAGAGACAGAAAATATTGAGCAGACCACAGCAACAATGTCTGAGTCTCATGACTGCAAGTCAGGCTGCTTAATGTTTATGCTCAAGCCTTTTAGCAAAGTATTATATAAATTGGGGGCATTGGACACTGCCAAAATGAATTACTTAGATCTTTTGATTGATTGATTATATATATATATATATATCTCCTCTCTATTGGCCAAAGAGTTGTATTTTACGGGTCAGTGTATAACAAAGAACTTGACATTAGAAACACTTATCATTATCATTTAACAGTCTCAGTAACTGAATAAAGAATGAGACTGGTGCAAATGTAATAAAAATCTTTATGTTTGTAAAGCCTCTGTGTATTTCTTCCCACCACAGAGATGTTGAGGGTCCGCATGTTGGCGAACTCCGTGACCTCACAGGTGACGTTGCCCCCCTTGCAGAGCGCCAGTGTGGCGCTGATCCCTTCAGTGTCTGTTGCATCCTTTACATTCTGCAGACCCTTCGCCCAGGCGGACGAACACACCATCCACAGGAATACCAGGATCACTGTGACCACAAAGTCCTGTAAACAAGGAGGAGGACATCAGCTCTGAAGGAAGAAGCTCTCGTTTTCAGTGACACACAAACCCTAGTGTGACATGTCATCATTTTCACAGCTTGATTTAAGTCCGTCCATTGGAGGTCTATCTGGAAAGCTGACCAGCAAAGTTAATACTCACAAAAATGGGTCCAAAGTCAGAGTCCTTGTAGACGTGCATGTAGCCTAAATACACCAACAGAGCCACCATGCTGTACAGAAAGCAGATGATGGCGATGCCCACAAAGAACTCCACTGAGGAGGCCGAGTCTCCCACCATGTGTGTCGTCGTCACAGAGTGGTTACAAATAGTGGTGTTTACGTTGACGAGAGGGACCTGGCTTAACCTGGCCACAAAACAAGACAGAAGGTTCAAATCGTGATTTACTGTTCCACAAAAGTGTGTTTTTTTATTTGACCAGTTAAGTGATCTTAGCTATCACTTCAAACCTGTGTCTGCCGCTGAAAGTTACTAAAATCACACAAAAAACTGTTTCTCACCTAAACGGGTAGTGAAAGTTGGCATTGAGTGTTTCATTGCTGCCGTCGCCACAGAGGAGAGTTATGATGTTGCTCCCTGAGAATCCGCCACAGCTTCCAAAAGCAAATATGGCCGTGAGCTGTTTGGACAGAGAAGAGAGAGCGAGAGATTAGTGGAATAGTTGAGACTGAGAAAAACCCTGTTCAGCTTTAGGCATGTAATATCAAAACCAAGAAACTTACAGTAAGATGCTTGAGATTTGTTTAATGGGAGGGGATGATGTTTGGTATATCCTTTCAAGAAACCATAACCAATCATAATTTAGTTTAACTGGAATCCTCCCTACATACATGTATTCTAGGACAATACAGTTTGAAAGAGTAGTGAAATGTCACCAGAACTTCAAACCCAGAAGAAAGCTGGCAGTCTGAAACATAACGTCAGCAGTAAAGAGCCAGAGGTACCAACAGATGGTCAGCGTTTTACTTACTCTTATTAACAGCTGAAAATAAAACTCACTACTCAAAACTTTTACAAGATCAGTCTTTTGCTTGCTCGATGGAAACACCCTCTCTGAATACAATTTCTCATTGTTTTTAGATAAAAGAAAATGGCCCACACAAAAAAAATCAATCATCTTTTCCTTTTTTGTACTATTTTTTACTTCCTCTTACAAAACTGCCATCTTGTAAAATACAATAAAATGTGGCTTACATGCCAGCACTAATGCCTGCTGCTATTCAGCTCCATTCTTTCTTGCAGAGGCAGAAAGCATCTGACTCAGCGTGTAGGCCATGTGACACTAATACTCTCCTTAAAACCAACACATACTAAATTCTTTTAGTCAAGAGTGGCTGCTATTAGGCTTAACCCTCAAACCTTAGCAGGCGAAACAATGCTCATATAATTTGTGGGTATTGAACTCATTCAGACTCTCACTGATATCACTTTACTCATACTTCATGGGAAATGAGCATCTGGCATGAACATCACAATATACTGCAGAGGAAGTTTTTGTTGAACAGTTTTCACACATGCGTAGCTTCATGTCTCGCCCGTCATTACCTCACACATCCTGACTGAGCCTTCCAGTTCAAAAGACAGCTGTGCTGCAGTACGACACTAATTCAAAGATCTAACAACACAGAATAGAGCAAAGCCACAGAACAACTGTCTTGCTTCCCAGCAGACATTTTGATCATCATGTGGACTCAGAAAATGTAGCTGAAAAAGCAAATAGGCTTTTAGCTCAGCTACTGTATGTCTTGCAGTAAAGGAATGTTGTAAACAAATTGAAGAATCCAGAACGTTGCAGACTAATGTTTTAACACCACTTGCCAAAAAAAACAACTTAAACCTGCATTAATTGATGTTTTGACCACCTGGGGGCAGCATAATAAACTGGAAACACAAACTGCTCTAATATCGCCTTACAAAGTGGATGTGGTGAACATGTTTGCAAACAATGACTTATTTGCACATGTGGCAGACACAGGCCAATATTAGCATTCAGAGACTAATATTCACTACCCTTTTAGCTGTTTTTCGCTCTCCACCAACTCTTGAGGGACATGTCTCTCTCTTTAGCTGCTAAATGCTACACTATGTTTACTAGCTAGTCGCTTACTTTGTCTGTCCTCTTTTTGGTGCTGGACAGGTAGTGTAGAGCGGGTTTTCTCACTGAAAGAAGCTGGCTGCTGTGGCCAAAAACAATGTTAATGAGAGCGGAGAGCGTAAACCACAACAGCAAAACCGCCGTTTTGGCTTGAGAACCAAAACAATGCGCGGAAAGACTCTAAAGCACCCTTCAGAGTCGGGTGAGAATTCTCTTTTGACTCATTAATACAAATGACCCCTTTCATATTACATAGCCATTTAATCTATTAATACAAAAACATTGATCACAGCAGCTTTAAGGTTAAGATGATCTTTGACCCATTTGTACTGCATCTCTATGGGCTGAAATATGGCCCAGAACACATCAGAAAGAGCGCCTTGATCAACGGAAATTCCTGCAAATAATGCTGAAATAAATAAAATTGTGTAGATTAACATATGAGAATGTTTAAAGGTATTTCTGTTGCAGTAGACATCATGCAATGGACAGGAAGTGGATTACATCATGTGACAAAGGTAATAAAAAACCCCAAACACGTTTAACTGACCTTTTAAAATCTGTGTCATCAGCACAACTGTATCACACATACTACCACCCTTGAAAAATGCTTACGACAGGCCACCTCAACTTTTAGCCTTTGGTTTCGCACCACAAGACCCACACATACATACAGTACATTGACACACACACGCGCGCACTCACACACACACACACCTCGAGGCCTCGCTCCAGATGTTTCTCCAGATGTCACTGGCTGCCACTTCCTGTTTTTCTGGCTACACACCCACAGTAAGCTACTTCTCGCACATTTTTGATTCACCTACTCTGTCACTACGAGGTCATGGAGCCTCAGCATGGTAACAGCCAGTGCCATTTGAATTATTTTGGTTATGTTCACATTTTTAAACCGGGGATAAATACTACACTGCACAAACACTGTGTGACAGTTGGGCATTTTGTCATGTTTCCAATATCAATTAAGGCTACAAGTGGTTTTTTCTCCAAACATGACAACTGCCGAAGTAAGTGGACAAAGCATTTCCTTGCCAGGTTTTTATCTTAGGCATCCCAGACATCTGCAAACCACACAGTACCAATTTATATACATTCCAGAGACTATCAAATAAAACTACAGGAAGTCTTTACTCATAACCAAGCTGTGAGACAGGATAAGTAATTTGCACACAGAAAACACTCACATATAATAGAAGTTAAGTTTCAGGTTCATGTATGCGACGGCAACAATGAAAAGTTAACTTATAGGAGAGAGAAATATTGCTTCTAATGGGAATGACCTGTAATCTGACCATAGCTGTCATCATATACTCATCTATCTGAAATATCTTGTTAGAAACAGAATAACGGGCAGTGTTCCCTCTTAAACAGAGAGGTCACTGAGTTCAGGTCAGTCTGCCCCCAAAAAAACCCCAAGCCAACAAAGCATGTGGCCATTTTGTCACTGGGTTTTCCTTCAAAATCCCAAGAAACCTGGCTTTCCCTCTTTTGGCAGGGACACCTGGCATCCACACAAGTCCAAAAAAGAGAGAAATAGTTTCATCATCATTATTCAACATGTCGAGTGAGCGGGGCAGCCTTGTAGCATTTGTTACTACGAACCCTCCATCCTGTTTACTACTGTGTTTGAAGATAATATCTAGGGAGGTATGAGTGTTTAGGCCAAGTAAATTCCTTTTTATTTAGATCACTCAGTGGTTTACAGGGTAAATGGATGGACACAAGTGTTGCTGGATAACCTCCAATTTCATGGAGAAGTAGTGATGAACCATCTGTCAGAACTGAAATATGATATAATCAACTTGCTGTTTTCACTCAACTGCTATGTTGAATTTAGGTCCAAAATCCAGACACACGTTCACTGCTGCTGCCTGAGAGCAAAATATACAATTTATTACATGCATAATTTTTAGGTTTGCTGAGCGGAGGAAGCCCGGGGCCCCTGTCTGGAGCCAGGCCCAGAGGGAGGGCTCGCCGGCGAGCGCCTGGTGGCCGGGTTTGCCACGGAGCCCGGCCGGGCACAGCCCGAAAAAGCAACATGGCACCCCCCTCTCCATCCTTTGGACCCACCATCCATCGGAAGATCCGCAGGGGTCGGGTGCGCTGCCACATGTTGCTCAAGCTGTGAGGCTGAGCGCCGCTACGTTGGAGTTTACTCCGGTGAACGAGAGGGTCGCCTCCCTACACCTTCGGGTAGTGGGGGGGAAAACTCTGACTGTTGTTTGTGTATATGCACCAAACAGCAGTTCGGAGTATTCGGCCTTCTTGGAGACCCTGAATGGAGTTCTGTATGGGGCTCCAGTAGGGGACTCCATAGTTCTGCTGGGAGACTTCAACGCACATGTGGGCAATGATGGAGATACCTGGAACGGCGTGATCAGGAGGAACGGCCTCCCTGATCTGAACCCGAGTGGGTGTTTGTTGTTAGACTTCTGTGCTAGTCATGGATTGTCTATAACGAACACCATGTTCGAACATAAGGATGCTCATAAGTGTACGTGGTACCAGAGCACCCTAGGCCGAAGATCAATGATCGATTTTGTAATCATTTCATCTGATTTGAGGCCGCATGTTTCGGACACTCGGGTGAAGAGAGGGGCGGAGCTATCAACTGATCACCATCTGGTGGTGAGTTGGGTCAAGGGGTGGGCTGCAGCCTCTGCTGTGGCAGAGGCGAAGCAGCGGGTGTGGGAGAAGTTCGGAGAAGACATGGAGAAGGACTTTCAGTCGGCACCAAAGTGCTTCTGGAGAACTGTCCGCCATCTCAGGAGGGGTAAGCGGGGAACCGTCCAAGCTGGGTACAGTAAGGATGGGACCCTGTTGAACTCAACTGGGGAGGTAATTGGGCGGTGGAAGGAACACTCGCCAATTTCCCTGGAGGAAGTCACTGAGGTAGTCAAACAACTCCACAGTGGTAAAGCCCCAGGGATTGATGAGATCCGCCCAGAAATGCTAAAAGCTTTGGGTGTGGAGGGGCTGTCTTGGATGACACGCCTCTTTAACATTGCGTGGGGTACGATGCCCAAGGAGTGGCAGACTGGGGTGGTGGTTCCCCTGTAGAAAAAGGGGGACCAGAGAGTGTGTGCCAACTACAGGGGTATCACACTTCTCAGCCTCCCCGGAAAAGTCTACTCCAGGGTGCTGGAATGGAGGGTTCGGCCGATACCGAACCTCAGATTGAAGAGGAATCATTCATGCAGCACACCTGGACACACCGCCGGTCACTGAACAGATCTCTGCCTCACTGCCACAAACAACTGTCTCTACCTGCTGGCATGTAAAGCCGTCTGCTCCCAGCGCTGTTACAAAAACTTCTATTCCTGTCATCATCACGCATAGACCAGTAAACCGAAAAGTGCACATCCCACACAGCAATCATAGTAATCTTATAAGGATTAGGACAACTGCACCAACTTCAGCACCTAGAACAAACTCATTTAAAATGGCCCTCTTCAATATGAGATCACTTTCAAGTAAGACTAATCTTAAAAGATTTTATCTTGTCTGCAAATCTAGATTTTATGTTTTTAACTGAATCATGGTTGCAAATGAATGACTATAGCCAGCTAGCTGAACTGTGTCCGCCTCAATATGATTGTTTTAGTCAACCGAGGGTCAGTGGTCGTGGTGGTGGGCTAGTGAGCGTGTATAGGAAAAATTTTAAATGTCATCAAGTACGCTGTGATGAATTTAACTCCTTTGAAGTTCTCACTCTTAAAGTTGCTGCAACCTATCATATTTGTTATAATTTATCGTCCCCCAAAACCGCCTGGAGGATTTTTATCAGAACTTCCTGAATTTTTATCTACTCTGGTTTTAAATTATGACAGAATTGTTCTTTGTGGCAATTTTAATATTCATGTTGATGACCCCACCAATGTTAATGCAACTGACTTTTTAAATATGGCAACTTCTTTTAACTTAAAACAACATGTCAAAGGGCAAACACATAACCGTGGTCATACACTGGACTTGGTTTTTACCCTGGGTGTCAGCATTTCCTCGGTGGAATTAGTGGACATGACCATATCTGACCACAGATGTATTGTTTTTAGCTGTGATTCGCCTGTTACTCATGCCGCCTCACCAAGCTCCGTGTGTTCTTGCATCTTTAATGAACAAAGTGTTTCAAAGTTTTGCGCATTCTTTCAGAGCCAAAGCCAACACCTGTCTGATTCCAACACCAACAATCTGGTTGATCACTTCAATCATATCTGCTTGTCGTCACTAAATATTACTGCTCCTCTAAAGGTTAGGCCTACGTCTAAAGCTAGTACGCAACCCTGGACAAATGACAGCATTCGCAACCTAAAAAGGGAATGCAGGAAAGCAGAGCGCAGATGGTCTCCAAGTCCATTACCTCAGTCTGAAGGATTTATTAATTAACTACAATAACATGGTTAAGGATGCGAGAACACACTATTTTTCTGAACTCATTACTACACAAACACAATCCCAGGTTTCTGTTTAAGACTGTGGATCAGCTGGTAAACCCAACCCCTCCTTGTGCCTCAGCTGGAAGTAATGATGACTGTGAATTGTTTTTATCTTATTTTACCAATAAGGTGGTGTCAATCAGAGCCTCTATTACCCCCAGGGCCTCTCATTCAGAGGTCCCTCACCAGCAACAAGAGTGTTTTACTTACTTAAGCTGAGTTCACTTACCGACTGCCTTTGTGAAGTTAAATGGTAAATGGATGTCAAATAATTTCCTCCAGCTGAACTCAGACAAAACAGAAATCCTGGTCATCGGGTCCCAGCAGATGGCATTTCTTATCTTATCATTCTTAGCACTTGTTGAAGCACTTTGTAACTTGTTTTTGAAAAGTGCTCTACAAATAAAGATTATTATTAATATTATTATTATAATGCCGTTTTCGTCCCGCTCGTGGAACAACTGACCAGCTCTTTACTCTCACAAGGATCCTGGAGTGGGCTTGGGAGTATGCCCATACAGTCTACATGTGCTTATTAGTTCTGGAGAAGGCGTATGACTGGGTCCCACAGGAGATACTGCGGGATGCGCTGCAGGAGTATGGGGTGAGGGGGGCCCTTCTCAGGGCTATCCAATCCCTGTACATCCAAAGCGAGAGCTGTGTCCGAGTACTCGGCAGTAAGTCGGACTCTTTCCAGGTGAGGGGTGGCCTTCGCCAGGGCTGCGCTTTGTCACCAATCCTGTTTGTGATATTCATGGACAGGATATTGAGGCGTAGTCGTGGCGAGGAGGGGCTGTGGTTCGGTGGGCTTGGGATCTCGTCACTGCTTTTTGCAGATGAAGTGGTCCTGATGGCACCATCGGTCCATGACCTCCAGCTCTCAATGGATCAGTTCGCAGCAGAGTGCGAAGCGGTTGGGATGAGGATTAGCACCTCTAAATCTGTGGCCATGGTTCTCAGCAGGAAACCGGTGGAGTGCCAACACCAGGTAGGGAATGAGTCCTTACCCCAAGTGAAGAAGTTCAAGTACCTCGGGGTCTTGTTCACGAGTGACGGGAGATTGGAGCAGGCGATTGGCCGGAGAATCTGAGCAGCGGGGGCGGTATTGCACTCGCTTTACCACACCGTTGTGACAAAAAGAGAGCTGAGCCATAAAGCAAAGCTCTCAATCTAACGGTCAATTTACGTTCCTACCCTCACCTATGGTCATGAAGGCTGGGTTGAGACCGAAAGAATGAGATCGCGGGTACAAGCAGCCGAAATGGGGTTCTTCAGGCGGGTGGCTGGTGTCTCCCTTAGAGATATGGTGAGAAGTTCCACCATCCGCGAGGAGCACAGAGTAGACCGCTGCTACTTTGTGTTGGGAGGAGCCAGTTGAGGTGGTTTGGGCATCTGGTAAGGATGCCTCCTGGACGCCTCCCTAGGGAGGTGTTCCAGGCACGTCCAGCTGGGAGGAGGCCTCGGGGAAGACCCAGGACTAGGTGGAGAGATTATATCTCCACACTGGCCTGGGAACGCCTCGGGATCCCCCAGTCATAGCTGGTTAATGTGGCTCGGGAAAGAGAAGTTTGGGGTCCCTTGCTGGAGCTGCTGCCCCCGCGACCCGAACCCGGATAAGCGGATGAAGATGGATGGATGGATGGAGATTTGGTTATGTTGTAGGAAATAACCTGATGATGGTCTGTGTACTGAAACAGTACAGTACAGTACAGTGAAAAGGTTATTAAATATTTCTGACTGCAAGCAAAGAGGGAAGTGTGCAGGAGTTTTTTTCCTGTATTATTCTTCTCCTATACACCTGTCGATCTATACAGGTGTGCAGAAATTCTGCTCTTCGTTACATTGTAGACCACAAATAAACAGTTAGACGTTTGTTACAAAAAGGGCTGCCACTGACATTATGTTAATAATAATAATAATAGGCCTAATAATGATAATGATTCCCAGCCAAGGCTGACATTTTTTAATAGCCTAACTTGTTTCGTACTTGCAACAGTCTAAAACCCAAAGACATTCATTTTACTATCACATAAGACAATCAGAAAATCCTCACAACTGAGAACAGGAAACAAGGGAAACATTATTCGATTATCAAAATAGTTGCAAGATTCGTCTTTTGTTGACCAACTAAGCGATTGTTTCGGCCATACTATAAAGCATAAAATGCGGCATTGAACAGCTGTGCTGATGCAAACCTGAAAATAATATATTTTCACTTTTTACAAAATTATTTACCAAATGATGGTGCCTATATTAAAAAAACAAGTATTAAATAATAATTAAAATAAATAATTTTCCAAGAAAGACATTTTTTGTTAACAGTGATATATTTTAATAACATAGCAAAGTAGTGTTTTTTCATCTATTTGCTATTTATCCAGCCTAACTTTGCTGATGTTCCTCCTGAACCTGCTTAATGATATTTTATATAGTCCTTACTACACACTGCTGAGTGGGCCCCTTAACATTCCCAGCATTAAAGGAATAAATATGACCACAAATTATCATCCAGGCCCCTTTAGAATTACAAAATATGTCCAGTTACATAAGGCCAACACAGTAAAACAAACACAAACACACACACACACACACACAAAGCCTTGAGTCGTGAGTCAGATGACCGGGTGTTACTGCTGCTCTATAGCTCTGTCTGTGTGTTTGTGTGTCTTATGAGAAAATAGAACAGCTGAGGTAAAACTGTAGCTGAGCTGCATTAACTCCACACTGGATTCCTCTGACCCAGTTCCGTAGAGCAGAAGTGATTACTGGACTCCACGTAGGTCACACGTTCTCTTATGATACACAAACTGTGTGCTCAAGAGTGTGTGTGTCTGTGTGTGTCTCTGTGTGTGTGTGTGCGTGCGTGCAGCCAGTATGCAGTTTTTGCGAGGTAAATTATTGGTGAGAAATACATTAATCTATAACTGTGTGGTCTGAAAGTGCAGGCCCACGCAACCACCAAAGAGATGCAAATGCACCGGGCACAACAGAGCTGAACTCACTTTAGCTTCAAATTTTCTTTGTCAGACATAGTTTATCCTCACTTTCAACCAATGACTCTTAAAGATCTTAATTTACAGAAAGATAGTAAAATAAGATAAAGTAAAAATATTTTCAAGAAAAATCTAAATTATTGTCATTATCTGCATATTGTTGGGTTTTGGCTTGCTTATAAGTTTCCATCTTGAGCTTTATTTAGTAAATTACATTTTAAGTGTAAAACTTCAAAGCTGCCTATGAAGAAAGAGATGAATTTGAAGTTGATATTTTTAATTCAATTCAAATCAGCTTTATTAGATAGATTAGATATATGCTTTCTGTGTATGCCTGATGAAGTCCTGATTATGTTTGTGTGGTTTTGCCATCTGCGCTTTTAACATATCCCCCCTAAAGCAGATTACTTTTTCCTCAAAGGTGAAAATCTCCGCGAAAAAGGAAAACCCAAGGAGCAAGCAAAAGGACTGAACCTCCCTGTCCTCTGGGTATGACACACACACATGCAGTATCTGCCTCTAACTTACCCACTCCACTAGTTTGACGAAGCCCAGAGGCTCCTTCAGCGGCGTCAAGTTCAGCCGAAATCCGGTCATCATGGTTGTGCTTGTGATCCAAAATCTTTATCCAGTTGTTCCTAAACTGTGGATGTTGGTCCAACAGGGAGTAAAAAGGGGAGTTGTTTGACAGAATGACGTGGTTTTACTGCCAACGCTGCAAAAAAAAAAAATAAAAAAAAAATCACCAGCCCAAATTATCAAAAGGGAGTTTTACAACCCAACTTACCGCCAGAGCAGATGGATCAAATGTCTGCCATGGAGATAAAATCATTCTACTTACCGAAGATACTTTTGCAGGTTCCGGGAACTTTTTTAACAGCAAACGTTAACGGAAAAATCATTAGTTGAGGTGGATATTTTTTGCAGTGTAGCTTGCAAGACGAGTGCCTAGCGCCCCGCTTGGTGATGCACCCCGCTTGGTGATGTGCAAAATACAGGAAGTGGATACCAAATGAAAGAGAAAAAGTTTTTGGTTTTCCTCTACTGGGCTGGGAGTGAAAAAATCTCAGTCCTAATGGGTTTTCATTGGATCCATCCGTTGGAGTAGGCTCCCTCCTCCTTGCTGAGTTTGCAATGAGTGTGGAAACGCCTCTTGGTGCCGACTGGGTCATATGCCTCTCACAGCAAACCACAGAGTCTCAAAAGTCTTTCAACGATGAAAAAGGGGAAAACCTAAGAGGCCACCTGTAACATGACCATTTAAAATGAATAAAAGGTAATTTCACAAGACTACTTAATAAGGGTCTAAAAGGAAAAACTGTTTTAAAATGGGCCAAAAAAAAATCTCATCTTCATAGAGATTTTGTCATTTGAGATTTAAAAGTCTGACAATAAATTAGCTTATAGTTGTTGACCCATAAACACAAACATTTTAATAAGGATCCCTTACATTTGGTTAATACAGTGTTGTAAGCGCAATATGGACAGAGTAAGACATTTTACATTTAACAAAATACATTTGCCAGTGCTCTGTTGGAGGCACTGTTTCTGGACATCTTTGCCATATCTGTACTGACATACTTTGTTACTCATTAGATAGAGATATACTAGTCAGTTGATATACTGTCCTGGTCGATATCGGTCTTCTGTAGCTCTGGTCCAGGATGTGTCTAACAACAAAAACATACCAACACCAAGCCTTGTACAATACCATAGAACCTAGATGCAACGTAGGGACTGATTTTCTGAATGCAGCTCTAACTACACAGAACATGGTTACAATGCAACATAAAAGTAGAAGTAGTGTTTACATTCATCAACCTGCATTTTAATAACAGGCTTTCTAAAAGTTTTTCAGATATTTCTTGCAGCTGAATCAGTAAAAAGTAGTTGAGATACTAAATGCTGGTGAAGAACAAGAAGTTTGTCATTTGGTACTAATCATAGGGAAAAATAGCAGCAGGGTGAAATCAGTATACTGAAATTTATTCATTTCAATAAAAATGTTAGCTTAATCTAGAGTTACTCTTAGTCAGTGCACAGCTGGTTATCTGAACATGCAAAAAGGTAAGCATTTGTCTACAGATACAATTCATCATACATGAAAAATAACTTTTCCTACTGAATAATGAATTATTCTTTTCTTGGGTGTAAATGGAGCAGATCATATTTATGTTTACAGAACTCTTTCCAGGAACTTCCTGGGAAATTGTTAGGAAATTACAGATCCATGAATTAAAGTGTTACCTAAATGTCAATTGGGTTTGTAGTGTGTATAATTCCAACTCCCTGAAGGATGTTTAACTGGCAACGTGGGGTTCAGCTAATGACATTTGAACAGAAAAGATCAATACTTGTGAGATAGTACTTTAAATCAATCCTATATAAAAGTAGGCACAATAAATCAACTATTTCAAACTGACAGGGTGGCATCTTTAATCAATGTATTGTTGACAATATAGCAAGTTATATTAGTTAAAATATCAGTTGTGTTGGGAGAGAGTTTGGGACAACCAACATATACATACGAGTAAAACAACAACAACAGAAAGGAAAAAAAGTATTCACAAACACTTTTTCATCCATTACACGAGGCATTCACACAAGGCACACACACACACACACACACAGAAGCTAAAAGCCGGACAGTCAGAAAAAAAACAGTCACACTGCCAATTCAAACTGTTTTGGATATTCTTCTGTTGGTACAAAAACGATCATTCTGACAAAAATAATAATATTATCTACTGTGGTCGTCTCTCTAGCATGCCCTCTCTGCTCTTAGTCAAACTAGTTGCTGTATGTACAAGTGAGAAGGCAGTATGGCCGCATCCTTTGTGAATAAGGATATTCACTGCAACAGTTCTGGCATTTTTTTTCCTCCTTTGTCATACAAAATAATAATATTTCTCTGAGGTAAGAACTTAGACAGTATCAAAATATTGAAATCAGAGTTATACTAAAATGCACCCCATACTTGGAGAAAGTAAAGAAGAACTGTATTTTTCTTCAGAAAAAAATAAATGATTTTACAGGTAACAGTAGCGACAGGTGCAAAAAAAGCAAAGGAAATACAGAAAACACTGTGACATTGTTTTAGCATGTATACCAGCTTGTCTGTTTGAGCAGGTTGGTCTGAGCCAAAAGTCAGTGACATCACAGGTTTCTTCAAGGTCTTTCCTGAAATCACAGAAAACTAGCTGAGGTCCATAGGGAACGGGGGTAAGGTCACTGAAGCTCTAATAGCTCAAGTGAAGCTGCTCAGGGCCAAACAATTGGGTAGCAGTGGGCTGCTCCCAGGTGAGAACATGTGAAGCAATGAATGTGAAGCAGCTGAGGGTCTGAAAAGTGTGCAGACATTGAATAAAACTGTTACCTGGAGTTTTATAAAAGTTTTAACAAGGCAGTCCACAGCTATGATAGCAGCTCTGTGAGGCTGTACTTTGAGCTAAATGCTAATGTCAGCACGCTAACATGTACAGCAATGCTGATGATTAGCAGCTATAATATTTGCCATCTTAGTTTAGTGTGTTAGCATGCTAACATTTTACTAATTAGCACTAAACACACAAAATACAGCTGAGGCTGATGAGAGTGGCAATCAGTTTTGCATGTATTTGGTAAAAAACCAAAGTATTAGACATATTCAAATTTAGACCTGATGATGGCGCTAGATGAGAAGTTAATGGATCACCAAGGTTTTTACAATTCATCCTGTGAATTGTACATTTCATAACAATCTATCCAATAGTCCATCCATCCATGGCTAAATATTTAGCTTCTGGTCTTCACAAACCTTTTTGTTTCCTGTGATGTCACCTGCTCCTAGCACCTACACAATCCCTCCTAGCTCTGAGACAAAAAAATATCCCTTCACTCCGAAAGGGCCAGCTCAGCAGTGTGACTAAACACACCCGCAAACAGAAGTGACACTGAGATGCTCGGATTGGGAAGATAATTATCTCAAAAAGGCATCAGCAGCAACATCCCATTTATACTTGGGCAATGAATCCAAACAAGAGTACAATGTGCCATTGCTGGGCACATTTACCAGAAACACAGCTGTTGAAGCTTTCCCGCTTTTCAAGAGTTAGGGCAGCAATACTGAGAGCAACGTTTTGCTGGTTTGCAAATGTGCACCGCCAAATGCCAATGCATGGCCGGTACATTCCCGTCAGAAAGATGTTTTTAGATCACGGGTCTTACTTCTCTGCCTTCTTGTACATTGCCCAAAAGAAAAACACACTCACTACTGTATCGCCACCTGTTTTGTCACAACGCTGTGTCTTCTTTTAGAGCAAAAGGCTGGCAAAGTAAACTGAAGCGTGTTCTCTGTTCCCCCCGATCAACATGTACATTTGCATAAAGGAATACTACACAATCCTTTAAAAGGAAGAAAATGTCAGTACACACACAAAACAAATCCAATCACACACACATTAAACATACATTTCAGCCCCAGAGCCACATATGTAATCTTTCATGAACACATTAGATCACGTTAGATCATCTTCATTCCAGTGAAGACGGTTTCCGTGACGTTTTTTTTGTTAGTTTTAGTTTTTTACATCAACTCTTACACAAAGGCTGGTTTCGAGAGCATTCGCCGCCCTGAAGACCCAATCCAAAACTTTGGACTTAAATCTAATCAAGTTCATTTTGTAAAGATTTGGTGCTTCTTCAGGACTCTGGTAACGCTGACAATACTGATGGAAAATCAGCAATTTTCATAAATTTCTTTAAAAATGCTCGAGCAATATAATCCAATGTTTACACGTAATGTAAACAAACAAACAAAAAACATTAAAATTGGGCCTTCATGATGTGAATGCTCTTTGGGCCAACATAACGGCAGGTAGATGATCATTTATAAACCTTCAGAGATGCACCAATAACATTTTATGTGGCGGAATAAGAGTACAAAATATTCAGGTAGTACTTAACTACCTATTAAAAGCAAGAAAACGGGAAAATGAATTCCTTCATCACCCATAATTTTAGTTTAGGTGTTTGTGAGCTTCCAATAAAAGCAATATATTAACTGTTGTCCGTCAATGTTATCGGTGCACCGTTATATACCTTCCTTCACATAAAAGACAAAGCTACGTAGATTTAGACATGTTTTTTCTCTCTACACAGTTCTGTACACAATACACGGGGCACGGTCATTGGTGTGGGTGTGGCTTATCATTTCTCTGTCTGTTTCTGTCATGACTGTTCTCACTCTGACTCAGTGTGCTCACTCCGCATGCAGCCGCCAAGGGCCCATTCAAAAACCTACAATCATCACTGCAACATGCCAATTCTGTGGCAGCAGTGCACAGAAGTGTTTTATCGCGTTTTATCATCACAATCTCAACTTCTCTCCTTATATACGTCTAGTTATTCCTGTCGCTTACAGTACCCCTCAGTCATTTTCTTCTCTTCCCTCCCCCTCACACATTAATGGGGTGCTCGCCGTTCAGAGGTTTGTGAGTTTCCAAATTCCTCAGAAACAGTGGTTTTGGAACTGAGGGGTGAATTTCTGTTAATTTTAAGGTTTTAAGGAAACTTTTGGCTTTGGGAGTGGAATCTGAAGTGCACGCTACCTCCATTTTCAGAGGTGACGCCGGAGGCCAAAAGGTGAAAGACAAAGGGGGGTGGGGTTGTTTTGGGGTTTGGGTGGAGGGTGGCGGTTCAGTTGTGCTGCGTTCAGTGGAGCAGCTCTTCAAGCTCGCTCTCTTTAAGCTTGGCATTGTCTCTGACTTCGTCAAATGTGTAGGTCTTCACAATCTTCCCGTTCTGAAAGACTGTGTGCAGCAGGTCCTGGAGATGAATAGCATAACAAGTTGGAGGGAGGGTAAAAGAAAAAAAAGAGAAAAGAAACAGGAGTGCAGAAGGACAGGTGAAAAGGGAGAAAGGAGGAGCAGAGTGAAAGAAAAACAAAAAATGCAAAAGGTGACAGAAGAGGCAGGTCAGTGTTGGTGAAATGAATTCCTTTTGCATTTAATGTGTACAAATGTCTGTGTTATTGTGGTCGTTAAACTCACCACGCCATACTCCTCCAGGTCGCCCTTTCCCTCCTCCAGGGTGACAAAGTCTCCACTCTGTGTCCGGTGCAGAGACAAGCGACCTTTCTTTGACCTTTTGTTGGGGTCCGCCACTGGGTCCTTGAACACGTTCACCTTTTCCCACCACAAAAACAGTTCCATTACACATGATGCAATTACCACAACTGTTGGGTTATTTTCACATCTGATTTAAACACCACACTGATACAACGGTTCACTGAAACACAATAGCTACATTCAAACGTGCCAGCACTCACCCCCAGTCCATTAGTGACCACATAGCTGCATTTGAAGGAGCAGTTGAGCAGATCTCTGGTCAGTTTCTGCAGCAGAGCACCTCCGGACCCAAAGGCAATGTTCTCAATGGACCACTTGTGTTGCTTCATTCCCTCCACTATCTGTAGCAAAACACACACAGCCAAAAATGTAACGCACATGTACAACATGTGATTTTCCATGTATCTCCAAATTTGGTGTTTTTAATTTATTTTTCTTTAGTGTTCCTTTATGGGTTGAGAAAATCGTCATACTTCTTGAAAGGAAATTTGTCATATTTTATTAATTCATAATATTCCCCATTCCAGAGATACATGGTTTATACAGGACAGCGAAGATTCTTACTCCCCGCTGCTTTAAAGCTTTTACCATCCGGTGAAAGATACAACCTATTGTTATGGTGGTGTTGTGTCCGAATAAATGCATGAATAAATAGCATGTGTCCGTACCTCTTGCAGTGTGTTGATATCAACTCCGTCTCCTTGTATGACTCGGATGTAAGGAGGGAGAACCTTAAAACCTTTAGAGTTTTCCACTGGAATAAACTTCCTACCCAGGATCTCCAAAACCTGACAGAAGTAAAAGAAGAGCAGATAGTTGTACCAAGATTGGGAAGTTGATGTGCTCGCTTGTTTTAAGATCCTACTTGAAAGGAAAGCTGTGCACGTGAATGCACCTTCAAAACCGTATCGAGAGGGTTTCCTGAGTCTGGTCGGACAACCAGCGGGGCATCGGCGCTGCGCTTCTCTATCAGCCCCCGTAGGTCTTCTCCCCAGATCTTCTCACAGGCGTTGTAGATGTCGTAGCTGTCGCTGACTATGGATACAGGCACGTTGGGGAACTGCGTGATGATGTGCTCAAAAGCATCTTTTTCATGGTCCTTCCCCCACGCTGTGATTGTACTGCAGAGAGACCAACAGTGAAGTTACACTGAATAAAATTAGAAACACAACACTTTTGTTTTTGCCCCCATTCATCATGAGCTGAACTCAGAGATACATAGAGAAAGTCTTGGATCTTTGAGTTGAGCTCACGATGAATGGGAAAAAAAAATAAATAAATAAAAGTTTATATTATTATGTTTATAATTTTGTTCAGCGTATTATTTTGTGTCCTGCAATCATTTATCTTCCCATATTGATGATTAAAACTAGAACATACTGTGGACAACATCTGTGGTAGGTTTTACATGCTTTTACATGAACTAGTAAACAAATAAATGGGAGGAGACCACTTCCCGCCAGTTCAATATTCAGGAAAGGGAGAAACAAAGACGTTCATCAAATGATAATGCCACAGATTGTCCAGAAGAGGGCAGTGCACCCCAGGTTTTAGTCTTAGATGAAACCAGACCTGAGCCAAATTGTATTATCTTGGGGTTAAAATAGGTCTGTTTTAGCTGCCTGAGATAGCAGATGTACTACTGTTTAAAGCCAAAGACATATTGTTTTTTAACTACAATTCTCTACTATGTAGTTTGTTGATGAGACAGGTAAATGCAAGAGCTACATACAATTCCAGGTGTCCCACATGCTGGCAAGAGGTTAAATCATTTTGGCATGTAAATGTTTAATCTGTTCCTCTTAGCAGCTAAGCAGCTGAGTTTGGCTACTTAAAACGTTTGGTCCTTTGACTGCAGGCATAATATGCATTCAATTGTCACAAATATGCTGTTTATATATCATGTGTCTTCAACATAGTGTTGTTTATGAAGATCATCTTGCTTAGTTCTAATAACCATTTCTCTTGGCACCTCACAATTAGATTCGATTATGATTCAGAGGCTGGAATGCGATTATGGATGCATCATTTTTTTTTTCTACACAGGATTTCTGGATAATTACTAAGCATTTAATTTGCAAATTAAAATCCAAAAGAAACCTGTCCAACTTAGCATAAAAGGACTAGTTTGCATTCCTAATTTACTTCATCATCCTCAGCTCCAAGGATCTTCATTTAACAACCTGTAGTCAGACCCTCCGAAAACTGAAATATAATTATCAGGATGTACAGTGTGTACGGGACAGAGCTGTACACCAGTTTAGTCTACGCTTGTACCAGATGTTCTCAACCCTTGACAAGTAGTACTAATGACATACAGTTGAGCCATTTAATATTACTTCATTACTAACTTAGCTAACGTTAGCTAGCGCTAACAGCCTTCACTTTTCCAGCAGTTGGGGAAACTACAGACTTTTGAAAGACCCACTTTGAACTTCACTACACATTTACTACCAGACTGAAACTTACTGCTAATATTTTCTCCACCAACTTTCCCCATCATGTTTTACCACTCGCTCTATCTCATTTGCTCGGCCACACCAAGAGCTTGCCAAGCGTTAAGTGTCACAATGCTCGCACATTGTGAGAGTTAAAAATCATTACTTGCGCATTGATATTAATGATTGTGTGACGTTTTAGAAGGGCGATTATTTATTACGCACCGGTGGTGTGCCGAATACAGGGGGAAAACTGGTCTCTCTGTTATGTGCGCGCCAGACAGTTTGAGTGCTGAACTTCCGCTGGTTCCGCCTTTTGCATTTCATCAACATTACGTTATCAATTAACATTTAAATTGATTTTTTGATATTTGTTAAACGAATCAGAATCTTCCACGTCCGCATCGCAATGAATCTAACAATCTGTTTTTTCTCTCACCCCTAACTGTTTGTCGTCCCATTGGTGTGTCATCCTATCCTCTGACCAATCATATCAGCCCCCTCTGTGTTCAAGAACCTCCATATTTAGTCCACCCAATCTACAAAAAGAGAAACATATTTTTTTCCCCACTTTCCCCCTGGTCAAATCTGGCCCTGAAGACAGTTTCAGTTTTGTGTGCAGAGGTTGTCAGATGTCTGAGATTCCCGCTCCCACCCCAACGCAAACAAGGTAGCTGGGATTTAGTTTCTGGTTTCTTTGGAAGTGCTATTAACTAAAAAAAAAATGTGTTCACAGAGTAAACCTAAGCTACTTGGCACTCCAGCAAGACTTTTTAAAAAAACTGAGACGGTATATGTTTTAATACTATTTCACACAAACGACAGACTTGTTCTAAATAGTACTTCTGATTCAGTTGCAGTTTCTTTCCAGAGCCATTACTAGTCTATGAAACTCTTCTGTTCCATTGAAAATTTACAGGAAAACGAGCTCTGAAGGTGACATAACTCTGCTCTGAAACACCCTTCCCTTTCCTTCTACATCTCGATCAAAGTGGAATTTCACAGTGACTCCTCCCTCTGAGGCAGAAACCATACAGATCTTAGGAGCGGGCCATTACATAATGGTTACTATGACAACTATTGCCACCATCCCACAATGCATTGGTGCGGGGAAGAAAGGTGAGCTGGAGCGGCAGTAACTGCCCTGGTGGCAAGGAAGACGCGACTGTGTGCATGAGGGCGAAACAGAAAGAGAAAGTAAGTGTGTGTGTGTGTGTGTGTGCACGCGCGCGCATGTGTATGCGTGTGCGTGCGCTCTGAGCAGGACAGATCAGTGCAATAAAACACCAGAGACATGTGAGGGACATGCGCGTCAGTGAGGCAGCCAATCAAATCCTTTGCATTCTGCCAATCACAGCCCCGTTGACACACTGACATTAGATGAATCAGATAATAAGTGCGAGGGTGACCAAGCTCTAATCGGGGAAGCAAATTAACACCAACCGCTGCCAAACAATTAGTGCATTTTCACTCCATCAACAGATTTGGCAGACAACAAAGGAAAGATGACAAACTGTTTTGAAAATCAATTTGGCATGCGCCTGAAAAGGTTTGCTTCCAGACCTGGCTCTCATCGAAAACATGGACCATCTCACTAGAGGCAGCACTGGAGATGAGCAGTGACGTGCCTATGATGCCCGTGCACTTTCTGGGTATATGTGAATACTTGACTTATGCTAACTGACAGTGTGCAAAGGGATTTAACATCCTCCTGGGGCCAAATGTTTTGCTTAAACGATTCTGTGGACCTTGTACGCTCCTTAAAAGTGTTGGCAGACACCCATCATAACTTAAAGGTCGTATTACTGCTTGTGTATTTAATTGGGTGGTGAGCTACTGCCCTACATCACAATGGAAACGGTGCCACTAAACCCTCTGGAAAAGCCAGGAAACACTCTATAGCTAAATAATGACATGGGCTACAAAGAAAGATATCCTGTCTCAAAGATTCAGTTAGTAACATTATATGTTGAGAAAGGTGTGTGAGTGTCTACCTGTGTTCTGCAGCAGGCACTGAGAAGCCTGGTACAGGGTCCTTGGTGCCGTAGTACTTCTTAATAACTCCTATGCCAGCTACAGTGTCTGTGCCCTTGAAGTTGACCAGATGGGCGGAGGCCCCAATGCCCGCAGTCTGCAAATAGGAACGAAACAGGTTATAGGAGCTAAAGGGCAAACACAGCCTATTATAAAGTAAATCATTAATTCAATTTTGTTGAAGTTTAACTATTTGTTATTTATATATATTTCTTATATTATTATAAGTCTTTCCCATTTTATACCTTATATTTAAGCCTAAAAGTAAACTGGACATGGTTTGTTTCAAACAACATTCAAAACGATCCAACCTTAGAGTCGACTTGCTAACACGCCGTGTGATAGGGCTGAAAGCTCCAGGAAAAGCTAGTAAGTGGAGTCAAGTGTATCGCTGATGTCCCCAAAGTGCTATGGATGAAATCTGTAAAAAGGTACTGAGCTCTTAGGTCAACAGACCCATCTACATGACAACTGAGTGCCGTTTGACACTGTTGAAAGCTGGGATTGTTAGAATTTCCAAAGTTGAGAATGAACTTCCACATTTATTTTGTTTTCCATCTATTTGTTAGTTTGCCTAAAAAAATCTTCGGGTTTCCAGCTTTGTTAGGATGAGCATAGTATACAGCCCCACTTCGACAAAATCTACTGTACTGCGTATAGTACAGTATAGTAGTATAGTGAAGTATACAGTACCTCTTGTGAGGAGACACCCCTGTAGCCAAAGTCATGTAGTTTGTATGCTAGTCCCTCCAAGTTCCCAGAAGTCTCCAGGAGGTACTTGGCGAGGATCTTCTTCTGCTCTCTGGAGTTGGTTGCCACAGTTATGGGGTACCAGATCTGGACCAGAATGGTCTGATGGAGTAAGGAAGGACAGCTGAGTTCAGTGCAGTTCACTGGATCTTTATTAGGTTTAAGGTTCACGCCTTCTAATTTCTGTCTATGATTTAAAACACCTCTCAGCTCTTACACACAAACAAACATTAACAAACAACGTTTTCAAAGCCAATGAGCCTCTTTAAACACAGCTTTCAATGTGAACATAATATCTAGGTTAACAAAATGTTTTTTTTTGCCAGCACTCTACAGACCAGTGAATGTCTTGTCGAACCATCCTGCTTTCCCCAGTATTCTTCTGGTACTAAAACCCCAAACTAACAGGCTCAGGGGGATAAAGAGGGTTGCTTATTCACACAAGACAAACTCTGGGGGAAAATACATTCCTCGATGCCTCATGTCAACTGGACCAGTCACACAATTCAATATGAAAACAAGTGGCTTATCTGTACCCACACCACCACCTGGGAAATTTTATGAATCCACACTTTCTGCCATCATAAGTGTCCAGTACGTACGTGTGTGTGTGTGTGTGTGTGTGTGTGCTCTTATACATAAATTCATTAATATATATTCTACCTTAATATTCAATAGTGATTCATTTTAATGTCATTTTCAAAAATCATTTTGAAAAAGATAGAGGCAGGGTAGATTATATATTCAATTCTCACCATTAAATCACAACTTCACCACCTCACTTTTATTCCTAGAAAGAGAATATTAGAAAACTATAAGAAGAAGATATACTTTATTTAATCCTGCGAGGGGAAACTCAATAATATTACCAATTACTCAATAATAATACTTCCTCAAGCTGTTATTATCGTGTAATTACACACACTCTGCAACATTTCACAACTTACATGAAGTTGTGTGAGTATAAAAAGGAGTGACAGTTAAGTACGTGCACTTCAAAACCTCTTTACCAACACATACAGAGTGAAAGAGAGCTAATCCCATCTCTGTGAACTTTCAGTTCTGATTCCTCACTTGCCTACTAATACTACACAGTGTGTCTTTTCACCCTATAACCCTCAGCACAGAGTCACATGCCACCTCAGACTAATCATAATCTAAACCATAATATGAAGTCATGTGATTGCCGGAGCAAGACTAATTGCCTTGGATCTCATGTCTGTAATGGTGGTGGTGGGGGGGGAGGGGCGGTCTAATGGGGCAGCAGCACAACACTCAGGAGGAATGTGTGTGTACACAAACACGCACCAACTTAACTTCTCGGTCACTGTCCCAGAACAAAATGGAGGGAATGAGAGAGTGGGGTGAGAATGAGGAAGACAGGGGGAGCAGAGAGCCAAAAGAGCAAGACAGACATAAAAAAAAAAAAAGAAAAACAAAAAAGGAGAACATGGTGTGACGGAGAGAATGACAATCGGGAGAAAATGAGAATGATAATTGGGAGAAAATGACAGAAAGTAAAAGAAGAAGGGACAGCAAGAGTGGGGAGGAGAAAGAGAACAAGCCCAAGGACACCAGACTGAACACCATGGCTAATTTTACCTCAGCCATGAAGAATGACTGTGTGTGTGTGTGTATTTATGCATGTATTTATATCAGCCGTAGAGACTAAGTGTGTCTATGCGATCCAAATTTATCAGCACAGTGTGTGTGTGTTGTAACAGTGCTCTTGGCTGTGGGTGACCCATGTCCAAACACCCTTCCCTTTAATGAGTGTATTTGCCATTAGGGTTGAGTGTATGTGCATCAAATTATAGATCTAAATGTAGTCACATCCAGGAAACACTGGACTTTTACAAAACGTGCTGAGATACTTTCGTAAAAAAGAGACAGACTGACTTATACCCAATCAACGACACATTTGTAATTACTTCAAAAGTTCCTTTGTACAGCATGTTAAAATCTTTATTTTTTTGCATCAGTAGATAACAAATTATGATTAAATAGAAACAACTTTCTTTCTTTCTTTTAAGAAATCAAGGCATGATTATCTGTGGAAGAAGTCAAAGAAGTAAGGTCCTATGAAATCCATTTACATTTTATCCAGATTGCATTTTATTTTTCCCCCAAAAAAGGGCTTAATCATGTGGTGGATAAATAAAATTTCAACAATTTAATAAGAAAATATTAAACATTTAATCAATATCAATAGATTTGATGCATCTTGCTAATATGCATATAGAAATATTCAAATATATGAATTATAAACAATTATTTATGCGAACAATTCACAATAAATGTATTCCAACAATAGGCTATTAAAATACTATAATACTATTTAATAGGGGACAATTCACAATGAATGAATTGCAACAGCACTGCCCTTAGTGAAACGTCAAAACAGAGAGCAGAGGACACCAAAACATAGCAGCATAGTTTTCTTATATTAATTTGGCTTAAGTGCTGTGAAAACCCAATTATAATCCTGGGGAAAATCCTGATTTTTAAAATTGCATCCACATTTTGGAAGTTTTACAGTTGATTCCATTTTTACTATCAAATTCTGGCGATTCTGTCCGTGTAAATCACAGGGCCTTAAACACGAGGAGAAAGAGAGGTGCATAGAGAGCATAAGTGAAAGAGAGTGTTTTGAGAAAGGGGGAGACAGAGTGAAGATATCACTCATGGTAAATGAACTGACTTCTGCCGAGTCATTGCGGACAGCCTGTTCATGCAGCATTAAGTTCATGAGATCTTCCTCATCTCAGGGAGGAGTCGCACTGTGCATTAGCTCAACGTAACAAATGCTGCACTGAGGAGGCTGTATTAACCAACAAAGTGTCTGCTTCGAATCACAAAAATCTATTTTACTTCTGCTGAACTTTCTGTCACAAAAGACACATCCCGTTATGCTTGAGCGTTTTAAATGTGCTGTGACTTGACGGACGATCACAGGTGCTTATATTCACGGATGTCTACTGATTACTCTACCAAACCTACAGTATGAATATGATAATGACATTTTGGGGATTATGCTAATTTGCTTTCTTGCCAAGGGTTAGATGACAATATTAAAACTACTCTTGTGTCTGTACAATAAACATGAAAGTGTAAAAATATGTAAAAACAACAATTTGCTAGAACCAGTTGCGATGAGGAAGTGACACAGTTTAGCAACTAAACCCTGTAAATGGCAAATTGACGTTCCACTACGATTTTTTGCAGATTAAACAAAGGCATATAACGTGTTAATAATGCGCTATGGAGGTGCTGGTAGGTGGATTTTGTTACCTTTGGACAGAACCAAGCTAGCTGTTTCCCTTTGTTTCGAATCTTTACGCTAAGCTAAACTCTATTCAACAGACAGACACAAAAGTGGTATAAATCTTCTCATTTTCTCTCTGCCAGAGGGCAATAAGCATATTTCCCAAAAAGTCGAACTATTCTTTTAAGGAACAATTCATCCAGACTGCAGCCCTCTAACACAGTTAACACACACATGATTCTGGTGATTCTGTGTGAGGAACATCATAATGGGAGTACAACACAAATCATATTATTAACTACAACAAAGCAGCTACTGTATTTATAAAAAAAGACAGAAGGCCTGGAACTTAATCATTCACTCTTAAAGTAAATTAAAATGCAAAGTGAATAAAGCTGACTAACATTCTTTACACTGTAATTTCACATATCTGATGTCTCGGGGGAACAGAACATTGGTCAGAGCAAGGGGTTGATTTAGGACTTAAAATATTATGTCAATTGCAAAAACACCAAACAAGGACTCTCTCAGCACCCGACTCTGCTCTTGCACTTTTCAGTCAGCCTGACTTTTCTGCAGTTACAGCACATCTCTGTGCGGTGATTAAGCAACAAGGCACGACACAACTGTAGTTCGGTGAGATTTAAGGAGAGATAAGAGGTGGTGTCAGGCATGCTGCCAAGCTAAATACTTTACTGCTTTTATAAAACCGTTAACCCTCCTCTGTAATTAAAAGGACTTGAATGTTGCTAATATATTTAGTATTTAATCAATAATCAAATAAAGCTAAGCATTAAATGTTACTGATATGCTTAATAATGTACTTTTTGCAGCACATTAACATTTTTACTGTTACATGAGGGCATAGGGGTGGTACATTTAAAGCGGCTTTTAACTTGACAAAGCTAATCCAGAGCTTAAAACGTATACCATTCAAGTAGAACTCCAGTGATTTAGTATTGCACTTCCATAAAGCTGGGTGACTCAGAATAGACAGATAAGCTGACTTGTGTGCATGTCTATCTCAAAACACAATGAATCCTACATTTGCCACAATTCAACCAACAGCATATTTTAGTTAAACAGTCCCCTGTCCCTAGACTCACTAGAATTGACCCCTTATTCTATTCTGGGCCCAGAGGACAACCAAAACAAACTTACCTCCACCCAGTTGGTGAGCCAGTAGCATTCAGGGTCTGTGCTCTCCACTGTGAACAAAACGTTGCCTCGAGGAATAACACTCCCCTCTGGCACTGCCTTGATTTCAATTGGCAGGTGTCCATCGTATTTCTATTAACACAAAGACACACACAGACACAAATGTAGCAATCAGAATCAGATTTACACCGTGGCAGTTTCTTCTCTGTAGCCTGTAGAGAGTGTTTGCATTTGTATCTTTTTTGTGATGACCAGAAATGGAGACAAAGGTGACACACACTAGTTGGAGAAAATACAGTTTCTGGTGAGATTTGACCTTCAGACGTGTGCTTCACACATGGGCGCAATATGGAAAGTAGTGCTGTACCGAATAGGTCGAAGTTTTGTTTATAATGTTGACTGAATTCTGCACAGCTTTTGTTTTTTGTTTTTTTCCCTCCCCATGTCTGTTCATTCCGCAGAGCAAACTGTGTGAGCGCACGTCTCTCTCCTCTGCTCTCTCCCTATGTGTCTGATTGAGGGCAGGGCTGAGCTACCCACAGCAAGCACAGCGCACAGGATGAAGCGTGGCTTCAGCTGCATGCATTCATACAAAATCCGGCAATGTGGCTCCTTCCTGCAGGATTTTGCGGAGTTGAGGTCGTGTTTATTTGTGCTTTAGAACGTAACTGCTGTGAAACAATCCGAAAATAACTTTTATTTCTCCGTTTCACTGCTTTGTTCTGGCTAATGGCACTCGCACTCCTCGTTCACTCACGCCCTGGCTCAACCGCCGCTGTGCTCTCTCTCTCCGTCTTTGCAGGGGGCCAACTGTGAATCATATGTTTACAAACAGTAACTGACAAATCCTACTCATTCTGCCTGTACTTAACAAAAAAACCCACAAATTAATTTAATCCAATAATCACTTCATTAAAATTGAGAAGTTATTTTTTTAGGGTGAAATATGAGGACAGACATTCAAAGCTTATCTGAAAACCTTAAAAGAAGTTTTGAATGTAAAAACAATGACATTTGGTACAGCCCTAGGTGAAAGGCAGAGAGATTTTGCAAAATATACCTGGTCTGAAGCCAATCTACAAGTAGCAGATCATAGCCTGTACCATAACACATACATCTGTCCAAAAGTGAGCTACGTTTGTATGCTTGATGTTCGTCTGATGTGTGCTGGATTATAGACTAATATTAATACGAGTTTATCAACACTTCTCCTCACTCGAGAAAATGCCTCGTCAGTGGAGAGCGCTGTGCTCTCTCCAAGGTGCTGAAACAGAACCTCTCAATAACCAAAAACATAGTGTGCACATTTTCCTGGATATTTCAACTGACTGTGATTCATTTATAGTTGCGGAATCTGACTTGTATTTGTAATAATAATAATAATAATAATAATAATAATAATAATAATAATCATCTTCTTTGTAGAGCACTTTTCAAAAACAAGTTACAAAGTGCTTTAACAAGTGTAAAGACAATAATACCCAAGAGACAATAATACAAAACAATACAAGATAAAAGCAGTTACCAGTTAAGCCTCCTATAGTCCTCTTATGGAAAAGCACAGCACCAGATTGCAAGCTTGCTCTATGTACATTTTGTGTGTTTATCAGGAACACACAAAATGTATCTCCCACAGTGTACTTGTGCCTGTCTGAGACAGGCCTCTAGCCTCTCTGATAACAGAGACTCCACCTTCAGAATGTTTAATGTGCTTAAATTAAAGCGCACCGACACTAGTGTCTATGTACTCCTCCATATAAAGTTCCAACTTTCAGTAATTTTCTCAATAAACCCATTCCTATAAAGTAATATCTGTAACACTCATGGAATCTACTCAGATATGCATAAAAAGCAATCTTACCTCCAAAATGTAATTCCACCCCTTCTCATTGAAAACATCATCCTGGAAGTGTTCCCTGTATACCTCCTTCGCCTCCTGGATCTTCTCTGGAGTCACTACCTTTCCTGGAGAGGAGGAGGGAGGAGGGAGGAGGAAGGGGAAGGGAGAAGAAAACAGAAGCACAAGGAGGTACAGAAAGAGATGTTAGGAGAAACACACACTGATGGAGAAAAGGCACTGGAATGAAACTCTGAAACTGTCCACTGTTATAATGAAATTAGAAGCATCCTTTGCACACTGACAAGACGTCTTTGTCCAAACACACACCAACCTTGTCTCATTCAAGTTCCTGGACAACAGAAACTGCTGCGCACAACAAACCACAACAAGGAATATGTCTACAAATCTAAGAGGATACTTGAGTATTTTAAAACTTAGAATGAAGAGTTTGACACTTCGAGAAATATACTCTTTGCTCATTTGCCACAAGCCCGATGAGCAGATGGACACCACTCTCATGTCTGCCCGGTAAATATGAAGCTACTGCCAGCAGCCAGTTAGGTTAGCTTGGCACATATCCTGGTAACAGGGGGGAAGGGCTCGCCTAATGCTACCTCTAAAGCATGGTTACAGAGCCGGATGTTTGCGGGACTATTTTTTTGGATATTGCAGCGACTTCCTGGAGTCTCTGCTGGTTGCATGGCAAGTGACAACAAGACTCCAGTAAGTGACTGCTTATATATGTAAAAAACTAACAAAAAAAAAAAAATGTAGAGCACATAACTCCCACGTAAAAACCACCAATTGTAAAGTGCAATTTAAACAAACAAGACATACTGTGCTAATTAGTGGTATTATATTTTCTCATTTAACTTTCGACTCAAAATCGAGTGCGAATTTCCCAAAACTATTCCTTTGACTTGATTTTCTTCCTTTAAAATGCTTTGGTGGGGAGGTTTTTACATTTGTCATGCTGTTTCTAAAATATCAACAACACTGCTCACTAAAAAGCTGTAATCCCAGGGCTAAATAGGTTCTTTGTTTTCACTGAACTGCTTTACATTATGGGAGACTGAATGGAAAACTATGAAAAGGTGTCTCCCTTTAAAGTAGGGCTATTGAGTTAAAACTAATAATGAGGTTTCCTTTAATACCTAAACAGGTGGCTGCTTTCACTTTCACTATTACTCTTCCTCCCAATCACCTTCAGTTTGTTCACATTTTCTGCTGCACTTGACTAAAGTACAGTTAGAGATGATTAAAATTCCCTCAATGACTCAGTCCAGAAGAATCGTGGTGCACATTTTTGATTTCAGGAGGATCAAGGACGCATCTCTAATAGTTGGCTTAATCATTGAACTCTAAGGGACGCTCTGCGCAGACAGCTGGCCTTTCTCCCGCCGACGGAGAAAGAGCAGCTGTGCTTTTGTCTTCTCTCTCTCTGTTCTCCCTGGCTCTCCGCCCCCCCCGCACCTCTGCAGCCCCACCATGAAATCCTCTTAGGAGCCAGGAGGGCGATGCATTCTTCTTCTTTTTTTTTTCCCTCTTTCGACTCCTTCTTTTTCTGTCTCTCTTGCTCTCTCCCATGCCCCTCAGGGTCACACTAACTGACTTCACCTTTATAAATTTGAGTAAATTAGAGCAAAGACTATATTGTGTGCATTATACTTTGCCTTGTTTCTGTCTTTTCTCACTTGCTCCTTTCTTCTTGACCTGCTGGGCTTTGTGTAAGGCTCTGTAGAGTCTAATGTGTGAAGCACACTGTAACCTTGCTGCTTTTTAAGTGAGTAAAAAGGACAGTCACTGCGGCCCACAGTAGCGAACACCTGCCCTGCTGAAGTGTCATTGAGCAACTCATTGAATCTTTAGTAGCACCGGGTGTACTGTGCTGCTACTTTGACCTTGTGCTGAAGGGGGGAGAAGAAAAAAGTATAAAAAACAGCAACCAATAACGCATCTCAAAAGGCATTTGGGATGCGCTATGATTGCAAAGTGGACAACATTAGTGTACTGTGAAGTGTACTGTGAAAAAAGTCTGCACCTTTAAGTATTGAAATGTTACCCTTATTTCACTGGTTGACTGAAAACACATTAGTATTTACACAGACATCGGGGAAAATCATTAACAGAGGTCCAAACCTGCCGGTTGCAAAGTCATTCAGTCTGGCAGCGTTTGTCACTGAGAAGCTCCTACTGGGAGGTGAGCAGCACTTCAGCGTGATGCTCAAGGGCACTTTTGTTCAACTGACAACACAATACAAAGCATGGGCCCTTTTGAACAGCATCATTCAAATCTGAGTCAGGACGTACCTTTAAGGTATTTGTGGAGGATGTACTGTAGGCCGTAGAAGACGGTTTTGTCATATTTGACTTTTCTGCTTTTGGTGGGATCTGTCCTCTTCTCACGGCACTCGAAGTAGGAGTACACTTTACTCGTGTTGGGAGGGTACTGTTTGTAATGTGTTACCTGCGGAGACAGAGCACACGCCACAGAGATGAGACAGAATGGCACGGGCATTTACCATAAATAAGTAATGCAAATAAAACATACAAAAGAAACTGATGGCTTAATTGACCATAATATCATAATAATAATAATATCTTCTTGTTGAACACCCACCTCCCTACACACACATGCAAGGTGTGTGCAAGGGTTTCTAGGAGATCCCTAATATTCAGGCCAAAATGCATATGTAGGTTGTGAGATCTTGTGAAATTACAGGGATTACGAAAATGGATGTTTCACAAACTGTAAAAACACCAAAATTTTCAGAGGAATTCACGAAACCTCTCGTGTAAATGTTGAAACACCTTTAGGATTACACAGCTTGTTTTGAAACAGCTCGATAACATGAGGAAATTAAGTGAAGGAGCACAATCATTGTGACATTTTATCTGTGATGTTACCAAACATTCCAGCTGCACAAAAGACCCATCTATCAATCTATTGTGTTAAATCAAATAATACGATACTAAAATGTCAAAATCTGGGCAAGGCACGTCAGACTTCTCCCACGCAAGCATATTTGTTATTATTCTGCAACTCTACTGTTATTCTTATTCAGAAAATACCACTCTTGGTGTTGTGTGTGCTCTTACAGATCTTCTAATCAACTGTCAACTGACCATACCAGAAACCCTGACAGTTAAAACCCAAGTGAACAGTTTGAGACATGTCCAGGCTTGTTTCTTAAACACACAGAAAGCATGAACTGTTTGGGGCGTGTGGGGGCCTTAAAAACACACACACACACACACACACACGAAAAGATAATGTCAGCTGGTCAGTTGTAGCCATCTGGCCATCAATAAAATCCCAAATGAGACCAGGGATTTCAGCAGAGTACGCTAGGGCATTTGAGGGGCAATTTTCCACAAATAAGGTCGACAAGATGGTGGACAACTACAGCTCAATCATTTTGCAACCTGACATTTACTTTCAGACAGATCTGCTTCCAATATTCATACAAACAGCAGCTTAAATCAAGGGTTCAATCTGACCCAAATCCATGTAATAAGCTGCACACACTAAATACCAATGGTGAAATACTATTAAGTCTTTCAGTTGCCCTCGGGGAATACTGTATGAGTAAAACACCTCTCAGAGAAATAAGTAAGTGATGAAGGAAGGATGAATATCGGGCCTTTCCTATTTAAAAAAGCTAAATATAGGTCACAGCCTTGTCCTTCATTTGACTACAACCACTACCATTACCTGTGAAAATGGCCTACAGGCTAGATCGCAACACATAAAAACAGGCAAACAGGCGAAGGGGGAACAAAACAGCTCCGCGCCCAGTTTCTGAAGAAGAGATAAATGTCAATGAACTACTCAGTTTCTTTGACCCTGTCTCTGTCCTTTCCTCTGGGCTTTCGAGTACTCAAAATAGAGTCAAGACACACAACATGACACTAGGCCTGACCACGTGCATGTACATATTCACTGGCACACATGCAGATGTATACACACCACCTTTAAAATCACAAATCCAGTAAGGCACCTCCTTATTCTTCATCCAAGGATGTTCTTCATTTATTTTCCAATATAATAATATGAGGACACCGTAAAACACCGGGTGATAAATTGGAAACCTATATTTGATTATAAATCATACAGCATGTAGTCTTGATGATACAGTTTTATTAAAGGAGATCTGGTAAATCATCATATTTCATTGTGTGAAATCCTCCCAGGGTCAAACATGAACACACTTACAATGGCAAATCAAGGCCAGTCATTAGAGCTGAACAAATCAATATTTTCTTTATATGAATGGATAAAATAACTTATGTGTAATCTGAAAGGAGTTGCTTGTAGTGATCAACTTACAGAGAATTATCATCTGACTTTACAGCTGCCTTTATCTCTACAGAGCGTTTCAGCCTCTTTCAGCACATTGTTCTGGTTTTCCAACCTGCAACTTTTCTGTATTTGTTCATTCACATTATATTTATATTCAGTCAGTCAGTCAGTCAGTCAGTCATTTCCAGCGGAAAAAAAAAGTTCTGAAAGATGCTCTTAGGACTGCCCGCTGGCCCACAAAAGGCAGCAGCTAGCTGTCAACATAGTGGAGCCTACGCAAAAACTACACATTTCTACGCCCCAATTCCAAGATGTTATACGGACGGAAATCCCTGCTTTTGATGGACACTTATTAAAATGCAGATGGGGAGAGGTTTCTCAGCATGTGACAAGTCCATGAGGAAGATTTTAAGTTTTATTCTCTGATGATTTTGAAAAAAAAATCTAATGGTGATTATTTGATTTGATCATTTTTGGGGATTTTTTGCCTTTATTTAATAGAAACAGCTGAAGAAAGACAGCAAATGTGGGGGGGCAGGAAGGGGGTGTGTGGAGCCTATAGCATGGTGCGCGCTACCAGAGGAGCTTCGGGTGCCTGTAATCGCAATTATTTTGACTGATATTGCAATGATATTGATATAGGAGAGGGAATGATCAATTTGACATCATTACTCTGATTGTTAAACATATTAAAATGATTATGGGGTGATTTTGGCAGAATCTGATGTGTAAGCCATTTCCCCCCATAAATTTCCATAACAACTTTATGAGTTGATAATATGTTAATGTTCTGTTTATACCTTGTTCTACTGCCCCCAAGGTGGGAAAAAATAATAAAATCAGTGCTGCTATAAATTAGAAAGGCCTTTGTGTAGAACTTTAGAGATGCACAGATATCACTTATAATATATTTTAAAGCAAAAAAAAGCCTAAACACTTGCTGGTTCCAGCTTCTTAAAGGTGAAACTTTTCTTTCTTGTACTTGATAATAAACTGAACATCTTTTGGTTCTCAACTGTTGGTTGGTCTAAAACAAAATATCTGAAGACATTATCTTGGGTTGTGGCATTTTCTAAAAAAAATCTGACAATTTATGGACATAATTAATACATTATTAAATTTAATCGTTAATTAAAATATTCATTAATTGCAGCCCTAGACAACTTTCACTTTTGCCTAGAGTGAAGCTGACTATTGATTAATATTCAGTTCTATCAGAACAGTTCAATTCTGATCTGATTTTCACTGACATGTTAAACCAACCTCCTCCTCATGCTTATACTATAAAACTAGCTTACTATATAATATATATTTAAGTCCCTGAAGTTGCATTCTTAATTACCACCATCATTCAAATTACCAAAATATATTGAACAGACTGAAATACAGACACACGCCACACACAGCATTTATCTAGAAATATAGAAAGTCAAGTTCCTGGTGCACAGTTATGTCATTTTGAAACACGCCAATTATTTCTCTATTGCTCATTTAGGATTTACTGCTGTGAACATGAGATAGTGGTGAAAGCTCTTGTGGGAAGAATTAAGTGTTTCTAGCTACCAGAAGGGGCATTTCTCCGTTGCTGTGTGCCTTTCCAAACAGCACAACATCTGAAGCATGCAGCAGCTGGTAGTGTGGCATAATGGGACCATCCCATTACCTAAATGTCACAGATCAGCCCTCACTGTAGCCATTGTGTTCTGTGAAAAATGTTTTCCCCACAAAATCCTAGACCCTTACCTATTCACTTAGTGTAATTCTCTCTGGAGTTAAGGGTCAGAAATGTCACGTTAGGTCATACGCGGACAAACTTGTTTTGTGGCTGTCACATAAAATTTACATGAACAATGAAAAAACACACACTTCCACCCTCTAGTTTGTTCAAATCTGACTGACTCTTCACACAAACAATGAACTCCTGTGTGTGTGTTTCAACACAATAGGCAAGCTTGACTTTAGGTATGGGCTTCTCTTTTCAATCCAAACAGACAAAACATAAAGGTATTCAGGTGCAGCTTATTTTTATGTCCTGTGAACAAAGTGGATTGGGGCTCTGGTTGGTCTGCAAAACAGTCAAGTGCTTTGCTTTGCCCTAACCCTTTACAAAAGGTTGTTACACAATCATGCACAGACAAGCTACACACATACAAGCCGCTTTCAGTGAAACAACAACGCACACCCAAACATAGATGTTGTGTCATTTATTAATTTAGTATACTTATTGGCGCTATAAGCTGAATGAGTCCATAATAACCACCAGAACCGGCATCAGGCGAGCGGGCAGCGGAACAGGGCTCAGCAGTCTACCAACGATTTTGGTAAGATTTATTTTCGAGTTTAAATGAAGTGTGTTTTAAGATGAGTTAACAACGCAATTCGTTCAGTGAGACGAAAACTCTGAGAAAGAAAACTTGATTTCAGAAGGTGTACAGTTTAGAACTAAAAATGGTTCGCCAAATACACGTTGGCGGCCGCTAATATACCTGGGCACAAGTCTGTGTGGGAAACTTGGCATATTTTGGCCTTACATGTATTACAAATTCACTCACAGTGAAGAACATCCATGCTGATGACATGTTTAAGTGTCTGTTTGTGTGGCAATAGTCACTGTGTCTGTGCTACTGTGCACATGACGTGCACTATCGTGCAGCGCAGAATCGGATATGTGAAATTGATTGGCCCCAGTCACTGATCAAGGCCAATCAAGCTGAAAACCATCCAATACTGGTCACCGGTGATCGAGCTGTGCATCTCTAGTACAGTTGTATTTTTCTGTTTGAAAAGGAAAACAGGTGTAAGAATATTTTCTTTCTTGGGGGGCATAACTTACATGTTGCACCTTTAACTATCCTGACATAACAAGAAACAAACATTTACTCAGCAATGTTCTGCTTTAGATTGGACACACTCACACCTGGTAGCTATCAAGAGCACAAGCAGCCTTCCTCTGTGTCTTAAGGATCATACTGGGAAAAGTGCCTTTCTTGAGAAACTGAAAATACATTTCCAATTTTTATAAAAAGAAACTCATTACTAGGTATCAACTATATTGAGATTGTTCCTGAAACAGGTTTCAGTAGTAAGACATCATCAGTAATCAGACACTATTCCCCAAGTGGAGCAAATGAGCCGAATATGAAATTATATTAAAGTGTTTCACCGAGATCTACAATATTTGGTTTTTATTACACTTACTAAGAAAAGGCTTATTATTTTAATAAGGTTCAATTAATTCAAATCAATGAAAAATAGGGTGACATTTTATCCAGAAGCATTTCATGAAAATGTTATGTTTTGCTGCTGACTACAGTCTATGTTTAGAGCTCATATTTAAGCTACAATGTAGCGGATGACTGAGTATGCCCTTTACTGTGCCAGTCAGTGGCGATACTTAACATTTGATTTAACTAAATTTGTTGTAACCCAAGGTTAGTCATCTATATTTATATTAAGAATATTTGTATATTTAGTGATGACGCCCCCCCGTAAGCTACGATGATATTACCTAATAAATTACAACACAAAGGGTATAACTCCTGGGTTAGGAATGGTTGCAATGTCACTTATGTAATAAATCAACCAACTGTCATCCAGAGGCTTTTTGGGTTTTTTTCATTAAGCCCATGACACCTCCAGGAGAACTTAACAGTAAAGTCGCTTTTCCTCCACAACCACTAAAGACTAAACAGCAGGGGTTTTACCAATAACATCAAGCACACAATATTGACTGTTTAAGATCAATACACTGTGCAGTGCCTGAAACATTAGCAATTTAAACTCAAGAGCATTATCTTAAGAATTATTACTAAGATGGAAATAAACTAATAAATATATCAGAATGGAAAATTATAGCAAAACTACTAGTTTCCAAGAAATCAAAACCAAAACTGTATCTTGGAAATGAAATGTTCATCCTGGACGGGATATACTGGAAATTCAGGGCACACAACTACTTTATAAACAATAGAACAATAATTACCCTGCTAATCAGAAGACTATTCACCTACACAAAGAAAAATGTATTTCCTGCATGACTCTTAACTGCTACATAAAAAAACACCAACTTTTAAACGATACCTTAACCATGTTGTTAGGAGATTATCGGGTAAAGCTCTAAAGAACCTTAAACCCAAAGCTCACACTCTCAGAGCCTGGCTGAGAATCAAAAAGACTGCATTAGTAGACACAGGATCGTTAAAATATAACTTTACAGCACCCTGTAAGGAAAAAAATCCATATAAAATAGTAAACTTTATTTGCATCAAAAATGCATCCTATTACCTCGAGTGTTTCCTATATTATTGTGAGGAAGTGCCCCAGTTATTTTATTTAAGCTTAGAGTGGGTTCATAAATGTTTTATTGTTATATATCGACTGTCATTTTTCCAGCAAAAGTGCACAGTCAATTGTATTTATCACACATATTCCCTTTCCTCACCATACATTCATTGTTTGTTTTTATTCAGATCAGACTTATTGTTCATGTATGCCGTTTTTATGTGATCTCAGTCTGAACGTTTCCTCTTTGATGCCTGTATTTTGTCTTTCAAACTCCTCTGCTGTTGTCCCCACCTCCATCCCCTTTCCTTTCTGTAATCTTTTGCCTCTCTGTCCCATCATCACCATCACTGTTTGCTGTCATATGACCCCTGCAACTAACTTGGCAACCAACCAACGTGCTACGTGCGAAAGTACATTCGCCGCAAGTGCATTTGTTCTCTGTTTACATTGTAAGCAGTAAGGTGCTTTTATATTACAGTTACATTTGAGACTATATATCAGTGCTAAAAAGCCCGCAGTCAACTGTTAAATAACGTTTGAAGGCGTGTCAATTGTATGCAACACTTTGGTCTCGCATAACTACTGTCACAGAGGGTAATGTCCCCGGCTCTTTTTAACTTTCAGTTTTGATTTTCCGTAAATTGAGTGACGCATTTGCACTGGTAGAAGCTAGCTCCACGCAGGCTAACATTATGCTTAGCTGGGTTCTTGAATGAGACATGTGCAGTTCACCGGGCAATCCCCACTGCACTTGCTAGCAAGTGGCTAATATTAGCTTTTTTTATATCAATCCCCCCTGTCCCCTTTCTGCTCTCTCTGTGAGCTAGCAAGTTAGCTAATTCAACTAGCTTGATACCACTGTGCCCAGCAGAGCCGGTGGGTAACTGGTGTAAGTTAGCTAGCTCAAAGAGGGATGCTTGCTTTCTGAATATGGTGTCTGCTCTACAAGCCCTCTCCTCCTCTTCCTCCGTCCCATTCGGCCTGCTGTAAAACGACGGAGACCCTGGCCACAGAGAGCAGTGTGATGGCCTCGGGACTGGTGATGAAGCCACCTTGACTTTATACATTTTCATCCATCAGCCGCTCCCTCCCACCCACCCACCCGCCCAGCCTCCCTCCGTCTGAAACCAACATGGGTACGTTACCTTGTATGAATCGGTCATTAACATTATGTTGACGCCGGCGTCTCTGTGCTCCATCTTTCCCCGCTTGGTTCAGTCGCAGCTGTCAGTGTTGTGTTGCGCGCCTTGCTGCCGGGGACTCCTGCCTGGTAGTGTAGCTTGTCAGAGGGAAGGACGAGAGGAGAGACCCGGGCGGGGGAAGGGGCGTCACCAAATCCTTCTTCTTCTTCTTCTTCTTCTTCTTCTTCTTCTTCTTCTTTTGATTTGATTGGCGGCCACCTACCGGACTGGAGTGTGGAACAGATGATTTGCAGACTAACATACTTGAAATCAAATAAACAAACAAAACCAATTAAAATAAAAAAAACAACAAATCAAAACAAAAATTGAAAAACCTATATCCTCTCCATTAATCCCATATCTTTCAGATATTTAATGAGGTTTTAATGTCAATTGTCAATCAACTGCCCATACAGTCCCGAGAAGAGGTCTAAAATGTGGGTTTACCAAGTGAATGGGGCTGTAAGATGATCATCAGATAGTTTTACCCAGACAAATTACATGAAACTCACACATAAGACAGAATTAATAATTCATTAATTGTGAAGACGTGGCAGAGAAACATCTCTTTCTATAAAATTCCTAATCATCTAGTTAACTGGGCGGTGGTTAGCACTGTCACCTCACAGCAAGAAGGTTGTGGGTTCAAACCCCGGTTGCCCTGGCAACCCAAACAGTGGTTCATTCCATAAACCAACCTTTTCCATTTTTTCACTCTTAGACAGTATTTCTTCTTACTAAAATCTTATCTGGATGATGTTTACATGTGAATAAGTATACTGCAACATTTGTTATTTTTATCACAGAGCGCTCAACAAATGCATGAGAGTGTCTACAGTGTAACAGTAAAGAAAAGAGAGGCATGTGGTATTACTGCAATAAAAATGTGCAGAGATGAAGAAACCTACATTACTTTCTGCTTCTTGGACGGATTCCAAGCGTCATGACATGCACAGCTTTTAATGAGCTCTGTCTGGAAGGAAGCTGATGTAGTAATAACATTCAACAGCATCAAATTTAGTGGTCACAAAAACATCCTGTGGTTTTAGTGTACTTCAGAGTTGGTTATCTTTACAAGCAGATGTCCATTATTTTAAACTGACCTTTTTCCAAACACAATCTGTAAAGTACAGAGTGTGTTTTAAAGCACTGTAAAAAGGTTAATACAGAGGAAAACAAACTTGATGAAGGACTCTCATATCAAAATAACCAACATTACCTTGATTGAAAAATTCAAGATAGATATTTACTGCCTTGGTAAAAAGCCTAGAAGGACGGCCAAGACCAGTGCCAACTGATATGCTTGGTCTCAGCTTGCTCAATATGCTTTTTTAACCTAATATTTTGGCACGCGTTGGAGTGTTCAGTTTGGCACATTGAATCAGATTCCTGGGACTCTGGGCTTTGTACCAGTGTTTGGATGTATTTTCTGAAACTTTAACAATTTGATCCCAACACCAGCATATTTCTCACTTTAAATGCTACCTCCAATACAGGGATATGGAATAATTTATTTGGCATTCCCATTTTATGTCCTTCTTTTTTTTGTTTGCCATCAACCCAACCTGTGTAACAATAACGATTTTACTTTTTCCTTATTTTGTGACGATGTCTTTTAGAAGCTCACTACAAGTCTCACTTCAGTTGTCGTCAAGAAAACAAACTCAAAATGGCTGATAAAGCAAAATCCATACATGCTGCTACTATGTGACTATTTAAATCTACTACAGGGCAACAATAGATGATTATTTTTTATTATTGATTAATCTACTACTTGTATTATCAATTAATCACTTTAGTCTACTGAATGAGAAGTTTAAAAAAACAAAAAACAAAATCCAACTAGTTTAAATTTACCATCCATTCATCGTCAACTTTATCCTGTGTGCAGGGTTGCGGGTTTAAATTTACCATGATTTTAAAACAGAAAAAGCAGCAAATCCCCAAATGGAGCCACTGAAACCATGAAATATTTGGAGTTTTTAATTGGAAAAATCAATTATTAAAAAGTTGCACATTCATCTTCTGTCAATCAATTTATTGACTAATCATAAAGATCTGAAACACATTTTGGTATGTTGTTTCTTCTCCTTCCTTTTTAAATTTTTTTTCCATGAGCCTTCTTCTGCTCATGTTATTGGTTTGTACCTCATATTTATGCGTTTTAATCATCACTTAAATAGGCTTAATATAAATTAATTAATTTTTTTCATTTGGTGCTAATTCAACGTAAGTAAATCTTTTAACCTAAAACCATAACACATATCACACACTTTCCATACATCGTGCCTATTGTAGAGCTCAAACTCTTACATACATTTAGAAACAGTTGATAGTCCTCCTCCTGATACCAACCATCCATACTTTAGGACCCACTGGAGTCACAGATATATGACACCAGTGTGACGTGCCTGGCTACGCCTGAATGGCGCACTCATTCAGCGGGGCGGTGAGAGATTCCAACCCGCTTGACAAATGCCTTCCTCGGCCTATGGAAGCCACTCTCCCGCTTATCCGCTCCCTGTGGAGGGAGGAGCTAACTGCAGGACGTGACATTTCCGCATGTCAATAAAAATATGTGAGTCAAGGGGAAGAAGCATAGGGGAAGAAATTGCAGATATGTACGTAAGTGCTCTGCTTTCACTTCAACAAGTGCTTAACATGTAGACTTTCAGTCACATGATGACAAGCCTCAGACTCCAGCTGCCAGCTGCTGCCTCTTCTCAAGGAAACAAAACACTCCGGAGTGTTTTAAAAGCAGGGGTTTTGTGCTGAAAGCCAAGGAGACTGAACACATGCTCAAATTAAAGACAAAGTTTGACCTGCAGGCAGATGTGGTGTCTGATATCCTCAGGAAGGAGGCGTCGGTCTGCAGGGTGACAGGTGAGGCGTTCAGGTGTCCGCGGTCCGTCAGTGTACTGTTTCTAACGTATGCATAAGTTAGTTGAAGAGCTTTGACCAATAGGTGGCTAACAGTGTTAGCTAAAAGTGTCAGGTTTAAGTAAACCTTCAGTGGATACAACTGGATTATACATTTGTTGAATTAGTACAAAATTGCGTAATATCCCGTTAAAAGTTAAATTATTATATATATAAAGTTAAGTTATAATAGAATAATTATTATAGAATTTAAATCAGAATCCCTAAGTAGTAAAATGTTAATGCGTCCAGTAGATGGTGCAATTTACTCTTCATCTTTCCTCTCTCAATACCATGATAAAGAAAAGAATTTCCTTTAAAGCAGTCGCATTTAAAGCGTCTCAAATATGGAGCAGCATGTCAAATTACCAAGATAAACTACAGAAAAAGTTTATAGAAAATACAACTGAATGCTCTAAAAGTATCTGGAGCTGTATGATTCCATTACCTAAGATCCTATATTTAATTAGGGAAAATATAAATGAACTAAATGGATCGCAGATTGTTTTATTTCCAGTGTATCTCAGTGCAAGTTATTGTTTTTACACAAGACTGAAAAGAAAGGCTTCTCATTTTTGCAGGATCCACATATCACAGCAAGACTTTAAGTAATATGCTGTTACAAAGCAATCAAAAGTTTACTGCATTAAAAGGAATAGAAACTGTATGAGAGTTTTACTGTGAACGTCCTAATTGTACAGTGGAAACAATATATTCTCATTTAGCAGTATGTTCAGCCTGAGACTGCCTTTAGACATGATAAGATATATGGGGCCGCAGTAATGATGCTGTGTCTGCAGAGTACTCTGGAGCAGTCGACACTCGTATCCTGAACATTGAGAGAGATGGGGGCGTCCTTTACTCTTGGAAGGTAAGTCTATAGTGAAGGCTCTGCATATTAAGCATATATAATGCTGAGTATGCTCATTAAGCAAGTGTAATTATTCTAAACCTTGTTAATCCAGTATTCTTTCCAGTTTAATTGTGTTACAACCTGCACTGGTCTGACTTCTTTACATTACCATGTTATATATATTGTCTTGTCTCTTTTGTTAGACTTAAGCCATGGATTACTATTTGTTTTATACAAATATACTGTATATTTCTTTAACTTGGGGACGTGGGTTACATTTATATGAAAATAACACTTAAACACACATAACAATCACCAAGTTTGTCATTTAATTATAATTTCCTGTGAATGTAGATATAACATTATCAGCACATTGTTTGACAACTATTCTGGTATATGCTTGTCCCTGTCCTTCACTGAAGTTATAGTGAGTGAAATTCTGAAATCCCAGATGCCATGTTTTATGTCTCCACCTTTCATCATCAAATGGACGCCATCAAATGAAAAATTATAAATTCTTTTGTACAGATTTCTTTATTATTCTGCTTGACATATTCAGTATTTTTTTTAGAAGCCTTGAGATCCTTACAGGAATTTTAAAATAAAATTCTGTGTGTGTGTACACAGCATACATTTTTAATGACAGACCCGCCAAAGAGTCTGTGGGTTTAGGAGGTTAAAGACAACGTGCAGCCTGCAAAGAGAAAATCATCTCATTTTTAGTGCAAGGTTCACAGTGTTATGCATGCCTGGCTGTGCCTTGGGTTTCAGAGTAGCCCTCCTTTTATTTTAAATTTTCTGACCCAAAAAAAGCAGTGAAGCGGGTCTAGCCAGGATAATCAGCAAGGTCAAGCCAAGGTAATGAGAAGGTCAAGCACAACGTTCCACACACATCATTGTAGGGGAAGACACCAGTGGGAAAGTAGGTCTACTCCATCCGGACAGATTAAGACTATCCATCTCACTAGTTTGATTGATTTACAGACACATGACTTAATTAGTGGATTCTATTCTATTCTGATAGGGAGCAACAGGAACCACCAGGATTGGGAAATATGACTCTAACACCAAACAGAACAAGGTATTGTGTGTGTGTCCTGTGTCTCCTTCTCTTTTAGTGCTGCAGATTTTGCTTTTGTGTGTGCGTGTTTGTACTCACCCTTTCCCATGTGGCTGTGTGTTCTTTCCAACAGCTCCTGTACACGTTTGACAAGCAGGTGTGTGTCAGCAGCTGTTCCCTGAACAAGGAGGAGACGCTGTTAGGTGAGCCTCTGTAGCGTGCAGATAATATACTGTGAATAATACTGTGTTGTTAACCCCCAATAAGAGAAGTTCAGCTTGATCTGAGCCACCAAATTCCGGTCTAAATGTCAGTGTCTTGAATACTGTTCAGCACTATCCCTATAATATTACTTTTTTGCAAGGTGGGGACCCACAGGAACGAGGCTACAGACAAAGTTTGGGTGCAGATTGTTGACTGTTGTGGTGCCAAATGATGTGTGATATATATGTAAATGACACATTTTTCCCTCTCAGCTGTCAGCTTGGCACAAAACACCAGAGGAGAGGAGCGCCTCAAACCAAGTAATACCCAAGATCTCTTTCTCTCTATTTCATTTAAATGACATGGACTATTTCAGCTTCCTGAAGTATTCAACAAATTGCATTTTGAATCCTTCTTCTCACATTCTGTCTGTGTAGTATCCAAGTGTCTAACGCTCCTGATTGAGATCCATCCCATCAACAACACTAAAGTTCTCAAAGCAGTAGACTGCAGGGTCAAAGTGCAGGTAGGGGTTGTGTGTGTGTGTGTTGTATCAGCCACTTTCATGCAGGTTTTACTGCAGCCACGAGCTGATGTTGCAGTTATGGACAATCGGGGTTTTCAGTGTACGTGTGCCAGGGACCATTTATTTTACAGGCTTGCTGAAAGTGCATTGGCCTCTAGTTGCCATTCTCACTCTTACTCACTTTGTCATTTCTTATCTGGCTCTCTTTCTCAGTTGTGTTTTGTAAACAACAGAGGGAAATTATTAATGAATATGTTCCCCTTATTGCCAAACCACAAATTTAAAGACACTCTAAGAATGTTTGAGGCCTGCATTAAAATATGAAAATCAGCAAATAGATTTCTCCATGTGGTAACAGTTAAAAAAACAATCATTTAGATACTGACTCGTCTTTTCTGTGGCTGTCTGTAGTTCCTCTGCTCAGAAGCTGACAGAACATCAGTGCTGGAGAGCCACCTGCTGCTGCTGGCTGAGGATGGATGTGAGTCTGTGTGCCCTTATGCTTGTGTGTGTGTGTGTGTGTGTGTGTGTGTGTGTGTGTGTGTGTGTGTGTGTGTGTGTGTGTGTGTGTGTGTGTGTGTGTGTGTGTGTGTGTGTGTGTGTGTGTGTGTGTGTGTGTGTGTGTGTGTGTGTGTGTGTGTGTGTGTGTGTGTGTGTGTGTGTGTGTGTGTGCGGGCTAAATTTCTTTAATCCGTTAAAAAACAGATCATCACATTTAGAGGGAAATAATCTGGCTTTTCACAAGTTTCATATAGTTGTAGTAATGCATACTTATCCTTCCGTGCGTTTCAGATGTGGATCTCTACCATGTTCTGCTGACAAAACAGGAGGGTTATAGAGTGGTAAGTTGGGCTTTATGTTCTTTTTGAAGGAACTGTCTGTGGAAAGTGGCCTCAGCTTAACTACAGTATAAACTGCAAGGACGATTTTTCTGGCTGGTGGGTTCTGTGTAGTCTCTTTTAAGGTAAGGTAAATCAATTATTTGTACATATTTAGTAATTAAGGAGCAAAAAAGGTTTAAATGTATTAACATAACTCAGTGTAAAGAAAATATTACTTCAACCTCATTCTCAGGCCATAAAATATAGTGTGCTCCTTATCCTCCCGGGCAGCTTTGCATTAAGAATTCAGTGTGTCTACAAAGCTGAATATGAATGTGTTCCTGTGAACCAGGTGATGGTGAATCCTGAGCGTTTGTCCAAAACAGCAGAGACAATAGTAGAGGACTTCTGCTGGGTCCAGTGGGATGGACACACACAAAGACTCTACTACCTCACTCATAACGTAACGCACACACACTGACATGTACAACTATACTTGTGAGAACTTTGCTTTGAATTACATTCATCTATAAAAAGAAAGCTATAGATTATGTTCTTTAGACTACCTACACTGAATAACAAAAAATCGCGTGTCTTTCACAGGACAAGTTCCTGATCCGATGTGTTCAGTTTTACCCCTACAATACCTGCGAAACTGTGGTTTGTCATCTCTATGCCTTAGAATGTAATAAATTACCAGTCTTTTGCACATACTGTCATAATCACAATGACCTGATAATAACATATAATTGTCTTGCTTTATATTACTGTCCCACAGTTGGAACTCCCATTAGAGTTGCCTGCTAATCCTTTCTGCACAGTCACGTAAGGCAACAACTACTAGTTCAGTATAAATATAGAAATATGTTTTCTCAGTAGCTACCTCATTCTGTATTCTGCATTTCTTTAAATGTTTTTGACATGTACCTGCAATAAAAGACACTAAAATGAATTCCTGTACACTTCCTGTGCTGTGCAACGTATTTGTTTGCTGTACATGCTCATAATTAACTGGGATTTTTGTTTGTGTGTGTGTGTGGCTAACAGGTTTGTAAATCTGGGTTTTGACCATTATCACACAGAGAGACCAGAGCAGGAGCTTGTAAGGATGAAAGTGTTCACAAACAGAATAGGTAACACAATCACGCACACATAAATCCTTTAAAGAATAATCTGCTTTCACACATATATATTATCTTACAGTTACGTGACTAATCCTATATGTTTGTGTGTTTTGCATTTCTTTGTTAAAACAAGAAAGTAAGTCCCTGCCACAACTCAGAAGCTACTTTATAATCTATGGAACATAATGATACAACATGTTTTATTATATACACAAAATGAGTGAATTGTGTTTTTGAGCAGCAGAGATCCAGTCAAATTATTGCATACAACTACGATATTATAATAATAACAGAAGAATTTCTAAATGAAATACACAATCTCCTCACCTCTATTATTGTCCTATTATTTATTGTGATACCTTTAAAAAAATGCATGTTGATATGTGAAAAGATTTCCCATCCAAACAAATCACAACTGATTTAATAATTATTATGAACATTGTCATTAATGTACATGGTATTTTACTGATTACTACACTGTCCTGTGGTTTGTTTTAGGAAGCATGTGCGTGTGCTACAGCCGTTCACTTAAAGACAAACAGGAACTGGTCTACACTGTTGTTTTAGTTCACAAAGGTATGTATGCTATCTACTGCTGTCTATTCAAAGGATGTATAATACCTAATTTCTTTGTCTTGCTATTGCTGTCCTATGTTACTGTTTTTATCTTAAGGCACATGGTGACAAATTGTGATTTTCTGACTTTCTGCAGACTGCAGCAAGACATTCAGGGTTTCTCTGGGCAGTGACCAGTCGCCACAGAAAGCCACACAGCTTCATCCACTCTTCATTCCCATAGGTTAGTCCACACACATAGTCACACTCACACACACACACACACACACACACACACACACACACCAGAATCCCTTTAAATTCAACCTAGTGTGTGTGCTTGTAAGTGTATCCTCATGCAGCCCAGTAAATGTCTGCTGTACGTACAGCATGCTAAGATATACTCTGACAGTGATGCTGTGTTATTTTTGTATGTAGGTTACTACATCCTGGTCTACCTGCAGGGTTATTTCCTTCATTGTATCAACACCAGGCAGCAGGAGATGCTCTGTCACTCCCTCTTTCTCTCAGGTAAGACGAGGCTTTTGGACAAATCATGTCTAAGCTGAGTGATGGCTGGGAAGCAGTTTGTTTCCCTCTTTTGCCAGCTACAGCACATGCTCCTAATTTTTCCTGATATGTTTTTTTAAAACAACAAAACCTGTACAAATGTAGAGAAGGGGCTCCTCATATTAATCCAATCCAATATGATGTTTCCTTGTCTTATTCTGTCTGTGTTTCTCAATAACTTGGAGGTCTTGATGTGGACTTGGGCCTGCAGTGTCAAACATCTAGCATTATAGTGTTGCATGAGGAGGAAGAGTCTAGTGGTGGTCTGTTGGACCTGGCCAGTGGGAGGATCCACACTGCTGAGCTTAGCCCAGCCTACCTGCTGCAGATACTGCGATCAGACACTCCTAGGTGAGAGTGATTCAAAACTCGTTGGAAAGGAAGTATATCTGGGTCATTATTTTGATGGTTTTCATTTACACAGTGGCGGCTCTTGAGAGCAGAGGAGAATACAGGTAGGCAGGAAGCAGGCAGATAGAAAGAGAAACCTACCTTTTGAAAGTTATTTTTGTGAGCGTACACCTGCAGAGCCTTTTTGGAAAAAAGAACAGCTTTAACTTGAATCCCAGCCAGCACCTTGGATTCAACCTTCCTGATCAATAAAGATGGATCAGTGGTCCCTTGCTCAGTGTTTTGTTCTATTCTTTAATTCATTTATTCATTCTTTTGTCTTTTTTCCTTCAATCCACCTTTTCAACAGCACATACATCACTTCGTTCAGTGCCTGACTGTTGGATGTCTACCTATGCATCTGCATTCGTGTCTCTGTGTTTTTATATGCTTATGTTTTCAAACAGAAAAATAAAAAATAAAAGTAAATTTGTTCTATGCCACCTCCATCCAAGGTGTCCTAGCAGTAAGACTGACCCTCAGCGTCTGGCTGCCCTCCACTGCCTGCTGGTTTACATGGGAAGCGACCCAAACCTGGAGCTGAAGGTACAAACGAAAGCAGAAAAGGAGTTGGGAGGACAAAAGTGTTGACATTTAAAGCAAATTTACGTGAAACTTACATCAAACACAACATTTTTTGGGGATCAAGTAATGTTTTTATTTTATTTTAAGTTACACCAGCACTGCATTTTTATACAACACAATGTCATTATTTATTTTTAGAACCTAAAGGAATTAATAACTTCACTTGTTATCAATGTTTAGTCACAACATCAACAACATATCTGAATGCAGACGTGAGGGGAGGATAAAGGAGCAAAAAAGTGGGGAAAGCTGACAAAGAATGCAGTCACTATTAATCAAATGTAAGGTTCTTTCTCCGAAGTAAAATGAATAGCTGAGTAAAAAGAAATAGATATGATAGAGATGACAGCTTTTCTGCACTTCTTTGTAAATTGGGTAGGTGTCAACCTTGAGTTGGAAATGAGCAGATTGAGGGACAGGAAGAAAGAAAAGACTGGATGCTGTAATAGAACGGGAGAGGAGAGAAGACAAGCGGAGAGATCAAACTGAGTCAAACAAAGACAGAAAGAAAGGGATAGATATTTTGTTTGGACACAGTGCGGACTATGACTCAGACTCTATTATAGTACATCTAAATTAAGATGTTCCATCTGCACAGATAGATTGTAATAAATTATTTCTTTAGAGGTTAAATGTGTCACCAGCTTCATTAGTGCAGCTAGCACTGGGAAATTGGACACCACACATAACGTTTGTATTCTTTGTAGACTGTGTTAATGGGGTCAGCAGCACAAAAAGTAGTGGCATTAATAAAGGTGATTGCTTGTTAACATTTTCTGCTTTATTCACAGCAGTGTGTAATTTTAAGAGAATACTGCAAGGGAATAGTGCAAATTAAGTTCTTTTACTCTTACAATCGTTTCTTTGTCTTCCTCTCTGATTATTACACAGTATTTCTGTTTGTGGACATAGGACTCAAATTGACTTTGGCAAGGAGATATTTCTTCAAACAGCAGAGAAATGGGCAACAGAAAATTAGTTTTCACTCTGATGCTCTGTGGCTGTGAGATTTGCAGGCACTGTCTTTGAGGATATCATTTATTTTTCATGTTTCTGTAATGTAAACACAGGGCACCCATCAAAGTTACATCACCCCAAACACTTGAACTGTTTTAATATATACCAAAGATATCCACTGTTTGAAGAGTCTCCAGCCATGCTACCATGCTCACAATGACAATTCCAACATGCTTGCATGTTTTGCAAGTATCTTTACCTCATTCACTGTCTTAGTTTGGTGTGTTAGCATGCTAGCTAGCATTGACCAGCTGGTGGAGTTGGAAAGAAAAGTCAGGGGCCCAAATTTCATGGCCATCAAATCTTTGTTGAGATATTTTGTTGAACTCTATACCAAAGTGGTGAACCAAATGACCCCTGGAGCCATGTCACTAGCATGGTTAAAACTATGTATTTTAAGCAAATAAAATAAAACAAAGAGAGTTTTTAACTGCATACTTATACATACAAATGAATACTTAAAAATACATAATTACTTTCACTGAGAAGATCAATACCACTCTCATGTTTGTGTGCTTAACGTGAAGATATAGCCAGAAGATGATTAGCTTAGCCTGGAAGCAGCTAGCCAGGCTTCGTCCAAAGTTAACTAACAGGTACTAGCACCTCTAGAGCACATTCAAATATCAAATTATATCTTATTTGTTTAATCCATACACTCTTTTTGTCATCATGAGGTTGCCAGTCAATCAGCAGAGACTCCTCGGCCAAGAATTAGTCCATCATCACATCCTCGCTTCAGTCTCTATGAAGATTAAATAAATGAGATATAATGTCCACCTCTTTCCCCCTGTTTCCGGTCTTTATGCTCTCAGCAAGAAAGTGAATATTACCCAAGATGTCAAACTATTTCTTTAAAGGATAGAAGATGAACTAAAGTTATAGTAATATTGCAGAGTGGACTAACCATTTATAAAGATATAAGATATAAAGATAGAGAGATGAACATTGTCATTACAGTTGTCATGTTGCCCTCTCACCACTTTGACACCTGTCTCCTGTGTGTTTCTGTCCTGCCTCTAGATTATTGAATGGCTGTCTGACAACGTGAACGCCTTCGAATCCTTTGATCAGATCCAGGAGTTCATTCTAGGTCGGTGGCAGCTGAAGCAGGGGGACGCAAGTCTCCTGAGTACCACTTCTTCTTCCTTTTAGAGTCGAGCTGCTCTCTTGCCTTTTTATGAGACTGCTTACATCTTGTTTACACAAAACTGAATTCTTTCATGAAGTCTGTTTGGCTCTTAAATGTTGCCTCATAGACTTTTGCCAGGCATCCAACGTAGGTCTGGAGAGTCTAGATTGGAGGATGAATGTAGTTATTTAGAGATCTTGGAGACTTGTAGCTCGCACAAAACAGTTTGAAAAAATATGATCACACCAAGTCCTAGTAGACACACAGCAACACATTTTTATGTCCCTCAATGGTTGTCAGAAAAAAATAACTCAAGAACGGATGAATATTCATAAAACACCCACATCAGGATCACCTTACCCAGGCTGGTGTTATTGAACTTTACTGTTGGTTAACCACAGATAAATGCGTTAAAAGCAGTACAGTAATGTCTAGCTTTGTAGTGGTTCCATGGTGTAATGGTTAGCACTCTGAGCTTTGAATCCAGTGGAACCTGAGCTTATGCAAGAATGCAACCTTTCCACTGCTGGATAACCACAGACTGACTTTGTTTGCTCACCTTACTGGATGATATTGAGGGCAAAAGTTGGGCTATAATATGTCACATCATAACATAGTGTACTAAAGTATATCATGATGTAGTTAATGTACTCTATCATGATATATATCAAAATTTCCACTAAATACAGAATGTATACAGGGAAGATGGCTGAGCGGTTTAAGGTGCTGTTATCAGGTTGTTGTCTCCCCTGGAGGCATGAGTTCAAATCCCTCTTATGACACTTTCAGCAGAAGCGTAACAATGTGAGGGAAAGTCAGGCATTCTTTATATGATAAAAACAATATCAGTAGTGCACCAACAGCGTAAGCAGCAGATTTAAAGCAGTAGGCAATCTCTGGTCGCTCTTGAACCTCTAGTTGCTTCAACGCCAAAGCCTTTTCACAATGAGTAGCTCTCTAAACAATCCTGGCTTTTGAGTCAGTATGTGTTGATGGCTAAGTTCCTGCGGTCGTAACCTTTTGTAAAGTTAACATGCTAAAATTAGTTTATTATGCAGTTGTCCACATTTGTTACTGGCTAGATGAATTGTTTTAGGAAGCCTTTAAAAACAATGGCTTAATTTCCCATTTCCCACATCCCCTCCTGTCTGTGAACTCTTAGCTAACTAAGCTGATTAAGTCAGCCGGTAAAGGTTGCTTTTTCACATGTTATCACTGGTGTCACTGGTATTGTTGCCTGCCTTCTACTTCATATTCTTCATTAACTTACACAAATGTTGATATCATGTGCGAAATTGTTCCACAGCAGTCTCTAGAAGCTGTGTAGACGTTCTATGGTGTAATAGTGTAGTGTAATAGTAGCACTCTGAACTCCGAACTTCATTTATAGTAGAATTACAGGTAAGGCTTTGTAGGCATTCAGACTGAAAACAGCACGGAGGGCTGCATTGGTGGGGGCATGTTGTTTCAGGTAGCAGTGACACATGAAACAACCATGATGTGGACCAATCCACATTAACAATCTCTGTTTCCAAAATTGATAGTACTGTCTGAAGGAGGTGAACGCGCACCTTGAATTCTGTCTTGTTCTCATAAAAATGAGGTTTCACTGAGCTGTGAACTCAGACTGCTGCATTTGAGTCTACAGTGCTCAAAATGAAGGGTCCAGTATTCTCCATAAGAACTATCAAATTGCTTCGGAAACCCCCGACAGCTTTCCAATGACTTTTATGTTCTATTCTCTGTATAGATGTAAGAAACTGCCCAGTAACTCTGTGTGGTTCCATGGTGTAATTGTTAGCACTCTGGACTTTGAATCCGGTGATCTGAGTTCATATTTCAGTAGAACCTAATGTTAAGCAAGAATGCAACATATTCATTGCTTGATAATCAGATAATTTGTCAAGTGAAAAATTTTGACTTTGTTTCCTGACCAAATCAGCACCTTTCTGGATGACAATGCAGCGAAAAATGGGTCATAACGTGACACAGCGTACTAAATTATATTGTCATAGAGTTAATGTAGTCATGATGTTGCAAAACTTCCGCTAACTAGAGCGCATATACAATCATGATGGCCGAGTGGTTTAAGGCACTGCGTTCAGTTTGCAGTTTCCCCTGGAGCTGTGGGTTCAAATCTACATCTGACAGCTAGTTTTTCAGCAATACAATTACCTGTAATGTGAAAAAAATGCAGTCTCAGTAGTACAACTGCAGAATTATATAACCTATATAATGTACTCATGTATCAAATGTATATGTCAAACTAAATTAATTATAAAATGATTAAGCATTATCAAGGTCAGGGGGCTTTTTCAAGGGGTACCAGATAACATTGTTTGGAACACGACAGTACCACCTGAATAGGGAGCCAAAGGAAAACAGCAGATGCATAGCCCATTGCAGGATATAAAATCTGATATCATGCAGTGCCCCCCCCCCCTTCACAAAAATGATATTAGTGGGACATTGGTTCAGGTGCCTCATTTGTCTTGTAGTTATTTTAAGATAATAATTCTGCATAACCGTAAATAAAATAAAAGTCTGACTGTACAATCTTTCGCTCTTTTTCTCACTCACACACAGGCTCTTTGTACAGAATAAGCTATGAGAAGTCTCTCAACATGGACAAAGTCCTGCCTTACTCCTCTGTATTCGACAAGAAGGTACCACACACACACACACACACACACACACACACACACACACACACACACACACACACACACACACACACACACACACACACACACACGTATACATAGATTTCCACAAGCATAAAGGCATAGAACTAACTACCTGTAACCCACATATATAGATATGACATACTTGCAGTTCTACTTATTTTTTTTTGTGCCTTAAGTAGTACACCCGCAACCACACTTTGCTCTGTCTTTGTGTGTTCTAGGAGATGCCACTGTGCCTGTTGGAGGTCCCTGGTGTGTTGTGTACCACTGAGCTGCATATTGAACCTGTGTTTAAAGGGAAGGTAACAACATATTCTTAATTTTTTTTAAACAAATGTATAACATTAACACTGATTTTAAATTGATATTGAGTCCTCGTAGTATTTCCAGAGCCAGTTAATAAAACTTGGCCTTACATTTAGTTTGATGATTAAATCGAGACAATGCGTGTTTGTTACATAGCATATTATACATACTGCAGGTGCATTTGTAATACAGTGTTGGGAAATTAGTGTAGCCAACGTCATTTGGAAATTAAAAAGCCATTTAAATGTAAAACAGTGTGATTTTATATGTATTGCGTATGCGTGGGTGCAATAAAGACGTAGTTATCCTCGATTATTTTGCATGAATGTCCTTGGTGTCACTGTGGTGGTGTTGTTTGTGTCCGTGTGTGTGTGTGTGTGTAGGCTAGAGGTCTCCTGAATTTCTGGTCAGAGCTGCAGTGGAACACAGAGAGGGCAAAATATTTGGATTCTGTTCCCAACCCCAGATACAGACCCTCACACATACAAGCCGACTGGGATAAACTGGTGAGTGTGTGAAGCATGAGGGAGCGTGTGCGTGTCTTGCTGTGTGTGTCCTTGTCAGCATACCTGTGGGCTTTTGTCAAAACAATGGGAGCATAATTTCAGCCCTCCCATGATGGTGTTGCTTGTTTCAGAGGTCCGAGATGAGACCATCGAGCCACATGAATCACATGGAGGACAACACAAAGAAGTAGGTCTGCCTCCCAATGGAGCTTTGTTAAGAAAAGTACATAAGTTCAGACACACACTGGAGGGAGGGAAGGCAAACAGCTGTGTGAAAAATTACACTGTTTGCTCCAATGAGGCACTGTAAGGTCCACATTTCATCACGTCCTTTTATTGATTAATGTTTTATGTGTTTTAGCACTGTTGGCACTGTAGTTTTAAAAAAAATATCAGCTAGTTTGACGTAACAGTCCCAACACAAGGTCCATTTAGCAGCTTTTCTGATGCTTTTGATTGTATAATCTCCAGCAGTAGACTGGGTTGTCATTGCACAAGTTTTTTCAAAACACTTTAAAGATTTATAATCCATGAAATTGACAGTTCATTCATGACATATTTCGTAGTTGTTCTGGAGCTGATTTGCTGTGTTGCCTTTTTGGATGAACTATGATTAGTTCTTAAAATTGGGTTTGGAAAAGTGTTCAGTTTGTACACTTTAAAACCAGCATCAGCTACATTGCTACTCAAGTTTAGAAATCCTTGCAAGTTACATTGATTTTCCTAACAGAATTAGTCTGACAAACACTGAATGTAAAAAATACAGTGAGCTATATCCATCCCTAAAGGATATGTCTAGTGTTATTATATGTTTTTTATTGTCAATTAATCCCATAAAAAGACTGAAACCAACAATGCTGTACTCTGACTCTCAGTGCATTCTGACTTCCCCTGTCTCTGTGGCATTTAGATCAAAGCTCTTCTGGTTCCTACTGAAGATTTAAATCTTTAAAAATGGGTTTCATTTAAAAAAAAAACTAAATTATTTCCCAATACAGCAGAGCACTGTAGGTTGTACTAAACCATACTGACACAAGAGGAAACAGTGCATTTGGAATAATCCACATTGGGTTCTTTGGGGAGTAGAAGGTGTGGGATTAACGACACCACGCTACTAATAAACTGCAGTGACCATATTCATCATAATGAAGGAAGATGTCACCCAGTGTACTGGTGTAGCTTACTGATGTTTTTAATAGTTTTTACTTGGTAGTAGGACCAATTCATTATTGGTTTGGGGCTTTCCATGGGAATTTCTTTTATTATTTAACTGTGCTGGAGTGCATTCTCACTCAAAAAGGTGTGAATGCGTTTCTCAGCTCAGTTCTTAAATATCAATCAGTTGAAGAATAAAACATATCTATCATCTAATAAAATAAAATAACTTTTGGATTTATTCTTTAAAAAGACACATGATGCGTCCTGTCTGGATCCTAAATAAAATTAATTCCTTAATTTTCATGACCCCTTGGGAGCCTTGATAAATATGCCTCTACACACTCTTTGTAAGGCGGTATGAATATAAATGTGCAGCAAGATTGTGGATGGCAGATTACATTACCAAAGTCAGTGTAAAACACTCTAGAAAACACTGACTACAAAGCACAAAAATGTCTGTTGTCTGTCTGCTTACCACGTAGTTATTTGAGCTCTTACTTCTGATGTGGACGCTTTGCTCTCTTTGAAATGGACCATCTACCATCCCGTTTGTTGCCAGGGAAGAAACCAACAGCCTTTCGGTTCATAATTAGCTTTTCTTCCTGCAGGCCAAACTTCAGCACCTGTAAACGTCTAGCTTTTATATTTTTGATGTATTTTTGCTGGCGACTGCAGCAGTGTAGCATTATACTGCCTCAGCTTACAGCATGAAAAGTAAAACTCTTATTATAATGCTGGCTTGAGGGATTGTTTTCACACAAAGCTTTTCTTTTTATTTTGTAGAGTTCTATCAATCGTGGACACCTGGTGTCTTGGTAAGGCGGCATGAGCACACTGAACACACACATACCCTCACAGGTACACATACACACACACAGTACAGGGAGTGTGAATGTCATAAATAACAAAACCTTGGCTTGTTGTGGAGCTCAAAACTGTGTGCAAGTGTGTTTGTGTGTTCTTCTTAGGTCGCATTCTTCATGCCCACTGGAGAATTCAACTAAACAGAACCACCACACTAATTTATCTTTCAGGGAGAGGTTGAGAAGAAATGGGAGGGATGTAGAAAGGGAGAATGAGGTGGGTGAAAAAAATGGGGAGCTAAAGAATTCTACAATTATATTATATAACAGTGGGGAGTTAGGTACTTCCTTCCCCGCTCTCACTCCTTTTCTTTCCCTCTCTGAGTGCAGCTGCTTTGTGTCAACCACAACACGGGACATTCCCTCACCTCAGTAAATTCACAAGAATGATATCATCCTTCAGATTCACTTGTGAAACACACTTGCACTCACACACTTGCTGCATTTTGTCATTTTCCCTGCACGAACACTGATACGGAGATGATAGAACTGATAGCTGTGTGGTTCTTATATGGTGTAGCTTTTGCCGCTTTATTAGAGGAAAACTGACAGAATTGACACTTTTAACCCACAATGTGTGTATTGATGATTCCAAATACAATATATCAATTTCACTTCACTGTTTCAAATCCATGCTGAGACTCTAAACATTTTAATTATTTCATTCTGCTGTTAACAATTGCTACAATATCATTGCATGTCTATTGTTATAGACAGGTGCGTTAGATGTTTTGGGTTCTTTTGCAGTCAGTGTTTCTGCTATTAGCACTGTCTAAAATGGTTTGGCTACAGGGCGGCGACAAACAATTGTTTTCATTTTTGTTTAGTCAATAAAATGAATGTATGAATGAATGAAGGGGCCAGTTTACTCCATAAGGGATCTGGGTCGAATAGCTTTGGAAACTCCTTTCCCCTGACAGCTTTCTGTCGCCTTTTATGTCCCATTCCCTGCATAGATAACGTACATGGTGATATCATGTAAGAAACTGCCCAGCAACTCTCTTTAGTGGTTCCATGGTGTAATGGTTATCACTCTGGACTTCTGGAATCCAGTGATCTGAGTTCAAGTCTCTGTAGAACCTGAGTTTAAGCAAGAATTGAAGTGTATGTGTAAATTTTGACTTTGTTTCCTGACCAACGCAGAACCATACTGGATGACGTTGCTGTAAAAATTGGGCCATAATATGCTGCATCATGACATAGTATACTGCAGTACATCATAATCTCTTTAATGTACTTGTTCATGATATATAGCAAAATTTCCACTATGTTATTATATGCAGCCAGGATGACCAAGCAGTCTAAGGTGCTGCGTTGAAGCTGCTGTCACCCCTGGATGCATGGTTTCAAATCCCACATCTGACAGCTGGTTTTGCAGCAGAACAATTCCCAGTAAACATGAAGAAAAGTCAGACCTTCTTTGTATGAAAAATACAGTCTTTAGCGTTTGCAGTGTTCAGACATACAAATTCAAAGCAGTAAGCAGTCTGTGGCAGCTCTTGAACCTCTAGATGCATTTTCATTCAGTCTGTAAAATGTCAGAAAATAGTGGAACAAGACAAAGCATGCTAACATGTTGACATTAACAAAGCTGACACATTTTAAGCAGGTATGAATTTTACCATCTCAGTTTGGCATGTTTACATGGTAACATTTTCTAATTAGTACTAAACACAAAGTGCCGCAGAGACTGATGGGAATTTATATCATTGGAAGAATTGAAATTTTGACTTTTCGATGGCTCCAGATGAAAAGTCAGAGGATCACCAAAGTCATTAGGGTTCATTAAATGTCATAGCAATCCATGTAATAGTTCCTGAGATTTTTCAGGACCAAAGTGTTGGGCCACCCTTAGAGCAATGCCTATAAATGCCCTTCACAATTTCCAAAAGACCAAAGTGACATCTTCAAATGGTTGTTTTTGTCCAACCAAGGGTGAAAAGCCCAACAGATTTATTTAACAGTGATATAAAAAAGAGAAAAACAGCAAATCCTGAAGTTTGAGTAGCTGAAACCTGCAAATATTTGGCATTATTCCTTCATAAATTACTTCAAGTCTGGTTAATGAGCCCACCTTGTAAGTGAGAGGTCACATGGTCAGTAAATGTAAAGACAGAAGCTGTACCTGCTCGCTCAGAATTAGAGCATCAGCTAATTGTCTAAAATATGTAAATTTAAAACAGTTTTTGAACTGCTAAATGGCAGACAGTGAATCTGGCAGCGCAGGCTGTCATTTAGCTGTGTCCTGCAAGCTCTAGCGTGTCAGTCGTGAACATTTAGGTAAACCATGGGAGCCTGCTCCCATTAGAGAGCTGATTGAAATGTACTGTATGTGTCTGTATATAGTTGTAATTATTTATTGACCATACTATTTTATTAGTAGGGTGTTATTGTTGTTATACAACTAGGATAGTTATTCTTGAGGCATCCTACTTTTTAACCACCAATATGACAGAACATTTTAATGTATTGCAGATGAAGAATATTGCATATTTATTTCTTGCAACAAATAAGAATGTAACTGGCTGTGACCAGCAGAAGTGGTACTAAATGAAGAGTCATTTGAGAAAGGAGCTGACTCTCGGAAAGGAACGGAGCCATAAGATCAGGCCTTCAAAGAGCCGTGATTCCCATCACTAGCCTGCGCTATTTATATCTGTAACATACTCTGTGACACTGCAACACCACAAAGCCAGCTTCTTGTATGTGTGTAAAAGTGATTGAAAGATGGTGTGTGTTTGTCCACTTTTGTGTGACTGGCAGCATACACACTCTCAAACACACACACACACACATATATACACAGCAGAATTGCAGCCTCATAACCCTCAAGCTTTGGAATGTATTTTTAAAGCGAAAACTCACCCCAAAAGAATCCATTTATGTCTTAGGTTCAGTTTTCTTCTTTATTGAAGCCATAAACAAGTCAGAGTTTTCTTCCATTCCCACCGATGGCCTGTTTAATGGTGGTACTGCACAGACACACCTAGGGCCACCTGTGGTGTTCATTCTAGGGTAGATGCAGCTTCAAAAGATTTCTTCAAATGTCTCTTTTATGTGCCCATTCCCGCTATTGCCTGGTCTCTTCTAGATAAGAAGCTGGTGCCACTTTTCCAGGAGGAGGACCATCAACAGAGGGTGCTCATAGGCCTGGTGAGAGAGAGAAACCAGTCAATGGCTGCAAACATGCACACACACAAACAAATACACTTCTAAAAGTATGGTTATCATGGCATGGTGGCTTGTACTGGTTCCCATAAAGGGAAAATCACAATGACAGGCAAGACCCTTAACTAATGTGGGCTCCTCCAGGCTGCATGTCGAAGTGTCCTTGGGCAAGATACTGAACCCCGAATTTGCCAGTGTGTGAATGTTAGTTTCTGTTTGAGCACTTAGGCTCAGTGAATGGTGAATGCAGATGTAGTGTAAAAGCGTTTTGAGTGGTCGAAAAGACTAGAAAGGTGCTATACAAATACGGAGCATTTACTTTCCTTCTCTTAATATGACAGTGACCTAATGCACAAAGCCAGTCTATAAAGACATGGATTTCCCAGTTTGTTGTGGAAGAACTTGCCTGGCCTGCACAGAGCACTGACCTCAACCCAAGCACTCGTGTGGCAGCTCTTCTGGCAAAATGGGGCAAATCCCTGCAGCCAGATTCCAAAATCTGATGGGAAGTCTATATGTAGGTGGAGTCAGCAGCTGGTTAGCTTAGCTTACTTGGAAGCTGCTAGCATTGCTATGTCTAGAGGTTACAAAATCTGCCAACCAGCCCCTCTAAGGCTCAGTAATTAACATATAAATCCCATTTGTTTATTCTCAAAAAATGACAATTTGCTGGTTTTTTTTGGGGGGGTGGGACTAATCAGAATCAGAATATGAATCAGCTTTATTGTCAGGTTTGTGTACACTTACGAGGAATTTGACTCTGGATTGTACATCCACGATGTGCTTACTCATACAAAAATACAAAATCACAATAATAAAAATAAAATAAAATCAGACACAGACTTCAGTGTAGACAACAGTGAGCAGTGCAGTGAGCAGAGTGCAAAGGGTGCAGGAGTATGTACATGTTGGAGGATGTGATATACAGGTACATATACATGCATACATGTACATAGTGCAATGAAGCATAGTGCAAAGGATGCTGGAATAAATAAGTATTTTAGTATAAGTATTTTTTGAGGAGCAATGACTTGAGATAGGTGGATTTGGTATACAGTATCTACAATATGACAATATAACAGTATGAACAGCTCTGAAATAGAGAATGGTGAATAAATAATACGTTTTAGCCAGAAAACAGGTGGCTGATTAGAGTTACTGGGTTATTGCACAGGAATTGACTTCTGACACTGTGAGTCAGAAGTCAGCTGACTGTGAGTCAGAAGTCAGCTGACTGTGAGTCAGAAGTCAGCTGTTCATCAGAGTGATGGCTTGTGGGAAGAAACTGTTCCTAAGTCTGTTGGTTTTGGCATACAGTGCTCTGTAGCGCCTACCAGAGGGGAGGAGCTGGAACAGGTTGTGTCAGGGGTGAGATGGATCTGCAGTGGTGTTTCCTGCCCGTTTCATGACTCTGGAAATGTATAAGTCCTGAATGGAGGGCAGATTGGCACCGATGATCTTTTCTGCAGTCCTGACTGTCCGTTGTAGTCTGCTCCTGTCCTTTTTGGTGGACAAACCAGACAGTGATGGACGTGCAGAGGACAGACTGGATGATGGCTGTGTAAAAGTGGATCAGCAGCTCCTTAGGCAGGTTGAGCTTCCTGAGCTGGTGCAGGAAGTACATCCTCTGCTGGGCCTTCTTGATGATGGTGTCCATGTTGGGCTCCCACTTTAGGTCCTGGGATATAGTGGATCCCAGACACCTGAAAGATTCCACAGCAGACACAGGCCTGTTGAGTATGGTGATGGGGGGCAGAGTGGGGGGGGCTCCTCCTGAAGTCCACGATCATCTCCACAGTTTTGAGCGTGTTAAGCTCTAGGTTGTTATGGCCGCACCAGAGAGCCAGCTGATCAACCTCCCATTTGTAGGCCGACTCATCAACGTTCCGTATGAGGCCGATGACCGTTGTGTCGTCAGCAAACTTCAGGAGTTTGACAGATGGGTCTTTTGAGGTGCAGTCATTGGTGTAGTGGGAGAAGAGCAGTGGGGAGAGCACACACCCCTGGGGGTCGCCAGTGGTAATAGTCCGGGTGTTGGATGTGATGTTCCCCAGTCTCACCTGCTGAGTCAGGAAGTTTGTGATCCACTGACAGGTGGAGGCTGGCACAATGAGCCGGGTGAGTTTGGTGCTGAGGATGTCCGGGATGATGGTGTTGAACGCCGAGCTGAAGTCCACGAACAGGATCCTTGCATATGTCCCTGGAGATTCGAGGTGTTGCAGGATGTAATGCAGTCCCAAGTTGACTGCATCATCCACTGACCTGTTAGCCCTGTAGGCAAACTGCAGGGGGTCCAGCAAGGGTCCTGTAATGTCCTTTAAGTGGGCCAACACCAGTCTTTCAAATGACTTCATGACTACAGATGTCAGGGCGACAGGTCTGTAGTCATTTAGTACAGAGATGGAGGGTTTTTTTGGGACCCGGATGATTGTGGAGCATTTGAAGCAGGAGGGAACTTCACACAGCTCCAGTGATCTGTTGAAGTTCTGTGTGAAGATGCAGGCCAGCTGGTCTGCACAGATTTTCAGGCAGGATAGAGACACATCGTCGGGGCCAGGAGCCTTCCTGATCTTCTGCCTTTGGAAGAGGTGGCTCACGTCCTCTTCAAAGATCTTGAGTGCAGGTGAGGGGTCAGAGAGGGGGTTGACAGTGTGTCAGAAGGAGAAGGTGACTGTTTGAAGATGGTGTTGGAGCGGGGAGAGGTGTGACTATGGGCTTTTCAAACCTACAATAAAATCCATTCAGCTTGTCTGCCAGTTGTTGAGTATTAGTGTTGGGGGATGGTCTCCTGTAGTTGGTGAGTGTCCGCAGGCCTCTCCACACTGACGCAGGGTTGTTGGCTGCAAAGCTGTTATTTAGCTTTTCAGCGTAGCATCTCTTTGCTTTGATCTCCTTAGTCATTGTGTTCCTGGCCTGGTTGTACAGGACTCTGTTCCCACTTTTGAAGGCCTCCTCCTTGGTCTGACGAAGCTGCCTGAGTTTTGCTGTGAACCAGGGTTTTTGGTTGTTGTATGTGTGGAAGGTTTTAGTCGGCACGCACATGTCCTCACAAAAACTGATGTAAGATGTCACAGTGTCAGTTAGTTCGTCCAGATCAGTGGCTGCAGCCTCAAAAACACACCAGTCAGTGCAGTCAAAGCAGGCCTGTAACTCCAGCTTTGACGTGTTGGTCCATCTTTTCAGTCTTAACAACAGGTTTAACAGATTTCAGTTGATGCCTGTATGTTGGAATAAGATGAACCAGACAGTGATCAGAGAGTCCCAGGGCTGCACAGGGAACAAAGCGATAGATGTCCTTTAATGTAGTGTAGCAGTGGTCCAGTGTGTTAGTGTCCCTGGTGGGACACTTAATGTGCTGTCTGTACTTTGGGAGTTGGTGGCTGAGGTTTGCTCGGTTGAAGTCTCCAAGAACAATGAGCAGGGAGTCTGGATGTTTTTTCTCCACGTTAGTTAGCTGGTCGGCCAGGTGAAGTAATGCCTCACTAACAGGCCTGAGGTGGAATGTAAACAGCGACCAGGACAAACGAGGAAAACTCCCGCGGTGAATAAAACGGTTTACAGTTTATAAATAATGTCTCTAAGTGAGGGCTGCAGGATTTTTCCAACACTGTGACATCTGTGCACCAACCTTGGTTTATATAGAAACAGAGTCCACCTCCCCTTGTTTTTCCCGTGAGCTCCCTTTTGCAATCCGCGCGGATGAAATTAAATCCCGGTAGGTGAAGTGCACTGTCCAGGATGTGCTTGATGAGCCAGGATTTGGTGAAACAGAGGGCGGCAGATCTGCAGAAGTCCGAGTTAGTACTTATGTGGAGAAGCAGTTGGTAAATGTTACCAGAGAGGGACGGCAGAAAACAACGTTAATAAACAAAAACACAAAAGCCATGGAGCTTAATCCAGAGGCTGCCGTATGGGGCACAACCATAAATGACAGTTTAAAGTGAAGGGCCACTCAAAAGTTTTTGAGTTTGAACTTGAAAGTTCTTGAAAAACATCCCTTGCAAAATGCTGTCAGCCAAAAGAATCATTCAGTTAAAGGACCAGTCATTCATTCAGTCATATTGCAGATATTTCAAAAGCAGAAAGTCCTTTAACTTTCCAAAAAGACAGCAGTTAACATCTTGCCACTCAAAATCAAAGCGGAGAAGCATAAGAAAAAATAACAAAACACATTAGCCGCAGCCTGGATTCTTCCTTTTGAGATAAATCACCTATTTGATGTACATGTTTTATTTTTATTTTTTCACCCTGTGTATTTTCTAGTAGATAAGACAAAGTGGATGGATGCATTGATTATCCTAGATTGTTGACAACAGTTTAACAGCTCCTGGAGATGGACTCCTTTAACATGGATTATACAGACCATTTCACTATGGACTAAAGATCCATAGTGAAATGCTGACAGACGCCCTTTCCCTCCATAGTCATCTTTTTAAGGTGAAACTCCTGTTAGCTTCAGATGAGTCGACACTTTAAAAAAGGGGGCATCTTAAGGTCCCTGTAGGTTTTTTTTTTTTTTTTTTTCTTTTTTACTGTTCACTGTTTGATGGACAATTTCATATCCTGTAGTTTCCCTGTGCTCAGCATAGTTTTTAAAGAGCAGATAGCTTTAGTTTAATGGAGTTCAGGCTATATTCTAGTAGTCTTGCAGCTATTCTTAGAACGGTCCAGCCCTCCTGTCTTTCTCTGGTTATTCCCGACATCACTTCTTCCATCATTCTTTTACCCCCTTCTCTCTTTCCTCTTCTTTCTTTTCACTACTTTCTTTCCTCTGCTCACCTCCTTCCCAATTTCTCGTCCTCATTCCCTTTTCCTCACAGAAGGATTTCAGGTCATTCCATCAGATTTGCACTGTTTTCAGACCTTCACTCATCTTCTGTACTTTTCCACCTCTCACATCCACAGTTCTCTCCTCTCCTCTTCCCTTCTTTCCATGGTTAAATCAGTTTTGTCGCTGTAGTTGAGGAAATAGTCGGGGTGAACTCAATTTGACCCTGCTGAGTGCACAGCAAAGTATGCTTAGAAACACACAAACACAAAGTTTTACTCCAAGCAACACACACATGCACAGAAAATAATCAGTGTGTGTTTTTTTGTCAATGCAGACGGTTGACAAGCTTCGAGAGCATCTCAACAGACACCTGCCTCGACTCGGGAAGAAGAAGATTGACTCACTGGTTGTCAACTACGTGGCCAAACTGGTTGGTACACAGTGTGTGTGAGTGTGTTGGTGAGAGATACAGAGAGGTCCAAGAGTTGTTGTATATTCCTTTCAGCCCAATTTCTTTTAAAAAGGTACATCATTCTCCAAGTTATATTTATTTTATGTTTGCCCTTTCCCTTTTTCGGGAAGGTTAAGTGACACTCACAGAGAGGATCGCTCAAGTTAAAAGAGGCCACTAGGTTGTTGCGTAAGTCCTCTAAAACAAACATCAGTTTTCTGTTTAAGACATGTATACTCAATCACTCAGTGACTTTTTTAGCTTTCAAAGGGTCCCTGGGGGGTTTTTTTGTTAAAAAAAAAAAAAAAAGTTTTTGTAAAAATTTGAAACTTGCATTGTTTACATCCATGCTTCTTTGCTAGCAGTCCTCTTCTTCCCTGTCTTTGCTGGTGCACTGCTGTGTTTCTATGCGCAATACTGACCCCTATTGATCAGTGGAATGACTTGAAACCATTGGCCGTAATTTGTCTGGTGGTCCGTGTGCACATGCAACAAACACATAAAAACATTGATCCATAACGGTACTACTCCTAATGGTCAAAAACTCCACAGGCCACCTTTTAAGAGGGAGTGATTTTAAGACACATTTTCTACCCTGGGTTTCGTCTCCCAGGATACATCTGCCCTACAGGTTGTTGGGGTTGCGTGTAGCCAGAGAGAGGGTTGGGGTTGCGTGTAGCCAGAGAGAGGAAGACTCGCTATACTAAGCTGAGCTAACCCTCTGCTGGCTATAGCGTTATAATTAACGTACAGACCCTTAATATCGATCTTCTCATCTCACTCTCCATAAGAAAGGCACTTGCTATAGAAAGCACAAAACCAATGTTATTATCATTTCTTGATTGATCTAAATGTATATAAATGTATGCATGTGTAAATAGTATATGTGTGTATAATGAAGTAACATTGTGCCCCCCCCCCCCCCCCCCCCCCCACACACACACTTCTAAAACCAAACCTACGCCCTTTATATCCTCACAAAGGGCGACAGGTTGGATCTGAATAACCAAGTGGAAAGATGTAACCACTCACCATCTCAGTACCCTATAGAGGTACTTGGTTCTGTAAAGTCAGTTTTTAGTATTCCTGAGAGGTAAATCCCTTCACGGCTAAGAGCAGCTGAAAGCAGACATACAGCATATATCAACACAACAGTATTAAATCAGGCCAAGGGTAAGGCTGGAATTGAATAGAAAGCAGGATGCACCACGTTTTGGGACTTTATGGAATTGCAAATGACAGAGTAAGAGACCAAAGAAACCCTCCGTGCTCTCAGCTGGATCGGTCGATGGCTCATCTCGGTATTACAGGCTCAGACTCAAAACCAAACTAATGGAAATAGCTGTGTTTGTACTCATTGTGGCATTGCCCTGCGACAGACAGAACGTGGCAATTGAATTAATTCAGCTGTGAGTGAAAGTGAAAAAGTTTCTCATCCTGGGAGCCGGACTTATTAAAACATACTCACGCAAGGAAGGACCCACAAGAAACAGCCTTCAGGGACGTTTTACTTAAAGAGCAGTCGACTATCTCACATCAGCTTGCACATCAAGCTGACTCATGCCTTAAAAACTGAGGGTGGTACTGTTTCACAGAGAGCTGACTTCCCTTCCACAAATAAAGAACATCTCCCCCTCTTGTCGGTGCTTATTGAGACTAATGGCTGTGTTGACACAGGGGAGAAGTTGGGGGTGAAATAGATTACAGCTTTTAAGAGCCAGGGAACTTCTGCTATGATACATTACAATTCCACAGCACATTATTGTCATAGTTATTTATTTCCCGTTGCTATTGCCACAGACAACTGAGACACATTCCTTTGTATAACATAGCCAATGTCAGAGCAAAGAACAACCCGCTAATAGCTGAATATGAATTACTGAAAGCGGGAATACATATTAAAAGTAATGCAATGAATTGAAATGGGTTGAAATATTTTAAATTATGCAGAAAAGTTATTCTATACCCAAGGTTATTAAACTTTGTCTCAGCAGGGGAGCCACACTAAGTAAATCCAGTCTCTTTCTCAGGCCGAGGCTCATTAAGACAAATCGCTGATTCCAGATTTTATTCTAATAGAAAGCCACACAGGGAATACTGCGCACGAATCTGTGTCTTTAAATCACTGGTTTGCCTGTTGTTTGCCTTTCTTTTCATCTCAGCTCCACATTTTATAATTTTTACTCATCTTCAGGGGCCTGGACCACATCAGCAACGAGCAGAGCATCTCAAAAGAGATGTTAGTTGGAAAAGAAAGAAATGAAACTTGAATAATTTATTTCCCCTAAATGTATAAATCCCTGTGACAAATTCAATGGAACAAATAATAAAAACGCTGGAAGGTAGGTAGGTACGGTAAGGTAACGACTGTCCACAAGAGAGGAAATGGATCCCCCCCAAAAAAGAACACTGCACGTCTTCGTTTAAAGTTACAAAGCAGTTATTATTGTGGCCATGTTATTAAAAACGTGACCAGCGTCTATCGACCACACACCCGTTTTCCTCCAGGGTTAAACAATCTCACACACACATGAAACACAGACAAATGGATTTTCATGACACACCACATAAACAATACAAGTAAAAGAATCCCCATCAAGGGGGAAAAAAGGGTAAATAATAATAAAAATAAATTTAAAAAAAGCAAAAAATGAATAAAAAGTAATTAAAATTATGAGAACAACAACTAAAAATGAAAATAAATACATTTTAAAGTTAAAAAGGGAATAATAATAATGAATAATAATAAAATGATAAAGAAAGGAAAAAGACAACAAGAGAGGTAAAATAGAGAAACATTAAAGTAGAAACAGAACAGAAAAAAAAATACATATAACTTCAGTATAAGGGGTAAAGAAAAGAAAAATATGGAGGAAAGAAAACAACCTCATTCATTTAATATAAAAGCTTAAAAATAAAGAAAAAAAAAAAAGCAATTAGGTAAATACCTCAACGTACCTCAGCGACCATGGTGTAAAGAGATGCAGTATCACCGATGTGCCTTGATGTTTTTGGGAACCCATTCCCCCTCTTGCGGACAGGCAGTATGACAAATTTAGCATAGACAATGTGCTAAATAGATTATTTTTGATGATTTTCTATTGTGATAAAAAAAAATGTAAAAAGCCCAGAGGAGCTGATTATTGCATTTGTCTTTGACACCTCTTTTATTTTTGGCAAGTCCGTTACATAAGTGAAGCTAATTGAAATTCCCAGCCTGAGGTCACTGGAGGAGGTTTTCCCACTGCTGTGCAGGATGTGAGTGGGGCAGATTGCCTTCCTGTTATTCCACACGAGATGAGAGAGTGGTGATTTGTGGAAAGAAGGAGTGTGTATGTGTGTTCCAGTACGCAGCAGGCACGTTTTGGACGAGTCAGGTGAATGATCATTTGAATGATCCCCGGATGCTGACAGATATGTGGTGAAATGATGTGGGCGAGTCTATGTGTGTGCTGGAACGTGTCTTTACATCCTGATCCATTGCGTTGCTCTAGTTCACTGGAATTAGAAATGAGAAGTGGGAGAAAACAAAGAGGGAAGTGGGGAAACTGATCATAGATCATAAAAGTGTACATTTCCACGAAGAAAACATCATCGGAGCAGAAATATGTCTAAATTGCATGTTTCAGATGTTTCACACAAAATGCTTATGTTGTGTAAAATGTCCCGGGCTGTGACTTGAGCGGAATGTTGAGGAAAATGTTTCACTTGAATCTAATCGAGCGTCTCCTTCCCTAAGCACTAACATGTGCGTGTCTCTGTGTGTGTGTGTTTGTGTGTGTTTAGCTGGAGCTCATCAGACACATGCTGGAGTCAGTCTGGCTGAAGCATAAACTCGGCCCTCGTGTTTTGTGCTTGTGAGTAGCCCTCCCTCGTGTGTGTCTGCATTTAAAGTTGTGTTTCTATCTAATGTAATGTAAAGCAGAAAGCATTGACAGAATGTGTGTGTGTGTGTTCATCTACACGCATGTGTGCTCCAGACCCCCCATCACTCCCCGCTGTGTGTGTTCACATGTGAAAACTGTCGATGACCCCTCTTCACGTGTGCGCTCACGTTACACAACACTCCCATACAAATTTTTCTGTGTGTGTGTGTGTTCCAGCACACAGCAGGGCAGTCCAGCCGAGTGGTCCGTGTTTCATTTCATGTTGCGGATCCTGGAAGCCACGAGGGGTCTCTGCCTTCCCCTCCCACCAGGTACCATCCACACACACACACACACACACACACACACAGTCAAACAAACACTTTCAGTTGTTATAATCCAGTCTGTCTCTGGCTCACCCAGAATAACAATGTGTGTTTGCACTAAGGGACAACAGACCCGCGCTCTTCAGCACTAATGTAACCAAAAATATGTTAAACATTAGCATAGTGTAGACATGGGTAAAGCGTAGTGTGAATACATTTTCAATCATTTGAATTCCTTTTACAATTTTTGCTGCATTAACCCCTGTTACACAATCCCAGGATTTTAGTCGCTCATGAGTAAAAGTTTGTGGGTTATAATCCTAAAGTGTGTGTGTGAAGAAGAAAGGAAATGAGAAATGACCCGAAGCAAGGCTGCAGATCCTTGACACTGAGGCCGCAGATGTAAATGTGAGTGTGAAGCTGTAAAACAGCAGGCATACTGAGTCAGTTTCCCTGGTAAATAAAAGTATGACACATTGTTGTCAGAAGTTGTGCAGTCAGGTGTACGTTTGTGTTAACAGTAGGTGCCTTTATTTATTTATTTTTTAGCCACGCTAATGGCTCTTTGTCCAGTACTTTGGTTTGTGACTAAACACTTGCAAAACTAATGACTTTACCAACAGCCTCAACTCAACCTCATGTTTAGTGATAATTACCAAATGTTAGCATGCTAACATGCTAAGAGGGTGAGTGTGGCAAACATTACCTGCTAAACATTCACATCAGCATTGTCAATTTGAGCATGTTGGCATGCTGACATTAACATTTAGCTCAAACCACTGCATCTAAATACAACCACACGTAGCCGCTAGCATGGCTGTAGACTTTTTTTCTTTGCCTTTGTTGTTTTCAGGAACATCAAACGCTTAAATGTCTTCTTTTCCTTCATCTGCACTACCTTTCTGTCTCTGTCTCTCTCCAGGCTATCACACCCTGTTAGCAGTGTTTGCCGTGCGTTGCCTCCCTCATCACACCTTCCTACAGTACATTGACCACGGTGTCCTGCAGCTCACTGAAACCTTTGTGTCTCGGCTCATGACAGGTATGCACACGCGCACACGGACACACACAGACACTGCTAACTCTTTCTTTGCGTATCTCAGAAGTTTTACAAGAAAGATCATGTATGGTGTCAGTGTACAATGTCCTCTTGGTTATTCATTTTTCTACTGATGGCAATGTCAGTACGTTGGTCCACCACTTTGATCTAGACTGAAATCTTTCAACAACTAATGGATGGTTTTAATGTAATTCCCATCATTCCCAGCTGTACGTTGTATTTAGTGTTAAATAACAAATCTAAACATGCTTACATGCCAAGTTGTGCACGTGGTGAACGTGGTTAACATTATACGGTACCTGCTAAAAGTTGGGATGTCAACATTGTCAGCTCAAAGCACCACAAATATAACCTCACAGGGCTGCTAGTGTTGACTTTAAGCTGTTATAGACTTAAAGTTTTATATCTATAAAACAAAATGAAAAAAATCTAATAAATACACAAGGATATCAAACACTCATTGTTTCACTGTTTAATACCAATAAGTAATGGTAGCATTATTGTACATATGGATTCTGACCCAGACCAAAATATATGATAAAATATAGAAAATATCATTAGTCAGTTAATTTAAAATAAACAGTTGTAAATGGAGGTCATACAATAAATTATGCTGTAACAACTAAAACACATAAGCCTACAAATATAATTATATAATATATAGAGGCAGCAGCAACAAATGACACAAAATTACACAAAAATGTCCTAGAGACACAAAACTGATCAGTATTTCCAAAACCATTGTTGAGTCCAAGTGTAGCATATTGTTTTTATGTTTATCAAAGCACACTAATTTGAAGAAGTTTAACATATGAAAGCATGCGTAATGCAGGGACCATATTAGATGGTGTCATTTAAAGACATGAGGTGAAATTTTCTCTTACTGTTGCTTTCTCCTGTGTGATGCCGAGAGGCAAAGAAATACAGGAATGGATTTAGACAGTGATTAAAAAAGTAAAAACATTCCACAAACGTCAGCTTTTGACTAACAATAAGCAGTTTCTCGGAATCTGTGAAAAGGGCAGCCACATACACCACACGAAGAATCAGAGGGAAAAAGCCAACAACCAGGGAGGCAGCGATTATTCGAATGAAAAGTTTATTAACTCTAGGCTGTTTCTTTCCAGGCATTTGATTTCGTTTGACCCCTCTAACAAGTAGCAGGTAGAAAGACAACAAGACTAGATGGCTGAAAACTATAAATAAGATGTAGACCACTTCTAGCACCGGTTTGATCCTCTGATTCCTGCAGGTAGGACCTTCAGTCCGCTCACTTTTGGTGTTCACCTCTTTTAGTGAAAAAACAACTGGAAGAGCCTCAAGGGCTCCAAGCATCCACACACTGGACAGAAATAACCGCTGCCATGTTCTGGCCAGGCTCTCCCACTTTTTGGTATGAAGAACCTGGCAAATGAAGGACATTTTTAGTTTGATATCTTATTGCTTTCTACAGTCACTACTTTACAGAATTGTTCATGTATGTTTGCTTTGAAAAGCAAATAGGATCAGAGCTGACAACAACCCACTGATAACATGTAAGCCCCAATTCAGAGTTTAAAGTTTCTATGATTCATGATTCATGATCTGTGGATATTTATTTGTGAAGGACACTGGCAGTGATGTAAAGTGCTACACAGAATGGTCTTCGATATATATATCCATTTGAGGATTGCATTGTTTTATCATTTTTATCCGCTTTTGTTTCAATTGTTTCAAACTTAATGCTTATTGCCTCTTGTATCTTTTCCTGACAAATAACAAATCCTTGTGGGAATGTTAGTGTCTTACCTGGTAGTACCTCTGAATACTTATAAGCACCAGAATGTTCAAGTCGGAGGTGATGCAGAAAAAGAAGAAATAAAACAGAAGTTGACAGACTTCATGTGTCAAATGTGGTCCATTGAAGAAAATGACCACACCAACAGGCAAGCAGAGCAGGCAGAGGAGGTCTGACACTGCCAGGTTGAAGAAAAGGCGCTGCGGCATGGAGGACCCGTGCAGATGCCTACTGAGTTTTACGATCACGCAGATGTTAGCAGGAATGCCAAACAGGCAACTGACTGCAATAATCACACCAGCAACAATGTACCAGGGATTGAGGCTTGAGGTCAGTGGCATTCCTGGCGTGGAGCAATTATTGATGGAGGAGTTACAGAAGAGGGAGGAAGAGGCGTTGGAGCTGCAGTCAGCGGTCATCATGGAGGAGGAATGAAGGAGAACGATAAAGAAAGGATGAGACTTCACTGAAGCAAATCCGACAAATAAAAAGCCTCCTTTTATGCCGAGCCCGGACTGCATGTTTTTTTGAGCTGCTCAGCATGAAATATTTTACTTTACCACAATGGTCGTGGGCACACCTGTTAAAGACTACTTTCTGAATTACCCCAGAAACCCCCTAAACCTACAGGGCTGTTCAATGTGGTGAACAGCTCTAGTATGGAGCCCCTAAGTGTTAAAATATAAAATACATTATTAAATACATTCTAATATGAATACGTTGTGTAAAATACGTGGACAACTTGATTATATTATTTATATATTTTTGGAAGTTATATTTTCACAGTGACACTTTTATTTCATAATGTTACTTTTGATGACAATGAAGTCACCAGTGCCCGCCCTTTCAGCCAATCACATGTTTCCCCAGCCACCCAGCAGGCTAACCACCTGCGAGAAAGCTAGCTAAAGCCATTTGGCTACAACAACCAAGACTGTGTGTTTTTGCTCTTCAAAGCTTTGTGCATCTTTAGAATCACTACACCGCAGGTCACCGCGCATGTCACGTGACTGAAAACTATGACTACTGGTAGACATGGTGGAACAGCGTAAATGGTTGCTCTTGAAGACTAAATAACCACTGAACCTGTAAAACCAGGTCACCCTATACAGCTGTGACCTCTGGTTGAGCATGTTGGCCAGATGCTGCAGTTATCTGACTTCAGTGGTTATTACATGTGAAAGTTTAACACATGAAAAAAGCAACATCCTTAAACAACCATTTTTTGAATACTTTTTACATTGTATGTACAAGAGGCCAGAGGTTAAAGGTAGGTACCATTGGGTTTCAGTGCATTACTCACAGACAATGATATTGTGTAGTTTGTATGTCTTGGTTTGGATTTCATACCACGGAAAGCACATTGTTCAAAGGCCAAACATTGTGACTTGGCACTGAGATCAACAGAACAAAAAATATCTGGGCTTCCTCATTACTCTTGTTCTTGATGTAGTTTACATGGTTCTTTCTCATGGGGAGAACAAAGATCCTTAAAGATGAAAAGATTATTTAAAGGACAGAGTCCAAATGGTTTTAAACTTCAAAGTGACAGAAATGAATGTTTCGAGACTTTGAAGTGAGAGGGCATCACTTTAACCAAATAAGTATATACCTATTTACATTTTTGCTATATTATCCTGGGTAATTGGCAGGGCAGGTGTGCACTTTCTGCCTCATTAGAAACACACACAAACATATATTCCCATATAGAATTTATCATTCTTACCAGTCTTTCCAAGCCTGGTTCCTAGCTTCTGAAATGCCATTCACATCACAGATATTTTCAACAATTTACATAAATCATGAAGTGAAACAAAATGGTAATCCAGTCCTATTACTGGACTTTATACTGGTAATTATTTACAGTTACAATCAAAATTATTTAACACCCACTGCAAATCAGGTTTATTGTCAAGTTCAGCTGAAAATGCAACCTTTGACTTCTCCAGTCTCAAAATTATCCAACCCCTTCATAGCAAGCATCTTTAGTACTTAGTAGAGCATCCTTTTGCTGTTATGACCTGCTGCAAACGAAATGCATAGCCAGACACCAGCTCCTGGCAGCGTTCCTGAGGAATCTTGGCCCATTCCTCATGAGCAATGGTGTCTAGTTCAGTAATATTCCTGGGTTTTCATACTGCAACTGCCTTCTTGTTACTTCATTAATCGTATTTGCATTGTAATGATTCATTCATACCATAAATAACTGATTGCTTTTCTCCTTATAACATTTTAAATATCTTAATGTAATTGTTTTATTTAATTTCCCCAGTAAACAGAAAGCAGAGTGCTGTTTGCTTGTACATATCTAAAATCACAAAGACAAGGAAGGACTTGGTGCAAATATTGATTGGCGTTTACAGTAACATAGACAATAGCACTGAATGTAACCGTCCGTACCCCGTCATGCAGACTTCCAGCTCCCATTGAGTTAACACTGCAGCTGGACCGGGACTGAACACAGCCTCCGAGACCGATGGAGGCCGGTTTGACAACAGGGAATACAGTGCCGAGGTGGTTTTGTTGGCGGGTTTGGCTCTTGGCACCCCGGGGCTGACTCAGCTAATAGGACCGCTAGCTGCACGTTTAACCGAGCTAACTAGGTACAGATTCAGTTAGCAGTTTAGCAAAAAGTAGAGCTATCTGTCCACCAAGAAACTCTGTAAATCACTACGGTACTGTATTCCCTGTTAGTCTTAGAGACTGTGTTCAGACCTGTTCATTCCACATTCAATGGGAGGCTGCTGATCGCGGTTTTGTTGCCCCCTCGCCAGGTGTTGTGCCTAATTCTGCTTGCCTACCGAGAATTGCATGCACCTCGCGGGAGGTACCGGTCATTTCTGCAGAGAAAAGAGGTGGATGCAAATCCTACCGCCTACATCATCATGTATTGCCGAATTATGTATCCACCTCTTAAGGTCCTTTTCAGACACTTTGATCAAATACGGTTATCACCACATATTTTTGCTGAATCTTAAGGAATGCTACTTATACTAAGTGTAAAAACATATTAACGACTCTAAACGTTCATAAGATATACCTGAATCATTTATCGCCATTGATGAACCCCACAAAGAATATTATGGCATTTAAAAGCAGTATTTGGAGGTGCATGCAATTCTCGGCAGGCATGCAAAATTTGGCATAACACCGGCTCCAGGTTAGCCATGATCCTGGCCTGAAAATTTCAAGTGCTTGAGTAGAGGTGTAAACACTAATACTCCCCTGGTTCTCCGAGCTCCCAGTCCGGGCTGAACCAGCTATGACCCTTAACCTTAATTACATAACGGCCGCGGTACTTTAGAAACGCTATTTGGTCATCAGCAAACTCCACAAATCACAGAGAGTTGAGACAGAGCAGCCAGGGGACACGGGGAACTTTAGGACACCATTACAATGGCGTAGGACGTAGACAGTGAAGCAGCTGACTTCCGATGTTGAAAGAGCAACTGTCAGCTAGCCCGAACAGGCCATCGACTAGCCAATCAACTTGCCCGACCCAGGTCGAAACCCTGGGTTCAAGTCAGGGGACTTTGATGGCCACTGTAGAAATCTTCCAGGACTTCTTCTGCAACGAAGCCCAGTTGCACCAGGTGTGCTCGAGGCAACACCTGTTATGCATATTATATTTGTGCTGTTCTGAAGGATTCTGTTTGGGGTGTTGAATCATTTTGAAACTGAATTCTGGGAAAACAAACGCTATTTCAGTTGCTTTTGTTTGATTTGTTCATTGCAAACAGCTGAAAGTCTGTAATAGTTGACAATAAACCTGATTTGCAGTGGGGATTGAATAGTTTTGATTGCAAATGTAGATGTAATATCCAACAATTAGGCTCTTGCTGGCATTTTCAGATGAGGAGTGAACACGCTATAGCCATACTAGAGACTTGTAGACCTACTGCACGGTGGTGCTTTGAGCTAAATGCTAATTTCAGCTAACATGCTGATGTGTGGTGATATGTCATGAGCACTGGATACATTTTGACCTGATGATGACAATATGATTCTTTCTCTGTTCAAAACTTCATGATAATCCATCCAATTGTTGTATTTCAGTCTAGACCAAAGTGGTTTACTGACAAATGTAATGTTATAGACTGTATTGGTGGAAAAAGTTTAAGAAAGGAATTTAATAATCTGGGAAAAACTCATCATCTGCTCACCTACATTTTGAGAAGTTAGTTGAGGTGTTTTTTGCCCCTTATAACAATACACCCTGAGACGGGAGGTATGCCAACTGCATATCCCAGAATGCTTTTGAGCTCCTGGGAGTCTTCCAGAAGCCGCTGAAGCAAGATGCCAGGTCAAAGGATGTCACAGGCTCTCTGCTTCTGTTTCCTTTTTGAATTGATGGATCTCACTGTGACACAAAAATACAGCGTTCTGAAATTTCTTACAGCCAGAATAAGAAAGTGGTACTGACTCAGAATCCTCTTGCGCTTGGGAAGCTCTGTTTGCCAAAACATTGTCATTTTTCTATATAAGTGAGCTATTCCTCTAATGCTTTTTTTATCCATGGAAATGAGCATATAAGAAGAATAGTTATTGTAGCTACAGCAATTTGGGATTTTGTTGATTTGCATTTGTTTTACCTGCAGTGTCTCCAGGAAAAGAAAATAGATGTTTAATCCCACGGTTCCTTCAGAAAGGATTTTGAGTAATTAACTTAGATATACAAGTACAGAAAGAAGGTGTGACATGGAATTATTTGTCCCTCCATGTGATATTCTTCTTCAGATGAGTAATTAGCACCATGCCTCCTCTCTTTTCCCCTCTCTCTCTCTTTGTGTTCAGATTTGGACAACAGTGATGCCAACGAGAGACTGAAGTTCAGCATACTTAAGAGACTCCCTGAGGTACTTCTGTGTGTGTTTGAGTGTGTGGGGCCAAAACACAAGGTTTGTATGCGGGGCCACGGGTCGTTTGGATTAGCTTATCTAACAGGGAAAGATTAAAAGGAGCTTATTCAACCTTTTCTATCTGGTGTAGTCACTCCAAAAAGAATCTCATAGCATAATATCAGCCGTCCACGTGGTGAGATGTCGAGCGTACAAACTTAGAGGTCAGAGCTGAAATGTAGCAGCCCATGGCCGGTGAGAATTTCTCAGCCTGGATGGTATAAAACAATGCATGAGGCTATTATAATCCCATCTATTAGTGAGAAGGAAGTCTTGATCTTTTCTCGAATGGTTCTCTCCCAAAACTTTCCGTTCTGGTCCAATTAAGAGTTTGAAGCTATTTTAGGTCTCATCTCCCTCAAGCCCCCCTCAAGCCAATCACCAAGCACTTGTGTAACTGGCTGGTGTTTATGTGTGTGTGCGTGTGTTGGGGAGGGGGTAGTGTAGGTAGTTACCGAGTCTGTGTGTATTATGTGTGTCCCTAACTCTTGTGTAACTTCCACGTGTTCTTGTGTGGGTACAGTATATTTCTTCTGTAGCTGTGTGTGTGTGTGTGTGTGTGTGTGTGTGTGTGTGTTCCATCCGCATTGTGATCAGAGGAATGTTGAGTGTTTAGTGTCTCTGTTCTGTTTCCTGCCCGTCAGACCTTTGTTGGGTGAGTTTGGCAGGCAGGAGAGATTTAGCAGGTACAGCACACACACACACACACACTCCTACAGAGCTAGAAAACAGGAGATGGCCCATTGCTGGAAATTCATATCTTGGCTAAGCACCCCTCATAACTCTCATTATATATGTGTTTAACTCTCACATGTCTTTTCAAAGTTTCTAAAAGGCTGCATTCTTATTGAGAGGTTGTAATTATTTTGAGTTTATTTGAGTGTTCTAGCTAAATAAATTATCATGTGATTATTTTATCTATGAATACACTCTCAATTGAACTTCAATTGAAAGAGGACTATATTGTGATATAAAAAGACATATACCGTAAAAAAGGATTTGAGCCATATTGCCTACTCCTTTTACATGTTCAGTCAGGTAATAATCATCATTCATTTCAAACGGCTGCGTGTTCTCAATAAACAACAAAAACGGCGACACCAAAAGGAGACAATTGTGCAAAATAGTTTGTTAATAGCACTGTCTCAGCAAAAACATACGTATTAATCTCAACTTGTTTCTTCTCACCTCTGACAATAACACAACCCTTGAAGGGATCCAGCAGCTCCGTATCAACTTGGCAGCGAGTCTGAAGCTGGACAGAAAGCAGCCCTGAGGAAAAGCTGCATTCTCTCTTATTGTCAGCCACACCTGTTGTCTCTGTTTGGTTATTACGTGATATTTATTACTGTGGTGTGCACAGAACATTTTGATTCCTCTGGAATTCCTCATTAGCAGTCAACTCCTAAATAATGGTTTTGAGTTCCAGTTGGCAAAATGGAAAGGGACAGATGTTCACATGCTTCAGGGATGGGTTTTTTAGCTACATGCCTAAAATGCAAATTGTAAAATGTGTGTGTGTGTGTGTGTGTGTGTGTGTGTGTGTCTGTGTGTAGCCTATGGAGCAGAGGATCTACCATATGTGGGACCATCCTGTCAGTTCAGCTTCAATCTCCAGGGATTATGTCACGACTCTGCTGGAGAAACACAGCAAAAACAAGGTGATAAAGGAACTCATTAGCACTCGCTAACTATGGGGAAAATTTCTCAGACATACATGAAATCCCTCCAGAAAAAAAAGTGTGACATGAAGTGTGTAGCGCTGAAGTGGTTAGTTTGTCACTCACTTAGTTGATAGACATTTTGATGTCAAATTTAATTTGATCAGTCATTTATCTAGCAACAAGCCAAAGAGTCTACAGCCATGCTAGCGCTTCTCTTACCCTGTAAGTAGACACAGTGGTGCTTTGCGCTAAATGCTAAATCAGCATGCTAACATGTTCCCAATGACAATGATAACATGATAATATTCAGTAGGTATATTGTTTACCTTGTTCAACATCTTAGTTTAGTGTCGCTAGCATGCTAACATTTGCTAATTAGCAATAAACACATATTACAGCCAAAGCTAATGGGAATGTCATTAATTTTGTACAAATTTAGTCAAAAAACAAAAGATTATTGGCTAAAAATGCTACAAAAATGTGCTGATTCCAGCTGTTCAAATTGTGAAGATGGTGGTGCTTGTCTCCTTTTTTAAAATCTTCTAAATTTGATATGTTTGTGTATTGGGCTATTGGTCAATTGGACATCCCCTCGGGCTCTGGAAAATTGTGATGGGCTTTTGCCACTATTATCACAGGTTTCTGACAAGGAATCCTTACCTTACCTTATTAAATGTGTTTAAACAGTGGCCCCAGTTGTACAGCCAACACAGCATCTATCTACACCCAATGCCATTGGCCAGTTTCAGTCATCTAATTGGGTTGCGGACTGGTATGGAGAGCCAGTAGCAATTCGTAAAAAATATATGGGTGCCTAAAATGTTTAGATCCATAAGAGGAAATAATTGAGTCAAGGTAATAGGTTTTTTCTGCAGATTTGTCTTGACTGTGTATGTCCGGAAAGCCTGCAGAATACACAGTTGTGTTTTTGCTTTTCCTTCCTCCTCAGGGATTTACATTCAGCAGCAGAGAGAGGCCAGGCTTCAGACCTGAGTTTCTGCCTCTTACCTACCTGGCAAAAATGCTCTCTGATATAGAGGAACAAGGTAGCGTACGCGTGTGTGTGTACGTGTGTGTGTGTATCCTGCCTTTGGAGGATTAAGACAGCTTGTGTGTGTTTATGTGCATGCTTGGTCAGAATGCAGCAGCCTCTCATCACGAAGGAGCAAGGAAGGAAGTGTTTGGCTGTGTCTTGTGTTATATTCCCTAAAAGAAGCTGTATCACTCTCTAAACTTCTCTTCCTGCATTCCAGCTCTGAACCCTTTCGAGGAGCAGGAGAACGTGGACGCGAGGTTTGTGGAGGAGACGGCTCTGAAACAGACAGTAATACTGCTGGGCTTTGAGGAAAAATGAAGGATGTGCAGGGGAGCGGAAGGGCGGAGAGGGACAAGGGATGGATGGATTTAGGGGGAAACAGATGTGGGGGGGGGGGTTGTCATCATTGACTCGGCCTTGAGGACAAGTGCCGGATGGATGGATGGATGGATGGATGGATGATGGAGGGACGGAGGGCGAGAAGCGAAAGATGAATGGAGAGATTGAGCGCCCATAAACAAGCTCTCAGTGTTTTATGACAAATTAGGGTGGGACAGAGCCATAGATGGATGGAGACGCCCAGAAAGGGAAGATGGAGGGGGGAATAGGAGGCAGATCGGATAAAAAAAGTCATCCTATTTTTCCACCTCTAAATACTGAAGTGTGATATGATGTGAGAGGGACAGTGGCTTGTTATTTTACAATACACAAACAATGTAAGAACTGTGTTTAAAATGGAAACAATAGTAACACAATTCAATTTGGGGAAACATGCTTATCATTTTTTTTTTTATTAAAAATCAATAACTGCAGGCAGCTGTTTATCTGAACTCATATTTCTGTAGCGGCAACAATTCTCTCTCCACAACTTCTCCACTTCCTCTCATACAATTTATGAACATTGATGTCAAATACTGCAAACAGTATTTATAAATCAAACACGCTTATTTGTCCTCCTGTGCTCTCTGTAATGCTGCTGCACCCCATCAACTTGATTACATGCTGACAAAAGCGTCGCAGACAGAGCCGCTTGATATGGTCTCTCAGTGGCTGCTGTGCATTCAATCTGGTCTTTAACAATGAGTTATACAGAATATTTGCAGCTGAAAGGAGTGCTGGTATAACTCAGTGAGACTAACAGGCCCTTGCAAAGATTTAAAATTACAAGCCCAAACAGTGTTATAAATGGAATATACTGTATTTTCAATATACAAATTAACATATTCTTAATAGGAAATACACTGATTGTTACTTTATACAAAAACTAAATTGCTGAAGGATTAGAAGGATTTTCAAGCTTTGAGATGACTGAGTAAAGTGGCTATCAGGAACGTTTCAAATATTTAGGAAATTCACTGTTGCTGGATTTGTACGGAGAATAAGGGCTGGCTATCATTTGAACTGTTTTGATACTAGTGCTGGTATGATACCTATGTTGCTGCACAGCACTAAATGATGTCATAATTAGAGAAATATGAACATGTTTCTCTACAAATTCCTCAGCCAAAATTCTCAAATATTAAACGTCTAAACACAAGTGACCATACAAAAACATTAGCTTGCATAAAACTGCCTAAAACTAGCTCAATATTTATTTAAAGTGAGACTATATTTACTTTTAAAAGGAGATATACCACATTCTTAGTACAAAATGATACCTTACTTTAAGTAATATAAACATATTTTTCCCTCAGCCAGTTTTAAAATGTTAAACATTGTCTAAACACAAGAGACCATACAAGAAGTTTGGCTAAGTGAATCAAAATTGCTAGTTTTAGGCTATTTTAAAGTGGGACTACATACCTAAACCACACACACACACACACACACACATTCTTAGTACAAGAACTTCGTCTCACTTAAATTGTCTAAAACTAGCTATATTGTGATTTAAAGTTAGACTATTTTACTTTTGTAAGACAAGGTTTCATATTCTTACTTATATAAATGAAAAGTTGAATTCATAGGCAATAAAACACACTCTACTAAATTCTTTACACTCAGGGTTTTGCTGCTACAGCCTTATTGGTCTGGTATGACTTGTATATTATGATGGCTAATGTTAGCAATCTTTAGGTTGATATCTCTATAACTGCAAGACTGAGCTAGTTTGCTAACACCATTGCTCTTCTTTTTGTTTTAGCACTTTCCATGCAATTGTCATTTACTCATCGGCTTACAATAAACCAGGAAGCTGGCAGAAGAAAAAGTAAACAAGGTCTAAGGTAATACACAAGGATAAAAATTAGCAGTCCACTCATTTTATAGTGCCTTTATTCATATAGCCTATTGTAAAAATCAATCTCCAAAATGCTTTACAAACCATAAAATCAAAGAAGACAGTACAGGGTTAATAGGGCAATACAAATTAAAATAATAAAAAAATTAAAAACTGACATTACTCACCCTGCCTGCACACACACACAAACATCTAGTTTGAATAACGTGCCATAACGTGTGCCCTCAATCATGACTAAGCTCTTACTGTAAGTGGAGAAATTCTTTGGTAGTGGTGGTGAGTGTGTGTGTGTGTGTGTGTGTGGGTGGCATGTGTTCATAATCCTTTTCACACTGTCTGAATGTTAGCAGCCCACGAGACTCAATGCCAGAGATTATTTACACCTCCGTGTTTGTGCTTTGAATTGAGAAATGACAAAACATTCCTCTGAATAAAAAAGGGATTTCTTAAGCACTCATGTTTCTTATGGTTACACAAAAAAGTTTTGTAAGATGAAATGTAAATAAAGAGATTCCCCCTGCCCCATGTTTTCTGTATTTCTCTCTCTGCCATACTTTTGAAGAGCATGGTGTACCGATAAGTTCCGTGGCAACAGTTAGGCCTTGGCTAACTTTGTTTCCAATGAATCTCCTTTGAACCCAAGAATATTTAGAGCCAGTTGCACTGTGGAGCCTTGAGGTAAATTAGGAAATGATCTCAGCATGCAGTCAAATAGTTTGTAGCTTGAACAGCTCTGCAGAACAGTAAGTGAGCTCTCAGATTCTTCACAAAATTGTGTGTTTTGGACAAACTCAGCTGAGTTCCCCTAAAGTCTGCAGATAATCTCAGCATCGCTCATCATATGCGCTGAGTCACTTACTAATAAACGCCCATCATGCTTTCAGACATGCTTGTTTTTCAATACCTACATTAGTGCCAAATTATACACTTTTTTTTTTACCATGAGCTTTATCACCTTGGTACAGTTGTCTCATATCATTATTCTTCTGGGGAACTTCCTTTTAAATGTGAATGAATCCCTCATTTCCCACTCAATTGCCTCCTCCGCACTCTGCTATGCAGTCAGTGTTATGTAGCAGGCCAAATAAGCACAACAACAGTTAGGGGGCAAGTTTATCTGACAGCTTGCAGTGGATGATCACACACACACCTCATTGTTAGGTGGACAGGGCTGCCTCAAAATTGGATAAACTCAACCTGCTGCCTTCTTGAAACTTTTAGGAAGTTTACTCACACAGAGTAGGCCGACACAAAGTTTTTTGTCAGACTCAGCCCCACATCCTTATCAGATGAGCTCAACTCATCGCCACAGCTAATTATTTCAAGTTAATCCTTTACTTTTAGCTAACTATTTCAACAGGTGATCCATTACTTTAGCTAATTACAATATTTCAACTATTTATGTATTCATTTTATGTAATTATTTAAATGATTTAGCCAATACTTTTAGATAATTATTTCAAGTTTACCCTCTACAACTATTTTGACTTGCTAACCACTTTTTCATGCACTCTCATTGGCAACTAAAGAACCGACTGATGTGGGTGGGCGGCGTCTCATGTGCTATCAGCCTTGTATTATTACAAGGTATTATTATGACTAATAATATATTTACTTTAGATCAGTCTCAGCCATTTGTAATTCTATTTGGATGTTGTTTTTTTACTAAACTCAAAAACAGTGTGTACATATACTTTTTGATCAAATTATGATTTATATTGATTTTCAAATTGGCTGAGCGACTACAGAAGTACAGAAATAGTTGGGAATCATGAATGACCACAGTAATGGTCCCCACATGAACGCAGTTAACAAACACATGTGCTTACAAGCTGCAAAACATGCTCACTAGCACCATAACTACTCAAGCTAAGATCAGCAGGTACTTCCAGTAAGTTTTTAGATACTTCAAAAGGCAAGTGACTTTGACTCTCCGTCCCATTTAGAGCTCTGCTTTTATCCATTTTTTCCCTACGATTGTCCTCTGCCACCTTTTGCAACGGCCGTCTCTCATTCCTCTTCATTGAAATTCTCCTCTCTCTTGTCATTCTCTATGTTCTTTCATTGCCTGATCTGCCTCTCTATATTTACATTTATCATTTCAGGCATTAAGCAGCCACTCTTAGCCTAGCTTAGAGCTTAAACCCATTGCAATTTATGCATCGGCTGCAAGATTACAAGTGCGGGGGATGAAACGGCTGAAGAATATGTCGAAATATTCCAGTGTCCCTGAGAAATTTTTAAGAGAAAGGTAGTGAGACGATAATGATGTGTTGCTAATTACAGAAATAAATACAAAACTTCATTAGTAGATACGATGTAACAATACAACACAAGTTTTATCTCCACTAAGTCCTCTGTCTTCTCTTCCACTCTCTTACAGTAAGTAGTGTTACTGCAAGCTAGAGTGTAAACAAGCTCTTGCCAGTAATTCTTTTTTTAAAAAAGGAAACAAAATTACAACCAGATGCAGTCCACAAGTAAGCACTCACATGACAAAACAGCAGTGGTATGCTGGACAGTGAGTACACAAACATACACAAGGAGCAGGGAGGAGGAGGAAGGAGCGGCACAGAGCGGTGTGTGGAGAGCAGATACATCAAGTATGATAGAAATGTGCCAAATGAGATGAGATGCACTGGAAAATATATGAAAAAAAATCGTCATTGGCTTTTACATTTTATGCTTCTGAAGGATACTGATGTGAACGGTGGGGATTAAAAAATAAGCCCAAAGCAACACCCCCATGTTTATGAATGTTGTTTTCTATATCTCTAAGGGTTTGAGTGTTGGTTTGCGGATGTGTCTCATGTTGGCTCCTGGTTGGGATGGTTTGAAGGGGGCCTGAGCTCCGTAGGGTTTTGGCAGAGGGAGCGGGCCGGTCAGGGGGATGTATGCGTTGGGACGGGTTTCAGCTGTGGTGTACTCTCCATTAGGCAACTGATTCCACTCCTCTTCTTCAGCCAGCTGCACACACAAACACACATACACACACACACACACACACACACACACACAAATACCAGAGGCAGTTTTAATATTTGATGTAAGACTGCATGACCTTGGACTAAATAGTTAAAATTAAATCTTCCTGAATTTTAATCATGAAAATGGAATAATTTATTTAGCAATTTTTTTTCTTACTTCTTAAGACAAATGCAAAGGCACAAGTGAACAGTTGAGTGCATGAGCTCACAATCGCAAGGCCAAAAGTTTGATCATTTTTTTCGAAAATACACATTAAAGAGATTAGTGATACTAGAGATGCTGGGTTTGTTATAAAGGAGTTGTTGTTCTTTTTTGGAATAAAATAATACCAATCCATAGTAAGCTGCACTTGTTCAACTGGATGTTCAACATCAAATGAAAGCTGTTTTTCTCTTTCGGAAGTGTGGAATAAAGGATACGGCTGGCAATATCTTATATTGTTCATTATGTCAACAACCCTGTCTGTGGCTCTCAGCCCCAAGCCCATTCGTTCCTACTCAACAGGAAAGTCTTTAAAAATGGGTCAAAAAAATATATTTTAATTTATAAAAAAGGCTACAGTATTTAGGTTCTAAAAACCTAAATATATATATATATATATATATATATCTTAGCCCCTAATGGGGCTCTTGCCTGCCTGTGGCTGGAGTCGGTGTGGCGCGGTTTTGGCGTACCACTATTACTAACAACTACATTCTGTAACAGGCTTGTGAACACACGAACACACACAGACACACAGACACACACACACTCATAGACACATTCACCCACACGCACACAGACACACACTCTCACATATGGACACACACACACATACAGACATATACACAAACAAATTTAGGTTGTCCCTGGTTGTCACAGGTAGAATTATTCTTGATGCTTTTTTTAAAGTTGCTTAAAACCTTAAATTAATTGTTATTATTCCAGCTCTCATGGCTGTGCTGTGTTGTTTATTTATTTTGCCTGACTGTTTCTCGTTTTCATTTCTCTCTCAGTTGTCTTCCTATGTCAGCTGCTTATTGCTGCTGTTTTTCTCCGCCCCAAGCCCCCTCTCCTCATTCTCTGGCAGGTTTCCTTGCTTTCTGCAATTGGTGTTTCCCTCTGCTATTTCCTGTTGTCCCCACCTCCCATCCCCGTTCACTTACAGGTGTTGTCCATACTCTGTGGTGTCTGTTTCTGCAGTGTATGTGCCCCCATCCCCACTTCTACCCCGCTGTCCGGCCCACTGACAAATCATCCATCCATCCATCCATCCATCGTCAACCGCTTATCCTGCATACAGGGTCGCGGGGGCTGGAGCCAATCCCAGCTTACATCGGGTGAAAGGCGGGTACACCCTGGACAGGTCGCCAGTCCAACGCAGGGCCACACATAGACAGACAACCACTCACACTCACATTCATGCCTAAGGACAATTTAGAGTCACCAATTATCCTAGTCCGCATGTCTTTGGATGGTGGGAGGAAGCCGGAGCCCCTGGAGAGAACCCACGCAGACACGGGGAGAAAATGCAAACTCCACACAGAAAGGCCGGGGGCAACGGGGGTGCTAACCACTGTACAACCGTGCCGCCTGCACTGACAATACATTTACATTTACAATTAAATAATAAAATGAGGAGTAAAAATGAAAATGAATACATCTTAAAATAGACTATTACAAACTATACCAAAAGACTATTAGCACTAATTATCTGATAACACGTAAACACCTCAACCAAACTAACCATATGCAGGTATATGTTAACTTAGGCTGGAAAACATCTTTCTTCCTTCAATAAAACTTGCTTGTAGAGTACTGACAGTGGCAGACAAAATTAATTTGAACCCAATATGGCTGATGGATCAATTTGTAACCATGGCAGACTCCTGCTGAGAAAATAAAAATCTTCCAGTGTTCACATGTCCTTGTGACGCTACAGACCCCCCTTTGACTTTCACCCCCACAACGGCATGCAAATGAACTGTGCCTAAATCTGACTGAGACTTCAAAGACATGGCGATTTTCTCATGCATATGAACCGTATATCCGCTGGCTTGTGATCTAAGGAGCGCACACAAAACAAGGAATAACGGCTTTAAATGCAAAAAATAGCAGGAACTTCCAATAAAATAAACAGGAAAAAAAACATATTTGTCTCATCACATTTACATTTAAAGAAGAAGCTTAAAACACATGATTGACAATGACTCTGAAAGTAGAAAAAAGCTTAAATTCATATAGGTTTCTGCAGATTCCCTGCTATTTTTTGGTTTGGCATTGTGCATGCAGAGTATATAGAGTGGTGTCTTTTTGGGTCTGCGGCTATAAGCAGGAATAAACTGGGTGAGAAAATACAGATCAGAATAACAACAGACAAGCTGCACACAGCTGAACTGGTTTCAGATACAGGCAATGTGTGAGTTTCTTGTGTAGACAGCCACCAATTTTGTTTGTCAGCCAGTCGTGTCCTGTGTTTGTGCAAGTGGTGAAAACTATTCTAGTTCCTGTTTAGTCTCTGTGAGTGTGGAGTGTTTCTACTACTTCTCTGTCTGTCTGCATGTTCAGGTATACAGCAGCCCTTTTGTCCCTCAGAATCTTAATTGATTCCTGCCCCGCGTCTTTGTCCCAGCTCCACTTCTTTTTTCTTTTGTCACTCTATCTTCTTTTCTTGTGCCTCAGTGCTTTAATCAATTCCTGACCAGTGATCTCTGTGTGTGTCTATGTGTTACTTTACCCTCTCTCTCTCCTCTTTGTCCCTCTGCCTCCTCTTCCTGTCTCGGAGCATCCTCCTCCACTCCTCCTCTATCTCAGGGCATGGTGGCAGGCCCTGCTCCAGCTGCTCCTGGCACCTGTCCATCTGGAAACACAGGACGAGAAACATTCACTTTGTATTCCTATCACTCCGTCCAGTCTGCACTCTCTTGACTCAATTCAATTCTAACTGCACCCGAAAACAGATGGTCGTATTAGTGTCCGAATATGGGCAAAGTTATGCCTCTGCACTTTCTACGTCTAGTTGTGTGTGCGGCGTGCTGCAGGCGTACATCAGCTGCAGGGGCTCTTCATTAACACGTATCTCTTGAAACATTTAGAAGGAATGGGGGAAAATCCTCTCATTTTTAGTAGTTTAATTCTAGTTCAAATCTCTTGCTTAAATGACAATTAAGCTGATGGTTTTCCTTCCCTTAATACTTAAAATCCACAGTGGTTGATTATTTCCATGCTCCAACGCAACAGAAGGGTTTTAAAATTAAAATTATATAACACTTATAATAGTGATAATATGAGTGGCTGATAGCATGAGTCATTAATGTATGATGTCAATCAAAATCAAGTAAAATGATTGGTTAAGCATTGCCTGTTCACTTCTGAAATGTACTGTATATTATATTAACAATGGATAAATTACTAGGAGTAATGTGATAGGGGTCAGCCATAGGGAATGATCACCCAAAGAGAATGATCACCCCAAAGTTCTCTGGAGTGTTTTAGTAACTTTCAGCTCACCATTTTGGTTCTAAGTGCTAGATGTTCTAGCTCACTATCACCTATCTTGTCAACCTAGCTTCCAGTACCTTGTTTTTCAGCATAAAAGCTCTGATAAATGCACTGTACGCATGGAAAACAAACAAAGCTAGTGACTAGCTGGTGAACATAGTGGAGCTTAGCAGCTAAAGAGACATTTCCCTCAGGAGTTGCTGGAAAACCAGGAGAGTGAATATCGGACAGCTTGACTACTTGTTTAGTTTTCAGATACCTGAAATGGAAAGAATCAACAGTGTATTAAAGGTAAAAACATTATATAACATGGCAATGCAGATGTGGATTTAGCCTGTGGATAAGCAGTAGTATGAAATACAAAAACAGTAATAATTAGCTTTAAACAGTCACAGAAGAATATTAACGTTACTTGCCTAACATTGTTACATGTAATATTCTTATTTGATCAGCAAGACCATTCAGAGCCACTACATAAGGTTAACTTACTGTTAATTCAATCGTGAGTCTTTTGAACACAGGTAAGAGCAGACAGTTAGTTAAGTTGGCTAAACTTTCAACTTAACAGACTTAAATGTTAACAGTGGAACTTTTCTTGGTTGCTATGGATACAGAAGTTGCTAATCTGCTAGTGCTACTTTCATTTCCAGTAAACACAAAAGAAAAGTCCACTCTTCTGGAACTTTTGATCTCAATGTCAGCTTTCAGCTTTTGCACCAACGTGGACAAGTAGAGGTGCTCAGAAGAGACAACTTGGAAACTCCATCTGCTAAGGGAGATTGTGTGATAAGATCGCAAGGTCCAGAACAGCTACTGAGTAGACCTTGTGGTGAGTTTGTTTTTGTCAAACAACAACATAGATTCTGCATATAATCTGTTTTTAAAAAGGCCACTAAATGCTTGCTGTGGGACCAGGAGTGACTGGATGCTCAGCACCATTGCTAAATATTAATCCTGATTCCCTGATGCTTAGCACTAATTCATTTGTTTGTTTTGCATGGTTTTGGTTTCTTTTAAAATTAAACCCCTCAGAGTTTAATTTTTATCTCATTTATAAAAATTGTTATTGAATATTATTTATTCTCCCTGTGCTTACCTTTTGATTTGTTGGACTGTGCAAACAAGCAAAATTAATGGGTTTGAGGCGAAACACAGGACACAGTGAAAATTATTGTTGAGACACTTTTTGCTGTCTTCGATCGCGGTCAGTGGAGAATGACAGGAATAATGGGAAAGACAGTGGGAGACTGAGTGGATTATGTGCAACCAAGATCACAGTTTTTGGACTCTAGAATCACACTGTTGCGGAGTGTCTGGGACCACCTCTGACCTGGAGCTCTTTCTCTCTGATCTCTTGTTGGAGAGACAAAGTGACGGCTTGCTTCACGGAAAGCTCTGCAGAAACGGCCATCATCTGGTGGTTGGTGTCGATGATGTGAGTTCGGAGCTCGTTTAACTAGAGGCAGACACACGGAGAATTTCACACTGATTCAACATGCAGTTAGATACAGAATTCATGTTTTGACACAAGTTGTGAAGCTAATCATTCAATATGATCGCTTTTAGAGCTGCCTTGATGAGCTATGACGAAACAGTTTATTTCAATGCCATTCAATATTAATTATAAAGTTACACTCTACTCCTACTGCACATATACACATGTACGTAAGCATCTCCTTACATTTGTTATTTAGCTAGTACTGTGAGAGGACCTTAATTCATGACATTATTGCATACAAGGAATCTTGTTCTAATTGAGGCTATTAATAATTGGTGTTCGAGAGAAAGAAAGACATACACACAGCCAACGTGGGAGAATGAAAGCGAGACAAAGCAAGTGAGAGTACGAGGAAATTGTAATGCTCGGTGAACTCCTTAATGCCCACTCTGCATGCTCCTCACATGGGCCGCACATGCTCAGAGAGAGGTAAAAGACCCACTGTGAATTAATAGGTGATTTTGCATGTGTGTGTGTATTAATCAGGGTGTCCATTGTTTTGTCTGTATTTGATCGGTGTGTATGTGAGCTGAGCCTCATCTCAGTCTGTGTGCAAGTGGGTCTTGTTGTCTACCTTCTTGGCCAGTGAGAGTCTGTCTTGTTGGCAGTTCTCAGCCTGCTCGCTGAGTGGCTTCGAGAGCCGGGTCACCTGGTCCACAAGGAGTTCTTTTTCCAGCACCTGCCTCTCACTCTCTGCTAGATTTGCCTCCAGCTACGTGCATAGAGACACAATGATTATTATATTTTGTCATGGATTTTCACCACAAATGCATGCTTATATGCAATTTTTTCTCACATAAACATCATCTAATGTTGTTGTGTACCTGCTCAACCTTCTTGACCAGTTCTACAGTTGAGGGGTCTTCGCCTTTTAGCTCTTTGTAATCAAGTGTTCGATTCAGACCTTCAAGGGTCCTGTCCCTGGCTTCTGACAACTAAGATACAGAGAGAATTAGAGACATAAACAAGACTAGATCACAAGTTTGTAAGTAAATACACTTGTAGTCATCGAGTCACTGACACTGAGGTCTAGTAATGAGATAATACAGTGATTTCCCACAGGATAGTATACAACATGAAAGTAGATAAGTAAGACATCTGGAATTAGTCTCCTACTGTCTGTGTTTCGAGTGCCTTGTCCTCCGGGCATTTAAGATACTTATTGCACTGGGGATTTTAAAAAAACACTTAAGACATTTCTCAGCTAAATGTAGTGGCTATATGCGAGATACTTCCCACTAGGTGACAAGTCACAGGCAAAGTCTGATAAAAGAAACCAACACTTAAAAAGCCACAGGATCCCTCTAAGGAATTGTTAAAAAAAACATTCTGACATCCTTTAAGAGAAACAGAAATAGAAAGGGAGGCAAGGATACACAAGAAAGCACAAATAAGATGAGTTTAAAGAGTGGAGGGAGATTAAAGGCAGACAGGAGGACAAGAGAAGACATTAAAATTAAATAAGGGGACAGCACAGGCATTTTAGATTCAGGCCTTCAGCTGACACCCTTATCCTACAGTTTGTCAGTGAGCTGTTTAGAGTGTTGCTCAAGTGTAAAACGTAGTTCTGACATGATTCACTGATGAACTGTTTTGAAGAACGACAAAGAAATGAAAATCTAAAGTATTAATTAAAAGGTACACGTTTTTGGCTTGTGGTAGTGCTATGAAGTGTGCCAGCAGAGGTAAGGGTAAAGAATACTGCAAGCTAGTCAAAATGGATGGAACTTCAGACTCCGAAAGATACCAAATATGTCAAGCTGAATTTTGGGAAAAAGTGTATACATTTTGCACAAGACGTGTACATTATTAATTTGATGGATTTATGCAGCCAAAAAAACCTTGGGGTCTTGGATACAGCAATGAAGAGTTGGCTAGTGGAGAACATATATATGTGATAGACGTGGAATAATATTTTTCTCGAAATGTTAAAGGGTTAATTGAATAAATCTGGGTTTTGGACTGTTGGTCACGGCAAGCTATTTAAAAACTCTTTGAAAAAGCTCCAAACAACTCTGGTACATATTTTAGACTAAATGATTAATCAACTTATTGACAAAATAATTAACACATTAATTGAAAGAGGATGTTATTTGCAGCCCTCAAAAACGCACAACCGTGAAGAGGAGCTTCATCTGTATTCACCTGGTCAGTCTGTTTAATGGTAAAAGCAGTTGGTTCTAATATCCACTATTTAATGTAGAGACAAAGACAAATACTACAACACTCTTAACGCGTGCAGGGACTGCAGAGAGAAATTAACGTTTAAAGTAGCTACAGTGGGGAAGTTAAAGCAAATGTACAATGGCCCCAATACAGCAAAACAAAGGTAGTCTATATATAAAAATATATGAAGCTGATCAAGGAACCATGACCATAAAAGGGACGTAAGCAGAAAATAGAAAGAAGAGAAAAAAATGATCAGATCAAAGGAGAGAAAAAAGTAAAACAAAAAAAGGGAAACATGACAAAGATGGCAGGGGAGATTGGACAAAAAGACAAATACAAGTGAAGAAGAAGTGATAGACAGCAGAAAGTAATGAGAGGAGTGGGGAGGAGTTGGGAAGGAAAAACTGGGTGTGGAAAAATGTTGTACACAGGCAGTGACCTGGTTCATAAAACAGCAGCTTCTCTCCACTCAACCATACAGTGTTTGTCCTTACATGCATCTGTGTATGTTTACGTGACTACATCGAATGTGAGAGTTTATGTGTCGGACTTGAAAGGGAGAGTGGAACAAAGTGATGATTCCCATTTCCCCTCCCTTCACGGAAGAGATTAATGAAGCCTCTCGTACGCAAACAAGACAGTGAGTCTGATTAAAACACACTTCAGCGTTCAGCCCCCTTAAAAAGAGGCTTCTCCCTCAACGTCATATGACTCACGTTTTAACTTAATAGTATGACTGGCATGTGATTAACTGGGACGTTTGTAAGGCTAAAGTTATAGACACTCAAGAAGAAGAAAAAAGTTGAGAGGCAGACAAAACTGACAGTAAGCAGCAGATATACTAAAAAGCTGAGATAGAGATGAGAGTGGAGCAGATGTACACGGAGAGACTGATAAAAGGCTGACATATATAGAGGGAGATAAAGTGAAGAAGAGCAAAGGAGAGACAGCATGAAGGCCAGAGTGAGAAAATGAGGGAGAGATGCGATGTGAAAGCAGACAAGAGAGACAGAATTAGACAGAGAAACGCGATGCGAACAAACAGGAATTGGGGCTGACCAAAAGGGACTGGGGTTATCTGCAGTTTTCACAGAGAATTTGACTTTGACAACAAAACCTTGTTTGCAAAGAGTTGAATGCATGTTAAGTACAAAACCAAAATGACCCTATTTCTTGCTGAACATGCAAATGAAGGGCACCAAACTGTAAATGATCCTAGTGACACCACAAATTAAACTGGATTCTGAATTCTCTCCACTTTTTGGAAAATATATAATACAGCAGCTACAGTATTTTGCATATTTTTCCATTCATCAAAAGTGGATAAAGCAGTTTTTGGACATATTTGTCGAAACAGCGTGCAAGCTTCTTCCATATAGGTGGGTATTTCCTATGGCAGTGGCTGACTTTTGAGGACCAGCTATCTTGGAGAAGCATTGTCAACTTTCATGGTGTGCTGCTGATTGGAGCATGTTGTGGCTTTGTAGCCTATAGCTTACAAACATTGATGCAAGAAATATTTTTTCTTTTATTTAACAAATCTACATAGGGCTAGTGTGTTATTGTTTGTGTAATTTAGCTACGTCCTATTACAAGATTCAACATGGGGGAAGACCAATTGTGCTGTTTAGTTCTATTTTCCACTCGGAAAGTGAAAATTAGCAAGTTATGCTAACTAGCCCCTACTCAGAAAGTGGAAGCCAGCAAGCTAGGCTAAATGGAAGCTAGTTTTCCCAGCTTGCCAACGTTAGCACTGATTCCCATTCACTTACTGTTGGAGCATGTCATTTCAACACCTGCTGAGTCATTGTCAAGCTCATGCAAAGTAAGTTTTGTGTTTGTTCCACATTCAAAGGAGGGCGATAAAAACTCATAATAACCAGTAGTCCTGTAACCTCAGCACTACGTATACAGTATTTCCCCATGCTTGGTGACTCCTTGTTACTCTGTGTCAAATCATAGATGGGACTAAGCAACGGTTAAACAAACAGTCCAACATTGTGAGAAATACTGATATTTGCTTTCTTGCTGAGAGTTGGGTGAGAAGATCAATACTGTGCCACTCTCTGTACAGTCATTTACGTGTTTGTTTATTTTTTGTATAGCTTAAACAAACAAGATACAACTTTAGGGGCTACTGGCAGATTTTGTTACCTCTGGACTGAGCCAGGCTAGCTATTTCCCCCTTTTCCAGTCTTTATAGTAAGCTAAGCTAACCAGCTGCATGTTACAGCTATATATTTAGCGTTCAACCATAAGAGTGGTATCAATCTTCTCATTTCACTCTTTTTAATAAATCAGTATATAAATCCTTTGTGTTTGTTTTGACTTGTGTATTGATTTGTTCAGCTAGCTAAATGCTATGTAACAAATGAAGAATAACCATTCAGTGTAAAAAAAAAAAACAAAACTATGTGTTAGAGATGTTTGAATTTATTTCACAGATTTAAATGAAGAAGAACTTTACCAGACTACGTCAGAATGTGCAAATACCAATGGCAAATACCCAATGAGACAAGTGTGTACCCACTCCCCACTTGTGAGCCTGCCATTTAAACACTGCATGATGGATGGGATATAGCATGTCTGTCACTCTTCTTCTCCTCTCTCCACTGTTCAATCAATCTTTTTTTCCCTCTGTTGTTGCTCTTAACATTTTTATACCCTTCCTCCTCCCTCCATTCATACAAGCTGTTGTTTTTGTTTCTCTGTGTATTCATTTGTCTCTGTGTCAGTGTCTCGGTGCTGCCTGCCTGCCTCTCTGTTTTCTTCATTCACAGTCAAAATGAATAGCTGCTTTCTTGGCTCATGAATGCTATAAAGCAATCAAAATGTGACAACATCTAGGCAGACTACAATTTGCATATAATAATTCCTCAGTTAGTAGTTAGCATGATGGTTTAAAAAGCACAGAATAGATGGCACACTGCATGCTTAACAGTATAATAATAATGATAAATAATGACCTTATTTATGTAACACTTCCCAAAATTAGGTTACAAAGTGCTTCACAATTAAAAGGGATAAAAGACAAAGGGACAGATCAGTAAAGCAGAAAGGTCAGTAAAGTAAAAAAATCATAATCATAATAAGGTTATGTAAGGTTAATTAGCAGAACATGTGAGCAGAGGAGCTGAACTGAAGCTTTCACGAGCTCCAAATGAGGAATACATTATAATAAGATATGCATTTTAACTTGGCTTCTATGTAAATATTTGACAACAGGTCACATAATACAAATATACACAATATTATCTAAGTGATATACACTGGTAATGTCAAATTGAAGTAATGTTGCTCAGCTGTTTATGTTTTATGGATGATGCTGATTCTGCTGGCCAGAATTCCTCTGGTAAATTATTCCACAGCCTTCAAACCCTTGACAACAAAAGCCCTCACTTTCAGTCTCTAACTGGGATATAGAAATTGGTAAGGTTCCAGCCTGAAGAGGACCTCAGGCTACATCAAGGGCTCGTAAAAAAGACAACTAGGGGCCAGACCTTGGTAATCAGTGACTGCATTTGATTTGGAGTTATCACCCCAACATTGTATATTAGCAGCCAAGGTGTACTGTGTACTAACATGTCTTTATGTCTGAAAAGCCAGTTAAAAACTTCTTGCTTGCACTCTCCCTGTCTCACTTAAGTCTCACACATTCACTTGCACAAGGCACGATTCATGGTGGGTTTCCCCATGGTAATAAGTTCCAGGCAGGTTGGATAAAGATTTAAGAGAGGGACAGATAAACAATATGACTCACCACCGTAGGGACAGTACGGTATGTCAACCCCACCCTGTTATAAATTCTACTCCATTAAGGTCTGTGTGTATTATCTATAAATATATCTCTGTCTGTGTGTTTGTGATATTATGCCTGCATGTGACTTTGTATAACAGAGGTATAGCTAGTCATTAGAGGACTGCTGAACAATATTCAGATGTTTCTGCAAGGGTATTATCACAACTTCACAAACACTGCACTGATCGCAGCGTGTGGGCTGATGTGTGTGCACCTGTATGTGTGTTTGAGATGTCGACGTGCTGGCAACTCATAAACAAGTAGTAAATTCTGAATCCAACACCAACCTCTGTTTATTTTGCAGCAATTAAAATTCCTCAGAGCAAATGAAAAGCCTCAGAGTATATTGAACTTCAATAGTCTCACAGATGGCCCGATCTATCTTTGTCAAAATGTCCCATCAAAGGGAGGGGGGTCTGTCTGCAATGAACAGATAAACTGGTCGCAGATGAATACGAATACACAATATATATAATAAATCGACAGCAAGGCAGCTGCATGGAAATGGAATTCGCATAGAGAATGAATTTGCAGGCAAAATGAATTGAGCTGGCAAGTTTCCTGCAATAGGAGAGACCCCTGTGATTCTGTTTTTGTACCCAGGAGAGGTAGACGGCTGTATAAACGAAAACGGCAATTTAGAATATAATTTGCTATTTACACACAAAGGAGAGTGAGAAACATGGAATGGGTAGATGCATGAATGGATGAACAGATGGACTGATTCACTAATCATGGATGTAACTGTTGAATATTCCAGGAGTGGCATTTGTATCCAAATGAAACTAAGAGTCTACAGCCATGCTTCATTCGTTCATGGCAATCTTTCTAATGAGATATTTCAGTCTGGACCAAAGTGATAGACTGACAGACCAACAGGCAGTCATTGCCATCTATAGAGCCCGGCAGCTAGCATGGCTTAAAAGGACAGAAGGTAGGACTATACCTTATGTACAGCCAAAACAAGGTCAGTCAGAAAAGAAAACGGAGAAGAAAATATGTGAAAAGGGAAGGGAGCTTGGAAGGGATTTTGTAGTACAATAAATAGTTACTTCCAATGAAACAAAAACCTCAAGAATGCCTTGGGGGAAAAAAAGAGTGTAAGTATGGTCAGACAAAGGTGAGGAGGGAAAGAGTAAAGAAACTAATGATGACAGAAACAACAGAAAATAAGCGTGAAAAAAACCCTATTGCAGCAAATGATAAACAGCAGAAGGAGTAAACAGACTGAGAAAAGAGAAAGGGCCGTTTTTCAAAAAACGCAGCACATGGTGAAGTCTGTTCCAACACCATGTTCTTTCAAACAAGCACAAGACTCAAGATGAGAGAAGTCTGGTCCAACAGCAAGTCAAAAGCAGTCACTCTGATCCAGAGCAGTAACACACCCAATCCCACGACACAGCCATTGGCAGGGAAACTCAGCGAGTGTGTTTGTGTGCCTCTCTCTCGAATCTCTCCCCTTCTATGTGTCTGTCACCCTCTATGTTTTGCAAAGTTGCTTGAATACATTTCTGTTTTTATGTTATTTATTCATGTGTGTCTCAGTCTGTCTCTGGGAAGCTTGTGCAGTGTGTGGTTTTTTGGGTTTGTCCCTTTGGCTTAGATCATCTACTCCCTGCATGTTTGTCTGCGGAGTTCAGTTAGCAAAAGTACAATTACGCTGTCTGTGTTCAAACTTCTGAGAATGTTTGACCGCAGTCAGTTCACCTATAAATTGACCACTTTTGATGAGTGATCAATGACAGCTTTGAGACATATAGTAATGGTGTGCAAATAATTTTTAATAATAAATTTTTAATAATAAATATTTACCTGAGTAATTCCTTAGTTGCATTATAAGGTTTGAAAGTATTAGTCGACCTCAGGAATTTGTACTTCTTTTTGGAGTTCCCCTAACTAAAGATACACATAAAATTTAACTACAATACCCTAGACACATAAAACACACGTACACGCAATCATGGACTTCTTGAGAACCTATGAGGACACTCTGCTGACATCACATAAATCATATAAATGTCTAAAATTGTGTTCCTGTGTAACTTGAAAAAAACAACACACAAGTAGCTGGACAATGGCCTGCAGCACTCTTGGATAAACACACACACAGATACAGAATTTGCCAGAAGATTCCAAGGAAAATCTTGCAGACACACACAAGTCTTTTCAGTGCAACTCTTATCTGATCTCACCAAGAAGAACTAATTGACTGGCCTAACTGCTTCCAGACAGGATTTTGAATCCAATAAGCTAGGCCACATTGTGATGTAGTCTGGGGTCATGCCGTGATTGGACATTGAGGAAATGTGGACAGCAGTATACTGGAGGCAAAACCTGCACAAATTAGTGGATATATGAGTGATTTGATACAATAATATACCTGGAAGACACTAGCCCGTGCAAAAACAAATAAGGAGCATAACTGTTCAGCACTACAGTGTAGCTTCACTTTGCTGTAACTTTTGGAAGCTAACTATCATTTCTTGTTGGCAAGGCATGAGAGAAGACGCAGGGAAAGGGGAAGTGGGCGTTTGGGAGACTGTCACCGGGACACTGTCATCCCTCTTCAAACAACAGAAAAGATTTTAATGAATGATTTCCATGAAACACATCCATCCTCAACTATTTTAAAGTACACACATATCTTTCCACCCACTACTTTTCAAGTAATTAGTATGCAGTTCTGAAAGTTTAATGTTATTACTTCTCTGTTCTTTGTTAAAGTATTTTTTTTATCAGTGTAGAGCTACTGACTGTCAATTGACAGATTATTAAAAAATACGATTGTGAGGAAGGTTAGATGTTTAAAGACTTCTAAACTTTGGCTGTGTAATGAGTGTGTAGGTTTATGTTGGTATATGTGCATCCTTTCCCACCTCTATCACCAGTATGGCGATCTCGCCCTCCAGCTTTTTCCTGAGGGGTACGTCCTTCTTCTTCAGGTCTATCTGTCTCTTCTCCTCATTAATCGCCAACTGTAAGTCTCTAATCTCCTTCTCCAGGGTCTCCATCGCCATGTTGCCCTTAGTAATGGCTGCCTCCTGGATGTTCACCTTTTCATAGTAGTTGAACAACACCTCCTCATGCTCCAGGAGCTGAATGCCACTGTAGGTGACACACACACACACACACACACACACACACACACACACAAAGGGAGAGCCTTTTTTGACATATGATCCTCTATTTGAACTCAACACGATCCAAATTATGAACATACAGAAAGTTGCGGCGCTGTATGGCCGTTTCATGATTCTTGTTGATTTCTAGAAGTGCCTGCTCCTGGAGGTTGATCGTTTGTGTTAGTTTTATCAACTGCAGTGTGTCATCTTCACACTCCTGATTGATCTGACAGTGCTTCCAGGCAACCTAGAAGATGTTTTAAAAATGACAGAAAAATCACCACTTTAACATCTGTTTAGCATAGTTCTGAAATAAAACTACTTTTGAACAGCACACTAACAACATTTGTTATTCTTCATTTGAAAAATGAATTTCAAGCCATATATTTTTGCTTTTAAGCGTAATGGAATGCTTCCACTTGACAGTGCAAGGCAATGACTTTAAAACATGAAGAGGCTTTTTCTATAGTAGACAAAACAAAAGTTCACAATCTGTTGTAAACTGTGAGTTACTGCTTAAGTGTTTAATGAAACACACAAAGATGAATATAGAGGTAACTCGATGTGGGTGTGCCTCCTTAACTTTATAGCTGTCTAAAACATGGTTTAAGGGCCCTGCTAAAAATATTTAGCTCACTCAAAACAACTTACCAGCAGCTTTGGCTCTGTATCACCGGGCCCCTTGAATCATACTAGTCTTTATAACATATTAAATTTGGTCATTTAAACTGTTTAATTTATGATACTGGCTTATGGCAGAGAAGTCTCACAGGGTGTTTTTGTCAGTGTGTTTTGACTAGTCTTGTCTGTGTGTGTGTGTGTGTCTGGACCTTGGAGATGTCATTTTGCAGTTTGTCCCTCGTTTTGGAGCTATTGGAGATCTTCATACGAGCCTTTGCGAGTGATCTAGAAATACATGCACTAAGACATTTTATACACAATAACAGGGATGTAGATATAGCTTCACTGATGATTACGGACAAATGCACTGGTCAATAATGTAGTCTTAACAAATTTAACCTTATAACCTTTACATGGTTAATAACAAAGACTTTGTTGCAACGCTATTACAGTATTTTATTACAGATGTCTATGCCTTCTTTTCTGCATTACTATGTATTGTAGAAATGCCACCATAGACAGACAACTCTAAACCCTCCCTCTACAAAACACATATACACACCTGTCCTTGTTGATGACAATTGTACGTTGGATTTCCATTTCATTTTCTTGCACCTTAGCCTGCTCCTCCAGCTCTGTGATTGTCTGCGAGGCCATCTGCTTGAGCTTGACGTACTTATTCTTCTCTTCCATAATCATGTGGCACAGCTTACAATACTGTGATACTCTAAAGGGGAAAACACTGATTAGCAATGAGCCCATTCCTGATCTGGATTACAAGACTTTGATCCTGTCAAGAGCAGGTTTTTGACATTTTATCAGTTACAGTTATTGGTTTATGAGTTTATTCTCTGTAGGACTGTAGGACTTATCCATATCCACGTATCCATAGCCAGTGACACTGTTCAATAGCTGACCCAACTGATATGAAGAATCCAGCATCCAACATCTACTCTTATGGACTTTATGTCTAGGTGTGCTTGATGGTCAGAAATGTTATTGGCATAATCATCGTGGCAACATACATTATATCACTTAATGTCCTGTTCATCCCTCCATCGTCAACTGCTTATCCTGCATACAGGGTCGTGAGGGGCTTGGGGCCAATACATTGGGCGAAAGGCGGGGTACACCCTAGACAAACAACCACTCACACTCACATCCACACCTAAGGCCAATTTTAGAGACACCAATTAACCTAGCCTGCATGTCTTTGGATGGTGGGAGGAACCTGGAGCCGCCGGAGAAAACCCACGTGGACACGGGGCGAACTCACGACCTTCTTGCTGTGAGGCGCTAACCACTGCACCACCGTGCAGCCCCCTGTTCATGTTAATCACAAAATCAGTGAATCCAAAAAATTGTAATGACAGAACTAAGGTGTGGGCGGCACAGTGGTGCAGTGATTAGCACTGTTGCCTCGAGGCAAGAAGGTCCCAAGTTCAAACCCCGGTTGCCCGGCCTTTCTGTGCGGAGTTTGCATGTTCTCCTTGTGTCCACATGGGTCCTCTCCGGGTGCTCCGGCTTCCTCCCACCCTCCAAAGACATGCAGGCTAGGTTGATTGGTGACCCTGAATTGTCCTTAGGTGTGGTTGTCTATGTGTGGCCCTGCGATGGACTGGCGACCTGTCCAGGTTGTAACCCGCCTTTTGCCAGATGTCAGCTGGGATTGGCTCCAGCCCCCCGCGACCCTGTACGCAGGATAAGCGGTTGACGATGGATGGAAGGAACTAAGGTGTAATGGAGCGTGGCATTTCATTAAATTTCAATGTACCATTCATGTAAGACACGCAGGTTGTGGATACCGATATTTGTATTACAATTACAGAGAGAGGATACACAACATTTAATTATCATCCTGCCCTGTTTTTGCTTGACTAGATGCAGGTTTCTGAGCGGATTCCATGTCAAGTGAAACCACATCAGACTGTAGTCTGTGGTCGTGACCTAACTGAATGTATTGCAAGAGTCTGTTGTTGCACTGGGTGGTGCCAGATGCATTAGTCTGTGTCTGAACACTGAAGTATGACCAATTAGTAAGTTATGGTTTTATACACAGACAACATGTGCAGATGTCTGAATTAATTGTGATACCAGCTGTTACACAGATCAGAGGAGCCAAACAAATAACGAGGGAATCAATTATCAGTTGAGAATCTAGTCACATCAATATATTGTATAGAAATTCAATTTGTTGCCTACACTCATCGCTAAGTTCATGGACATATTGCACAGATACTTGATGACCCTGGATACAGAAACGCCAATGCTGCCGCTGCTTATAATGCAAAAAGTAATCTGTTATGACATTTACTAAAAGATCTTGAATTAACATTATTATATATGCAGAAAGAACAAGGAAGAGAGTGGGACTAAGACTGAGAGACAGGAAACATGAAGAAATTCACAAAGAATGAGGTGATTAGGCTTCCCCTAATACTACCTATTAACAGCTTAGTAGCTTTTCTGTAACCAAAGCCCTTTTTATCCTTACACACACCTTTGAGTGGCTAACAAGGAAATAAGAAGGGGAAACAACAGTGACACCTGCGCTGTAGCATAGTATTCAGCTTGTTGTGATCCATGATGATCAGGTCTTTTTCTCGCAGCTCCTGCTGGAAGTGCTGGTTCAGCTGCTGTGGATAGAATTACACAGGTAAAACTACAGTATCATCACTTCTCTGTGTGCGTTTGTGTGTGTGTGTGTGCGCGCTCACAAACATCAACCTTCAATCGTATTTGTGGGAGTACATTTTCCAATATTGTAGTGGCTTCTTTTCTGACACTTTGAATACATAAAAAGGAAAATAAATGAGCTGATCCAGCAGTCCTGGTTTAGTGAACAGTCAATTTTTTTAGCTGGTCATTGTTGGATTTTCATTACTTACAAATCACACAGGAGACTCCATGAATCTCTAGTCGCAAGTGACACTATTAGAAGTCTTTTTGGGGGGAATTTCAGAAAGGAAGAATCCCGATTAACTGACATGAAAAGGGAGTCCAAAAAAATATCTCCCTTAGATTCTAGCTTCAACTTAGCTGAACTAAAATTGCCACGTCTCTTGATATTTTTTCATATCATTCTGAAATGATCACATTATGGTGACAGTTATATCATAGGGCAGTAAAGCCCAGACGTTTCTGGTCTTTGAAATCGTGTTTTTGTCATTTTTGGTTGCTGTCCTGTCACACAAACATCAAGAGTCCCTAAACCATAAACCTACCTTAGTTCCTCTTTGATGTTTTTGACATGTTTATGTGTGAAATATCCATGTCTATGTCTGCATAAGTTATTAAATGCACTAATGATGACATCAAAACCTATTTAAATATATACCTCAGTGTGTATGTTATATGTGTCCGTGTGTGTTTGTATTGAACCTCAGCTCTAAGCAGTTCACGGTGCTTCTGGCCCCTCTCCTCAGCTTTGATCTGTGTCAGACATCTGAGGTTATGGAGTTCTTCTCTGAGGCAGTTTGACTCCCTAAGCAGCCCCTGAATCATCCCATACTGCTGCTTCTTCTGGCTCTCTTCCTCAGTTACTGATAGCTGGTTGGGAACACATTTGGTGCTGTTTTCAGTTGAAAAATCTCACAATTACAATTTTACTAAAATTGAAGGGTTACTGATAGCAGAATGGCACAGCAAAGTGGTCTAAAAGTCCCTTAATGTGAGGAGGATGGATATTGAAACTTCTTTGTGCAAAGTGCAGGACTTTACTTTAAAGTTTTGTCAAGCTGTGTGACATAGGATGAGGAAATTATGCAATGGCTTCTAACTCTGAAGTTAAAGGTGGTAGAAAATGAAATATATCAATATAACTTAAAACATAAAAATGGCATTTATTTTGAAAAGGTGCAAGTGACGTGAAGTGAAAAACAAAGATATAGTTGAACGACAGTTGAAAGAAAGAAAAGAAATTAGGCTCCAAAAAGACAGACTGGTTAGAGAGCTACTGCAGAACATTGCATTACATTTCACAGTTGCTAATGATATTGTGTCAACCCACGCACACTGCTCCCACCTGCTTTTCAAAGCTGACTTTGAGAGCATCCACCTCTTTCTGAAGCTCCATCCTCTGTTGAGTACTGGCCTCTCTTTTGGGAACAGCATCTAACTGAAAATTCAAGTCATAACATAAAGTCAAAATCCAGTGTCAAGTTCAAATTGCCATCATGCAAGCAAATCATACATCTGCTATTAAGTTGGTCCTGATTCTTAGCAAAAAACTATAAAAATGTAATATCATTTCTTTCGGTAGACTTTACATATTGAGGAAGGAAAGACCTTGAGGATCCAGTACAAAATTACCAAACTTCAGATCAAATTCGGTAAGTGCATATTCAATCCAACATTAAACATTGACTGCAAAATAATTAATGCTATATATCAGAGTTTCCCTGAGGATAGCCGTTGGATCAAGTGACACTGAAACTGCTCACTGTAGCTCATAAAAAATGTATGCCTTTAGGCATTGGGATTGCCCCTCTCTGCAGGGTTGCCAGGCCTCATGTTCACGTACACTGCTCCATATTTAAAAAATGTTGCTTCCTCGAAGCTGAATAAAACCAAATCAGCAGATTTAAAAAGAAGTGCAATACCACAGTTTTATTTCAGCTACATATCTGAAGCACTAAATACTCTCACTGTGAGTCCTTATTAGGCCTCATGTTGTGTAAAATTTAGAACACATTGTGTAAATATCAAAGCCATCAATCACATCCTATTTGAGATAATTGTGAAGCATTTTTGTGGTAAACCCACAATCCTCATCTAAACAGCCTTTACAGTCAAATTAATTATGAGTAATTGTTCACGTGACAGTCATTATTGATTAGTGGAAATAAATTAATCATATTGTACAACTGCTTTTGTGTTTTAATATTTGCTCAGTGTGTGAATTCCCTGGTGCGTCATAGTGATTTCCTTTGATATTGTTATGTGCTTGTGTGATGTGCTGACACATTTCCCATGACTCTCCCTCTCTTCTTCTTCTCTTTAAAAACTGTGAACATCAGTAAAATTACAGGAAGCTCAATAATAAAATTTAAAAAAATGGTGTAATACAGATGAACAATTTAATGTGCTGATTCCTGACACCATGACACCCAAAATGTCCCCACACCTGTGTCTAACCCTGGAAACTTTTCATAACCAACTGCCAATAGCAGCAAAAACATGAGGTGTACATGTTTTAATATTGTGGGGTAGTTTACTGGTAAAACGTTTCCAAGCTGCAAGTAGATGTTCTGCATAGACAAAAAGTCTGTGTTTTACATAAATTATCTGTATTTTTGGGAAAAATAACAGAAGCCTTCTGGTGCTAAAAAATGCCAGACCACTCATGACATTCCAACTGCTTCAAATTTGAGCAGATGTTTCTTTGTACTCATTGAAAGTAACAATCTAAAGGTCACCTGTGCCTGCAACTCATTGTAGATAGATTGCGTGTGTTCTAGCTGCTCAGTGGCTGTGGCCAACGCATGCTCCATCCTCTTGAGGGCTTGCATCTGCCTGAGGAGAAACACAATATCTAACATCATCATCATCATCATCATCATCATCATAAGGCTGTGCCTCCCACACAAAATTAGGAAACTCTGAACTTATTGGACCTTTGTGCATCTACCATGTAGTTTTCATTGGCTTTGTCATGTTTATACAAAACGTCAAAAATCGTCTAAAAAAGATACTCTAATAAAAGAAATTAGGACTATTCACGTAAAACTTCTTGTACTTACTGAAGACTACAACAACAAGCAGACTAAAGGCTCTTCAACTGAATGTCTCTAAAGAACAAATATATTTCCTGTACTGTATATTTTAGGTGTACAGGTGCAAGTGCAAAACCCCTTATATACAGTGTGTAATTATTGAGGTGTATTGTGTATTGATATGTGGAGACTCATTTACATGTCAGATGGAGTTCAGTTTGACATGTACCTATTTTTCTCCCTGAGCTGCACAGATTGGCTCTCATACAGGTGCTTTCTCTCACACATGATGTTTTGCAGCTTCATTTCCAGAATGCCTCTGGTGATGAAAAACACACGACATGTGTGAAAACACACAGCAAAAGTCTCTCCTCCATCTCTGAAAATCCTAATCAAATACTGTATTTGTATTTTAATATATTTATCAAATTAAATCACGTTTTTTTCTGGCTATTCCCTTGCCATACAGCAGTGTCAGCAGCTTGTACCTGTTCCCTGTGAATTCAGCCTCCTCCTCCCTGTTGACCTCCTGCTTTTTTTGCAGCTGTCTGAATTCCCTCTGACTGGCTTCTACTTGGGCCTGGAGACCCTCCAGCTCCTCATTCAACTCCTTCTTCTTCAACCTGAGGGAGTGGTTACGCTGCTCCACTTCTTTCACTTGCCGCTCCATTTCTGAAATCTCTGTATTTAGTACTTCCGTCTTCTTCATTGCAGCGCTGATGTGTTTAGGGGGGGTGATAGAAACAATGAAAACCATACAAAAGAACAACGTACAGTATGTTTAAGACCAAGAGAAGAGTATCAGTTTATTACTACTCACTTGCACGGGAAGAGTGCATATCTTATGAAATAACAGCATGTGTATCCATATTTCAGATACCCCCCCAGTACCACTCTGCTTTGTGAATTTCAAATTACAAGTCATTGCTCAGATGGCTCATCCAGACAGTTTCTCCGCATCACTTGCAAGCCAAATATTAATTTGAAATAAACATAAGAGACTGCAGTGAAGTGATAAGTGGTGCCATTCTCTGGCGATGAAGCTTTCTGACTGCAGCTGCAGTTCAATACAAAAATGAATGATGTCTGATGCACATGTTTGTCTTATTTTTTTTATTAAATTAGAAGGATCAACACCTTTAAATTGTTGTGAAGAATTTGACTAGTGCTACAAAAATTGATATTCCGCTTCAGTGTTGCAGAGATTCTGTTTGTTTTTTACTGTTTCATTTCAGGTCAAATGTCTGGGTCAGATCAAAAGTTTACACTGAGCAAAGAAATTATAGTGCAGGTTCTTTCCAACTCAGAGTTCATCCAATTAAATCCAGGTCTTTCGTGCATAGGAGATCAAGATGAAGAGAAGGAAACAGATTACAAAAGGATTGTACAAATCAGTGAGGGACTTCATTTTAAAAAGATGTTTCTGCTGTCCTTTCTTCACAGTGTTGATACACCGCAGCACCCTAACTGCTTCATTTTTAGTCCTGGTGTTTGAAACATTACTTTCCTGTTCTCCCACTAATAAAAAATATTAAGTAGTTAAATATACTTACTCCGTCTTAGAGCGTTTCCTTTCGAACTCCTTTAAAATCTGGTCAGGTATACTGATGAGATGGGCTTTCTCAGCCTTGTTACATACACAAATGTAAGAAAGCGTGTAAGAAAGCAGATGATTTGTTATTTTATTGGTGTACTGTCAGCTATGCCCACTCACCCAGAGACACACACGCATGCTCTCACACACAGACCTCTTTGTGCTCTATTATCTTCTTCTTGTCTTCCAGCTCTTTCTGTTCTTTCAAGAGCTGCATTTCATGGGTTTCCACATCTTCCATCAGTCTTCTATGCAGGGAGTAAATGCAAGAAAGTACACTTATTTGAACAATTTTGATTAACAGCACTTAAAAGATTCAGCTGCACTGCTTCTTATTAAAAAAAACCTGAAAAGATATAAAGAAACAGTAAAAGACATATAGAGCTCCACAGAGTGGATTTATACATACGTATCAATCTGCAGGGCAGAAAATTGCATTTGTGCTCACTGAACAACAGCTAGATAAAATACCTGACTTCCAGTTGTCTCTGGGCAACCTCTTTCCTCAGATCCTCATATTTGTCCTGCAGGGTCTTTGTTCTGCTCTCCAGCTCCTGGAGGACACACCAGCAGAATGAACATTAGATAACATACCAAGAATATCAGGTCTATGGTGAGAACTTAATTGAGCCCATGGCACAGGCGAAATACTATTGTTTGATCCCAACTCTCAGAGTCAGTTCCAGCCTTTGTTTTGCACTTAGATTTTTTCTTTTTTAAGAGTCATACACAGCGTCAGTTATTTCAAACAGTTATTTCAGATTTAAAACTAATTTTCAGTGCTAGCCTGATCATTTCTGCACAACAAAGACAGGTTTGACACTTAACATTGTTGAAAAATGTTGGATTACTTTGGAGCCAATTTTGCATGAGTATAAACATAGACAACTGCAACTCAACCAGCTGCTATCAATTCAACTTGATAAATGTCTTGCACTTTAAAGCCAGTTTGTGGTTTTCTCCAGTATCCATCTACTGTACATACAGCAAAACAATCAGCTTATTAATCATGTTTGAATCAAGTGTGTATGTGTGTTTGTATGTGACAGAGAGAGAAGAATGCAAACTCCCTCAGACACGTTTGAGTGTTTCATTAGAGTTAATATCACACTTGCAAAGGGAGAAGGCCCTTTTACATATGCACTATATCATATAATAAGTTAATATAATTAATAACTTTCCTGAACTGTTCTGGTAAAGGCAGCAGCTTCTGTTATTCAAACAAGCTATTCCTTCTTCTGTTCTTCTGATATTTTAATATTACTTGACCACACACTTCTGATGTGTTCCAGTGCTGTGCGTATCCATAGTGGCAATGCAAATGCTTCCTCAATACTGCCTTCCGGTGATTCCTGCTAATCAGTCAAAATGCAGCACCTGTTTTATTTCAATATTGGCTCCCTACAGATTAGTAAACACACAGGTGTCACTGGTTCTACAAGTAATTTGTTGATGGAAATTCAATAATACAACTCAACACAAGGACACATGGGTATCTTTAGGATAAATCATGTCTTAAAATAATAATAATAATTTACCAGCCAGAGGCATGAAAGCAGAACTGTAGTACATTTGGTATTTTGGTATTTTTTGTTATTGGAATGAGCAATGAATCTGTAGTTGCATAATTGAACCTCAAAAGTATCCAAAATCAAAAATGTAATTAAAGCTGCTGAATATATTCAACAAATTCTACAAAGATCAAAACGCAGGCAACAGCATTTTGATGAAGTTAGATGATGTAAAATAGTGCATGTCAATTGACCTTATAGCATGTTCATATGCTTGAACCTCTGATCAGATTTTCTTTAACACAGTTGGTGAAAGTTTTAGTGCTGATGATTCAACTTGTGTAGATTTTTTTCAATCGAAGTGTTGGAAATGCACAAACTTTAGTACTACTACTACTACTGGTAGACTTCTGATAGACTACATAATAAAAAGTAATACAGTATTAATATGCCCTATAGCATATTATAAAGTACTGAATTGTGCAATGGCCTCACAGGTCTTGGTTTCGAACCTTGGCCGTCCCATGCCTTCTGTGTGGAGTTTGCATGTTCTCCCTGTGACTGCGTGGGTTCTCTCCGGGTGCTCTGGCTTCCTCTCACAGTCCAAAGACATGCAGGTACGTTAACTGGCAACTCTAAATTGCCCTTAGGTGTGAATGTGAGTGTGTATGGTTGTTTGTCTCTTTGTGTAAGCCCTATGATGAACTGGCGATGTGTCTAGGGGGCACCCGGCCTCTCGCAATGTCAGCTGGGATTAGCGGTTATAGATAATGGATGGATGGATGAATTGTGCGAATCACACAGCATCAAGGAGATCTAGTATGTTATGCAAATAAATGAATGTTAGGATTTTTACCGTAAAGGTGTTCCGTTTAACAATATGCAGAGAATAATTTATAATATAATATAGTGTGAGCATTATTACTTTGCATTATTTGTGTTGGAGATTCATACAAGAAGCGAGTTTTCTCATCAGCATCTGTCCAAAGACCAGCCTATTTTTGGCTGTGATGTGAGGTTGTGTGATAAATAAATAATATGTTTTAGTTTTTACTCCCTTTGTTGAGTTTCTAAAAAATGTAAACGTTTGTTGCTACATCATTTTCCTTTGTGGGTGATTACCGGCGATTACTAACATAATTCGCCTGCTTAAACAAAACAAGGATTAAAACTTTTTCAATTTAGATGACATCCTTTTGCCTCAATGTGAGATTGCAATATAAAATGTTTTAGCTTCATGTTGCTTCAAATGGCTCCTTAAAGAGCCAATGGCAAGTCTTCGTATTGAGGGATTAAGCCTGGATGGAGGCTTAAAGTAAAACTCATATTTATCCCCTCTGAAGACTGTGGTTGCAGTAATAATCCACGTCTCTGAAACTACACCTGGATGGTGCAATGACGAACTTACAGCAGGTTTCGGCTGAATCTCTTTCTCTTTCTCCAGATACTGCTTCTCTTCCCAGAGACTGCACAGGGGTGAGGTAAGGTGAGTTGAGGCGAGGAGAGAACATTTGAATGAAAAAACAAAATGAATGTGTTGAGAAGTTAACAGCATGTTTCAGTTCCTGGTTCAACAGAAAGAGGAATGCAATGGGAGGAACAGACATTTACATTTTTAAAAATACACTGATGTGCAGTTTGAGTTGAACTCATGCTGATTTTACATGGGTGTCAAATGTTTTGCGTATGTTGCTATGAAACCTTTCTATAATAGTGAGTGAATAAAAAAACCTTTATGCTACACTGTAGAAACACATAATGTATAAAAAAAAACAGTATAAATACAAGCTTCCTCAAACATAAACAGAAAGAATCATAAATGAAGTACCCAACACAGTATAAATGTGCATATAAAAACATAATTTATATGAATTTTTCATCTCCCTGCGGCAGAGGCTTTTTGAGCAGTTGATTAAAATTTGTATGAAATCATTTCAAGTCAGCTCTGTCATTGTGAAAAACCGTAGTGTACAGCTACACATTTCACAAGGTAAATGATATTAATCTTCTTGACAAGTTGATATATTGGATATTAACTGATATACTGAGAAAACTGCATGAATGCTAAAATATGGAACTGGAAAAAGTGCTGAATTCCTGTGCATCTGTTTGGCTAAAGATAAAGGACGCAAAGATTTTAAAAGGTATATTTGCATGGTGAGCATCTGCTCGTCATATGCAGACCGCTAGCCATTTGGACAAGAGAGGAGAAGGGAAAAAAACAGAAGAAAGGTTAGGACGAGGGGATGAGATTAGGCCGGACGGGATAAAAGAAAGGGCAAAAAGAGTAGAAGGAGAAACACAGGTAATGGGAGGACAAGAGAGCTCACTACCAAAAGCTGTCACAAATAATATGCACACTCAGTGTCTAATACTGTCTATTACCGCATCCTCTGAGAATGCTCTGTAAGTGGTTTTCATTTAATATTTCAATTACCACTGTGCCCACAACTTTCTGCCTCAGTGTGTGTGTCCTGCACTAAAAATCACTGCATCCTACATATCTTTGCAATACAGTGGTAAGTTTACATCCTGTAAGTGGTTTTATATTACTGAGGCAATCCAGGGTCAAATGTAATGTAGGAAAGATAAAGGAAATCTCCTTAAAAGAATATTAGGCTATTGAGTAAATAAGACGTATTAGGAGTATTCAATGCTATTATTTTTATTTCTCCTTCTGACTTTCCAGTATACAACACATTTCCTCTACCTAAAATTATTTTTACAATCTAATCTTAACAACTCCTCTTACAATCCACCCCTTTTACTTCATCATATTAGCTTAGCTTTTTCATAACTGTTTTATTTTTTTGTTAATAGTTCATGCTCTTTTCACAATGTCAAATGTACATTGGTATGTAATGCGGGGAAATCTAGCATGCAGTGAGGTCACGCTGTCTCGCTCTTCAGCTCTTTCACTTACTGACACCTTTTTCAATGTTCACACTTCAATTACTGCATCTGTGGTTCTTCAACTTCAATGCAAATTCCTGCTACTTTCATTACTACACAGAAACTACGAAGTGAATTGATTTTATTGCTTACCCTGACAGTTCAACTGCTTTATACATCTACACATCATACTGACACCACATTTTTACACTTTAATTGACAGTTTTAAACACTCAAACTATCCTTGGCACTCTAACTTCAATGGGTATTTCAACTTCTTTCATTGCTACACTTAAACTCACAATTTAAGTGTCTTCCTCTCACTTTTGACTGACAGTTTAACTGCTTTCAGCAACATTTTAAGACTTTAAGACTTTTTATCTGTTTAAAGTCTAAGCACATGGACTTTTTACCATAAGCAAGCACACTTAGATTGTCTTCAGAACGTTTTGCCTTTTCTAGTTTTTCTTTTTTTTTTTCTTGTGAGTCACTGGTTAATTTAATTTTTTCATCCCCCTAAAAAATAACTTGATCCGATAAGGAAAAATTGCTCTGTAGTTGAACTGGCCACAACCATAAGACATATGCAACCTGTAATGAGGGATCACAAGTACACATTGCTTTGTTTTCAAGGATCGTAAGCCAAAATTTTTGGGAACCACTGGCGTATGTTATCATGTTGCCTAGCAATGTTCCAATAACCTCCATTTGGCCCTTGAAAAGTTGGTGGACAGAAAAGAGGGAGATACTCGAGTGAGTGTGTTATTTTCCATTTCTGTGTGTGTTTGACCCTTTGGACACACTGATAGTGGTGTCGAGTGAGTCGGGAGAAGGAAAAGAGAAACCAGCAGCAGAAAAGAGGAAAATTGGTTGCTATGAGAAAAGAGACTCATGGGAGCGAAAGGAAAGGATTAGAGGAAAGGAACAGAAATGACTACAGGCCTGACGTCAAAAAAACTAACCAGTGGGGAGAGCTCAGACAAATAAACAGGTTACATCCAGAGCAAACATAAAAATCTACTTAAACCTGGAATTTGTATAATGAACTGCTTACATCAGGTTTTTCCCATGATAAATCTCTGAGAAAATATGGCTACAGAAACAAAGACATTTAAGGCAATGGCAATAATGAAAGTCAAACTTGCTGTAGGCAAGCAATACACACACACACACACACACACACACAGTACAGTACCACTACTATTTGTGTGTGTTTGCGTCCTATACTCTTTCACCTTCATCTCCCTCTAAAGTCAATGAAAACTTGCGAAGTTGCTGCTTCATGCAGCTCACCTCAGAGTTGGTTCCCTAGTTACTTAACTGTGACTGCGTGTGTGCGTGTATCCATTCATGCGAAGCGTCTCCTACTGTACACATCTTCTCTTTACTATGTCACTTTCACTTCTGTATTTTGTCTTTACTCTCATCTCTCTCGTCAGTGGTGTGAAGTGCATCAGTGTGTGTGTGTGTTTGTAAAACAGCTGCAGGCACATTTGAGAGAAGTTTGTAAAAGATGTATTTGCTTGAATCGAGTGTCATTTTTATTTATCACATTTGACATTTGATGTAGCATGAGTAACTACAATAATGCCTGTGTATTTATATATACAGCTCACCATTTCATTCTGTGCCGTGTCTTGTACTCTCTGTCCTCAGCAGCTTTCAGTTCATTGTATGCCTGGAGGAGCTGTTGCCTCAGTTCATTGACCTCACTTACAGGCTCCTCAGAGGTGCTCTGGTCCTCTGTTCTCTCCATCTCGGCCTGCAGCCTCTTCAACTCAGCACGACGCCTCTTTGCTTCTCCCAAAAGTTGGATCTCAGAATCCTGGGTACTGTAGGATGAAAAAATTATTTAAGTATGTGTTATAGTATGCATTATACAGATACTATTTACTAACTGCTGGGTACATTTACATGTATTCTAACAGTCCAAAAATCAGTTAAGACAGTTTTTTTTACTTCAAAGTTATGTCATATGTATAAGTTACTGCCTAATCTTTACTTTAATTTGGCCATTAAAAATCTAAATATTAGCTAAATTTTATATATTGTTTCCACATTCCTTTTCAGGAAATGTAAAGCAAATAACTATAAGATAAATCATATAAACCTTAATCAACTACAAATAAGCTAAACTGCTTTAAGTCTTGTGTGAAACAGATTTTTCACTGAGGTAAAACTGTGGTAACATATGCAAGTAAAGATAAAGTAGCGGCTGATCTTCTAGACTAGACTTCTGAGTACTGATCCAATTAAATTTAATGTGCATATTCAGATTTTGTTTTCACAATGAATGACACACAGATTTCTCGTTTGCGCAAGAAATTGGGGTCTCTAAAGTTAATTTCACTTCCTCTATTATGCCGTTTTTGAGAATAAGTGTTCTAGGAAGCATTTGATTAAAGTTAAAAAGTAGCATGCTTTGGATTTATTTTTGTTTCAGCCTATTACTGTCTGTTGTGCCTCAGCTACACCCTTGCTTCCACTTCTTTGCTCAAATTAGGATTTCTGGCTCCACTGAGTGACCCCAATGCAGGATTCAAAATGTCTTTTCAGAAGCTAGTGCTGATGTCACAGATGCTACTCAACAGTATATAAGAGCAGTACAACTAGATCTGATAAAGAGTTAAAGACTTTTTCAAGGACACATTAGCTGGATTGATTCTGTCTGTCACAAGAACTGAACCATGCTCTATTCTCAGCATCTTTTCAGTCGTAACGCACCTCGGCAAAATATCACATACACATATACGAAGGTTACAAATGAATTTATTCTGTATTTGTTTCAAGAAGAGAACATACCTCTTCAGAGTATTGTGGAGTAGCCTGTAGTTGGATTTCAGTTTGGCCACTTTGGTCTCGCCGATTTTGCCCAATGATAACATCTGAGGAGTATGAAAACAGAAATATTACCAATCTTATGGGCAGGAAAAAACTGACAATTTGATGATTATTTATGGTCTAATAGTAACTCTAAGTATGTCACCTACGTTTCTAAAATCCTCAGCATAAGTTCTGTGACTGGGATTTACATGTTTTCTCTGTGTTATCCACATGTGAACAGTCTAGCTACAGCCGGACATTACAGCAGTCCTAACCTTTATCCAGCTAAGTTGGCTACAAATGTTCCTGCAGTTTGCCAGCTTAGGTTGCACTATTTCAAAGTCTTTGATCTGATCCAGAGCTGCCTGCATGAAAAGCTAAAATATGAATAGAATATCACATTCTGTGGAAATCTCTTGTTGCCATTTTCTCCGGACAGAATTTTCAATAGGGCGAAATTGCTAGGAACCATATACAATTCTGACCAGCAAGCAGTTTTGTAATATTGTTTTGTGAAAGAAATTAAGTTCCAGGAGTCAGGAGATGAAGAAGAAGAAAACTAAATCACCGTAGGGTCCAAAAAAGAGTTTTAAATTTCATAATAGTGAGAGCTTTTGACAATAAAAGCTTTGTTTCTGCTGTAATATGCTCAAACTTCAGTTACTGTTGTAAGAAAAAGCTTTTTTATATCTGTCTGGACTCTCCGCATTTTTGTTTTTATCATCTGATAGACCACAACAAAGCCGAACTCCCTGATGTCTCTAAAGAGGATTTAAACCAAGTTCGACTGAATAAACCTTTATCATCACAGCAGATATCACAGTATCAGAACACCTTATCACAATCAGGAATAAAAACAAACCTCCAGCTATCTGCAATCTCAAAAGGAGAAGAAAAATCATTAAAAACAGCCCATACATAACAAAAAGTAACTACAGTTCTTGAGATTACATGTATTATTAGAGCTGCATGATTTGAAAAAGAAGATAAAAAAAAGGCACACAGCTGTGAAACCTTGGTACAAACAAAACAAAACACAGCAAAGAAAAAGATATCAGGTCAACAGCATTGAAAAAAAAGGGGAAATTATCACTAAGAGTTGTTGATAAATTTCTCTCTGTGGCAAGGTAGTTCTGTGTGTAACAGTGATAGAAACAGAAGGCAGGTGTTGTCCCCATCTTATCTTCAGAGCCAGGTTGGAAGAGCGGGGAGTAATGAGGGATAGCCTTGTCTGTATCAAAGAGCTGCAGAACTGAGGATATCTTAGGTCGGACTGTGTAACTGCATTGAAAACACACAAACGCTCTGATTATATACACACACACACAGAGACTGATAACTCACCCCGACTTCAAACATTAGGGATAGCCGATTATGTTTTTAGATTCATTCCATTATATTGTTTATCTGGCTATTGTCAAATGTGCTCGCAAGTACCCGACCACGTTCCAAGGGCTGAAAGGACAGAGATACGAATGTTGTGAATGATGCAGATTAGGGCTCTCGTTAATATGATTTATTCAGATCTTTTTCACTCAGTTTGCATCAGCAGTCACCCAAGGTCACATCACTACAAGCAAAACACCTGACTAGTATTACACAATCTGCGTTTAAAGCATTTAAAGTATTAAATCTCTGACTCTTACATCTTGAAATGGTAAGTGGGTCATCTGGTCCTAACTGATCTCTTTAATTTCAACCGTAGTTGTGTAATCAAATATTGACTCCTTAAAAAAAGCAAATAACGGGAACATGTGAAATTATCTCATCGTACTGAAACTAAATAGCAATTCAAAACAGATTTGGTACATCAAATATGGTCATTGTTGGGTTTTCAACAGTGTAGATGACATACCAGTGATGTGACAGACACCCTGGCCATACACTGGGCATTTATCTGAGAGAAGCAGCCTGTTTCAGGCAGCCTCTCTAATTCTGGTGCCTTATCTTCAGCAGTATAGAGTATGGGGAGGTTTTTATGGTGTGGCTGCATAAGGCTTACATGTGGCTGACCATTTTTGAAGTGAGATAGAGACAATGACTGGAAGATATTTAGGCAGGCACATGGACACACATGCCTGTCCATTTACTCCCGCACCCACACATGCACAACTTGGCGATGCAAGCATGCGATCTGTACTGCAGAGCAGCAATAAAGCTTCCAGTAATATGAGTGTGTGGTGCAGCAAGGTATTTGGAGTGTGTAACAACAACAAAAAAGTGGGCTTTAATACTCTTCACCCTCAGGGAAAAAAATAATGACCACTGAGACACAGCACTGAATTCCACTGTGTGATGGAGAGAGCCACCATCTCTCTCTGTGCCTATCTCTACCTTCATGTCCTGATATTGACTGTTGAGCCTACAGCTAGATTGAATCACTTTGTTAGAGGAAGTTTTGTGCAGTAATATTTTCCTTTCACGAGTGCTGCTCCATCAGGGCTGAGAGCCATCTCTGTAGATGAAATCAATTATCTGAAACTGTGTCACTTCTCTAGAAATATGACATGCGCATGAGACATCTAACGCCCCAAAGTCAAATTACATGACCCGTGGTTATGCATCATTTATACTGAAACAATTGCCATGTCCCGCAAACAAATAATCAGTGCCAATTTAATAAACTTACTACAAGTTTTAACAAGACTCCACCAAGGGTAACATCCAGTCTGCAAATGTCACTGGGTGAGGCTAAGAATTGCTTACTCCGCAGAATAAACATTACATTTTAATAGCTTTAGTGGCTCAATAATTGTTCACAATAAGATGCTCCATGAAATTGCCTCATGTGTGAATAATGTCTCTGGCAGAGAATGAGTGCAATGTCAATCAAGACAATCTAGAAACCACCTAAATTACCACATTACCACATCATCATTACAGGCAAAAACAAGTGTATTGTTTATTGTTTATTTATAAAGACTTCATTATCTGTTTCCTTTGTTAATATATAAACAACCTACGTAAACCCATTCATAAGTCCATCAACGTTGAGGTCAAAGCAATTCAAGTTTTAATACATTTTAGATTAAGTTACCCATTGTGTAACTTCAACTATCAACAGCTGCTGCCACCACAAAATGGAGTGGTGAGGACCTCTCATTCTACATCTGCCAGAGAGAAAATATCCTAATATTATCTGACATTTGATCTCTCTATGGAGCAAGCCAACCAAGGCACTGTAGAATAGACTGGTATCAGCATCAAAAAGTGTACTTAGTCTACAATTAATAAAAGGTATTATATCTCAATAAACCCCTTGAGGTGTATTATCTCATTTTCAAGGGGGTCCCAAAAACAAGACATTACTGATACTTTGTTTATTGTAACAATTTGTGCTCCAAAAATGTCCCATTTCCCTACATTAAACCACTACAAACTTTTCCTGAGACAGCAGTAAATGCAAGGGAATCACAATGAATAAAGAGCAGCCAGCAGTTTCAATTAATGCTATCCACACTGACAGCCAGTGAGGTGAGCAAAACCAGCAGAGCCATTTTGGGTTAAAAAAACAAAAAAGAAAAAATGGGCTGTTTCGCATTTATTTCAGGGACGTGTTGCCTGCTGCTGTTAGTTTGAAATTGGTTTTTAATTTCCATATTTTGTTCATGCTAGAGATGAAGAGAGGCTGTATAAATTCAGTCCAAACTTCCCTGATACAACACAAGAAAGTATTGTGCCAAGAAATTATTTGTGCAAACCATTAAACATGTAATGTGGTGTAGACTATATTTTTCTTTTGAAGAACTATTTAGCAATCATTTTAACGTAAATGTGTAGTTGAGTGTGCAATCTGCGGCTGTACTGCATAAAAACTGAGTCAGAAGTTTCTGATGATTCATTTGCAACAATCTGAGCCTTGTAAACGACCAAAAAATTAATAATTGAAACAAACCCTCTATATTGTTGCTGCTGGCTAAACATGGATTTTATTTAATTAATTGTGCTAACCTGAGCCTTATTTGGAACTGGACAGTGACCGGCAGAAACATTTAAAAACACAAAACAACTAAGCATGTAGAAACATCTTGAGTGGGTAGTTTCTTTGTACTGTGAGTCATTTTGCTCTTCAGGGAGCCGTTTCCTGGGTGAGCAGGACAACACCATGCACTGACTGCAGGCAAAGGACCTGCCTCCTCTCGCTCCTTTCCTCCACCTCTTTCTATCTCTCTCCCCCATTCCCAAAATTTCTGTCTGCATCTCTGTGCTGCTGATATAGTGTTTTGCATTACGCAATAGTGCTGCCCCTCCCATCCTCTTTAACTCCCTCTCTCTCTCTCCCTCCCTCCCTCACTCACCCTGATATTAATGACACAGCTATCTGAGGCAGAGGCAGTTCCCCAGCGCGCTTTTCCTCCTGCAGGCTGTGCTCTTACACATGCACACACACAAACACACACTCTTAAACCAAAAGGATATTGAACACACACTCACACACTACTCTATGCATTCAGACTCTTTTTGAGTTCATATCAGAGGCAGCAATAGACGCTCTCACTTCACACACACTCATTTCTCCTTTACAAATCTCACACAGAAAAATGAGGACAGTTGTGCTTTGCGTTTGTGCCAGTCTCCTGCTTACCGCCACCTTGGTGCCGCGCACCAGCCGGGCAGCAGACTTCCCCGTCAACTCACACCAGAGGTGGGACGCAAGAGGACCCTACTCTTTGGGATCTGAATCCGGTACCCCCACCTCCTGCCCTATAAAACTGAGACCCTCAGGCCAGTGTGGGAGCTCCGGAGCCGGGGCAGAGGAGGGGGATGACTGCCCTTACCAGCTCACCCTGCCTCCCCTCACTATCCAGCTACCCAAGCAGTTCAGGCTGCTGGAGAAGACGATGAAGGAGCTGCAGAGCCTGAAAGAGGTGGTCAACAAGCTGAAGAGCGGGTGCCAGGAGTGTCGTGGGGCACGGGGCAATGGACCTTTGGGACATCAGCAAGCTGACCAGGGACAGGCGCAGGTTCAGAGGGATGCTGGGGAAGAAGGGAGACTAGACCTGACAGGACAGGAGGTGCAAGGTGGGTCCAGCCAAGAGGAGAGGGGAGATAGGATGGTCCC